TTCTTAGATTTGATTTTAGAAAAGACGTAGAACCCTAATATTTTCAGCATAATTTATGATTGGTTTATCATGATCTGATAATCTTATTGTTCTACGTCTATTTGATTCTTAATGAGTAGTTTCATTATTAATTTAATTCGATGACCCTAAAGAAGATTAATCAACTTAATCCCATAATATACTTTGAGATAACTTTGAATTATTCTCATCAACAAATTCACCCAAATATAATTTCTAATTTACTATATATTTAAATTAAAGATTCTATAAAACCTATTTTTAAGGTAATAAAAGTTCTTTAGAATTCTAATTTCCTTATTCACATAATTCCAACTTTATATAAAATCCCATAACTTCATTTGTAGTAATATTAACTATCTCTCTAACAGTGCAGATAAATTCTTATTCTTTTTCAACAATATTTTGATTAAGTAATTAAAATTAATTAATAAAATTTTCTTATTCATACTTTATTTTTCCTCCAAATTTTGTCATATAAATTGAAAGATTTTCAATGAATTCAGGAAACAATAAATCTAATCTTACTTTTTTATTAGTTATATATTTATTTTCTATTCCTAATAATTAAATTGCTGTTGCTGATATAGAATCAATAATATATTCTTAATCTACTATTAAATAACAACTAGGTTTGAAAGCCTTGACAGTAATAAATTAAGCTGCTAAATTTACATTTTCATCTATAGTATGTAAAATTCTCAAAACGATATAACAAGGTAAAATATAATTTTGTTTATCTTTAAGGAATATGAATCTATCTTTATTAATATTCTTTATATCACTTGTAAGAAGAAATCTCTCAATATATTAATCATGAAACTTCTAAAATAAGTTTGGCATAAATAAATTAATTTTTCTATTGATAATTTCCTATTTTGTATATCCTATGAGATGACAACATGATTAATTAAGAGTTATGACTAAAGCAAATTTTTCAATAGATGTTGATACAATAACTGTTGCCTATTGTTCAAATCCTATTTCATCTCCTCCAATAAATTAAATAATTTGTTTCTTTCTTTATTATATTTATTATTAATATAATTCTGATTTTTTTAATAACTATTCTCCATAATCTTCATCTTATAATACATCATTTATGAATTATCCATATAGTCTCATAGCCTTAGATATGTTAGAAGAAGCCTTCTATATTTTAATCCATAATTATTCAATTAAATTCAATAATTTATTTATCTTCTGACCAATTAGATATACTTTAGCAAGATCTGGAAAGTCTTCTTATAGAATTGACCAAAACTCCATTTAAGATAAAGTTGTTTATTCTATATATTACAATAATTATCTATAATTATTTTGAAATGATATTTCTGATGCAACATCTACTTTTCCAAAGTTTTCATTTTAAAAGGAATCTAATTATTCTTAAATAATAAACTTTTTTCTTAAGATTATAAATTCTTCATCAAAAGATGGACTCAATTATTCAGCCTATGTAAGCTCATTAAATGCTTATTATAATTATCTCATATAATCAGACAATAGAAAAGAGTATCTAATCCTTAAAGTAACTGATTCTGGAAATCTTTTAATTTAATTATAATAAATTTATCCTAATACAAATATTAAATCTGTTTCTCTTTCTGTTAATGTTGAATCCCTTAATAATGAATTAGTTAATCTAATATTAGGCTAATTTTTAATTTTGAGATAACAATCTTCTCTTACACAAGTAACTCTATGAATTTCTAAATATCCATCTATTATAATTTAAGCATTAGTATCTGTCTTAATGAAATGCAATAATTTGATAAGATAATTAGTTTAATTGATTATTTCTTAAACATCACTTACCTTTGAATGATTTATTAGCAATAATTCAAAATTTAACTTATCCATTTTAAATACTGTTAATATTAACAAAGGCAATCCTGAAATAAAGGCATAAATGATGCCACTAAAAATTACTTTCTCTAAAAACATTGAACAACATAGTAATAAGGTTCCCCAAACATTTAAGATAACAGTAATAGACCAAAACTTTTATATAATCTTTTAATTGTATGGTAATTCTGTATGAAATTTCTAAAAGATTATTAAACTTCCACCTAAAAGTAATATGATTTAAAAGTATTAGTTTTCATTCCCATCAACTAATTTTTGAAAAATAGTTTGGATTAGTTCATATGTAAATAATACAATTAATGGTCTTCCACTCATCTTTGAGTTTGGATCTGTGGGAATATATTTTGATTCAAAATACAACATTGAAAAACATACACAATAACAATAGAATAATATTGAGACTACAATTGCCACTATTCCATGAAGAATATGTGTATCAACCCAACATTCTTAGTCTTAAAATTAATTATGAACATAAACTCCATTTTCATCAAAACCACAGTCAATTATTGATATAAATACATCAATAATAGGTAAATAAAGGATTGATAAGAATAAATTGATCAAGATCTTTAAACCTTTTTTTATCCAATTATTTTCTTATTTCTTTTTATTTAGTCTTAGTCCTATAAAAAAAGTTAACATCGTTGATAAAGTAAATATTCCAATACAAAGATAGAGCAATATAATAAGCGATGAGTAGTTTGATGAATTAGTGTATGGTGAGAGGAGGAAACACCTAAAATTTCTAATTAAATTTATACGAGAGAAAATAGCTGATCGCATCTGATACAGGTTGATTTTTCCAAATATTCTAAATCTTTGAATTGAACATTAAATAAGTGAGCTAAAAATATTAGATTATAATTGCAAGACAGCTTGTTGTTAAGGGTTATTAATCTTCATGTAATAATTATGAGGTCACAATGAAAATTAAATTCTTAGCTCTATCAACATATAATTGAAATCCGTTCCTATCGGATACTCTTTTACTAAAATTTGATTGTAAATCCATTTTAATATTGAATATTTAAAATTGTCATTATTTATAATATCTGCTCTTTATTTATATTGAATATCATTAAGGTTTAAATTTTATATAAAGTTTGAAATAAATTATCGTTTTATGTTAAAAACTATCCATCTTGGATGCATAATTCTAAGGAATTATTTATCTATTTTTAGTCAATTATTTATTAACATAAAATTAACTCGAATAAAATTAAAATATATTATTAAATAAAATTAATATAGTAGAGTTCAAGTAATAAATTACATCCTTTCTAATTATTAAAAAATAAAATCATTATTACCCTTTTTAATTTTAATCTATATCATTACCAAGATACACATTACTATATTCTTTATCTTTCTAATAAGTAAAGTATTAAGAGCATTAAAAAAAATGGTAACGAACAAACTATTTACTCTTTTTTACAAGAACTAAGAAATAATCAATATCTTTAAAATCTCACTTATAATTATTTATAGATTATATTATGATATGATATTTTAAATATATTAACAACCAATTAAAATCAAATAAGAAGATCTACTTATAATTACATTTCACTATCAAATAGGGCTTAATATAAATTAAAATTATAATTTATTTGTTTATTCTATTTACACCATTCTAATAGCTATTATTAATCTTTTTTATTAAGAACCATTAATAATTATTAATCTTATTTAACTTAAAGATATCTAATTATGAGTAAGAGAGTCTTTTTTTATAATTCTTATTTCATTATGGGAATTAAGTGATTTTTACAATAAATATTGGTTAAATGATAAAATAAATTATTTTGTTACACTTCTTTAAAGTTTAAAATGACTGATATTGATTTTTCTTTATTATCATGAGTAACTAAATGATTTAAGACATTTTAATTAAATTTTTGAAAAATATTATTAGCAATATGTGCTTAATGATAATTAGGTAAATTAAACACTGATAAAAGTTTAAAAGTACAATTAAAACTAGATCATAATTAATTTATAAATACCTTTTCTAATAAAGTTATATGATATCTGAATAATAAGTAGCTTAGTTTTTATTAGTATTCCATAAATTTTATTGAAAATACATTTTAAAGCATTTTTAAATGCAAATCTTAACACAAATCTCAATAATTTCATCTTTTTGATTTTAAGGTATAAGTTGATGATTTGCAATCAACTCAAGAAATGATTTAATTTTATTCTTTAAATTTTTTGTTGGAGTTGATAATAAATTTGCAGCAATTTTAGCAGATTTTATTAAAAGTACTTCATCTTTGATTGTTTGAAACAATTTTATCATTTCATCATAATTTTAATTTTTTATGGCATTCATAATCTTTTCTTCATTATCTTATTATTAATTTTCTTATTCAATGGATTCTCCTTTTAAATTAGTAATTGCCATCTATAATTATACTCCTATATTTTCTAATATTTTATATTATTCATTAGTGTTATTGATCTATTTACGAAGTTGAATTTTCTTATTATGTTACTCCATACAAACATTAATATTCTCTTCTAAGTATTTAGTCATATCATGTGATGTTTTATGAATTTGACTATTGATTTAACTCACAATATAAGGTAGTTAGTGCAAAGGTGTTTATAGGACTCTTTCAGGAAAAGGATGTGAAATCATATATATATAAATATAAATAATAATAATAAAGTATTATGTATTTTAATATTGATTATATGCTTTTAAGAATAAATTAAATGATCATTTATATGAATTACTTAATTCTTTATCATTGATAATACTTTAATGATATAGATAGATAATAAAAAAAGAGAAATATTTGATAAATATATATATTTACAAAAAATATAATGATTTTTGAATATTAGATTTCATCATTCAACTCTAATCATTATATTCAAAGTAATGGCTAAAAGTGTTATTAAAATATATGATATATCAGATAAAAAAATAAATATGGTTAACATTTTATAAAATTCCTTAATATTTCTAATGGTTTTATTTATCTTAAAAGATCTTCATAGTGCCTTAAATTGTAACTTATTAGAAATTATATTTGGTTTACATTAAATTTATTAAAGTGAATTGTAATGTTTTATATTTTCATTATTTATTCTATCTAAATAGTTACTACTAATGTCACATAAAGAGGTTGAAAACTAACCAATGCATGGAAGTCCTCCAGATTAGTAATTGGCTGAAGGACCCATAGAAAACCGTTAATGTCGTGATTTCATTTGCTTAATTTTATTTGTTGGAGCAACTGTCGCATTTGTTGTAATTATATCAATGGGATTCAATCAAGGGAAACCAGAAAGATTAAGTTATGCGTAATTTGAATATTCTAATGATAGTTATGACCCTAATGGCAGAGCATGTGGACATGATGATGGAGTTTTTAATGCTCCTTACATCTATTTAGTAGCACCTTTAGTAGGTTATCTAAACAGATCAGTTTGTGTTACTAAATGTCCGAATTGGCAAGAGGGAGGAAAATAACCAACACGGTAAAACAAAAATTTGAATTTTAGTTTAGAATGTGTTGTAAATAAAGTTATAACAAACTGTTCTGAAAGATATTCATATGATGGAGTGACTGATATAAGAGATTTTGATACAAATTATTTGATTAATTCAGATAATTATGCCAATACACCATCAGTTGAAAAATTATTTAACTATTCAACATTTATTTATAATTCAACTAGTGTTTTAGATAGATTGTGTATACCAGCAGGTGATAAATATGTTGAAAAGATATATGGAAATATGGATGATATAGCATCTGTTTAAATGTAATCTTAATATATATTTAAAGATTTTAATAATGGGTGGCTGATATAAGATTGACATATAAAATTATCTTTGCATCAGTTGGAATAGCATTTGCAATTGGATTATTTTATATGTTAGTTATGAGATATTGTGCAGGTACATTAACATGGACAGCCATTTTTTTATATTTTGTTTGTATTGTACTTTTTATTATTTATCTAAACGATAAAGCTAATGCTTAGTAAAATAATTTTTATTTATGATTTTAATAGCAAGACTAGAGCAGCACTTAATACAGCTTAAGGTATAGCTGATTCAGATAACTAAGACTTGTAGACTTATTATGGTTTGAAAGGTTCTATGATTGGAATGTGTATAATAGGGGGATTATCTTTGTTAGGATTGTTATGTTACTTTAATAGGATTAGAATGGCAATTGCTGTTATAAAGACAGCTGCATTATTTGTAATGGAAGTACCCTCAGTTATGTTAGTTCCTCCAGTTTTCTCTCTTTTGGTTATGGGATATTGGGGATTATGGATCATATCATTTTTTTATATCTATTCAATGGGAGATGTGAAAGGAAGTAGTGATACACCTTTAGCTACAGTTGAATGGAATGATAACATACGTTATTATTTGATTTATCATTTATTTTATGGACTATGGTCTAATGCTCTTCTTTAGGCATTCTCCTAATTTATTTTGGCATCCTCTGCTTGTCTATGGTATAATATAATATTAAATATTTAGGTTTTATTAACGTAGTGATGGATAATTAATTCATTTTTATGTTTTGGAATCTGTGAAAAGATCTATTATTTATCATTTTGGTTCATTAATTTTTGGTGCATTATTATTGGCCATAGTTCAATTTATTAGATTTTGGTTAGAATATATCAATTATTAAATGAAATAATTTTAAGGAGATCCAAAATAACCAATGAAATGTTTTATAGATTGTTTAAGATGTTATGCATCTTGTTTTGAAAGATTTGTGTCCTTTATAAATAAAAATGCATTTATTTAGATTGCTTTAACAGGAGATAACTTTCTAACTGCAGCAAAGAATGGATTTTATTTAGCTTGGAATAATGCAGGATAGTTTGCTGTAACATCTGGTATAGGAAGTGTATTTTGCACTCTATGCAAATTATTTATTGCATTTTCTACAACTTTTCTATGTTATATGATTATAACAACATCCGATGCTTATAAAGATTAATTGAATTCTCCAATCGTACCTACAATATTATTCTTTATCATTTCATATGTGATTGGAGATCTTTTCATGTCAGTTTATGGAATGTCTATTGATGCTATTTTATAATGTTCAATTACAGAATTGGAATTAATTAAGGCAAATCCTGGTTTATTGAAGAAAAATAGAGCCCCTTAACCTATATAAGACTTTTTGGAAGAACATAAAAAATAATGATACAATTAAATTATATATATTTTTAAACATTATCATCTATAGTGTAAGTTTATGATTTATATTTATTAATATACTAAAATATATATATATAGTATTAGATATTTTTATAATCATATGAATTTTATCATAAACTAAAAATTTGAATTTTTATTTTATTATTATATAAAATTGCAAAAATATAAATATTTTTAAATCACAATTGATTATTTTGGATAATTCATTTGAGTTCTATTGTTTTAGGGAGAAAATGCCTAAGAAAATATATTTGAAATTGAAATACACTAATATTCCCATTTTTATTTTATCATATTTACTATGTAGAGAACTATCTGTTTTTTGATTCTCACTTATTTCAACACTATCAAAACCATAATAATGTTATTATTCTTCATTTAAAGGTTCTTCACAAATTGATTTCTAATAATTAGGATTCAGAGATTAGCAATAATTAATACTACTTTATTAAGTTAGACTTGAATTTTTACGAATATCATCTCTTTAGAATGCATTTCGAGTAGAACCTATAGGAGGAGGAGCCAAAAGATTAGTAGAACTGAATATATATCAAAAGGATACCAATGTTATATAAGACCAGATAACTATTTTTCAATAGACTTTTTCATTTCATTAGAATTTAGTGGAATATTATTACGACTTATATTCTAATTGGTATCTGTTTGATAATGAATAGATGACTTAGTTTCTGTCCAATCAAAATTACCATCTATAATAATATTCATAGTATCTGCAGCTTTTTTTAATTCATGCAATATCATTTTGTAATTAGGCTCTTATTTAAATTGTAATTTCCTTATAGAACTATAAAATCTTAATAATATTTTTACTCAAATATCCTTTAAAACTCTCCTGTCTAATCCTTAAATAGTTCACGTTCAAGTGATAACTTCATATCCCCAACTTTCTTTGTTCTTTCATCATCAGAGACATTAATCATATTCTACCATGGTAATTATCTTTATCTATAAATAATATAATACCCACGTAAAAAGTATAACAATATATACATTAAAGACTCAAGATCATCTTTTCTTCCTAACTCATGTCCTAAATGTGCAGCAATAGATGCATATCTTGTAGTTCCTAAAAAGGATTTCTATTCTTTAAAAGTTCTAATTATTAATTTCTCTATCTTACATATGTTTCCCATTTGAATCTCTATATATTTTGCTTATGCCAAAATCAATTAAATATAATTTTGAGATGTCTTTACCTATACCAAAAATAATATTTTCTGGTTTTAGATCTCTATGAATAACACCTTTCTAATGAGATCGCTCTAAAATCTATACAGCTTGTATTCCAATAGTCAAGACTGATTTTAGTGAGAATTTCTTAAATTGTTTAGCATGGTAAGCTAAATCCTTTCCCAACAATTAAATTACCAATATATTATAACCTTAATCTTAACCAGACCAAAGATATTTAGGAAACCCTTCTGTTCCATCTAATTTTTTTAAAATCTACACTTCTCTTTCAAGTGAACGAACTTCCTCATTTTCCTCTTTCTCAATTTTTATTGCTACTTCTTATTTTATCAATTAATCAATTCCCAAAAAGACTACACCAAATGAACCTGATGAAAGTTTCTTTACTATCTAATATTGATTATTGAAAATCTTTTAATTTTGAGATGTCTTCTAATACATATTTAATTTTCTTTAAATAAATGAATTATTATTTATTTATCTACATAAATAACCATACGTTAAACTACATTGTGTTACAAATATTACACTTTTTCTTTAATGAATTTATAGATATTAAATATTTATGTGATTTTCAAGAAAAAATAAATATTTTTTTTAAATTTAACTCTAATAAAATATAAACAATTTTAACAATTAAAGAATTCTAATTTCTTAAACTTAAGAATATTAATGAAATACTATTAATAAATTGAAACATCATTTAAATTCTTTGAGTTTCTATGTCAAAATTTGATAACTTTAAATTTATTAAAATAATTAAAAACTTCATTACATAAAGTAATTGTAGTTAACAAATTTTATAAAAAGTAGATATTAAAAAATCTTATATAAATTTTATTAGTTTTTACAAAGAAGCATAGAAATAATTTGTTTTTTCTCCATTTTAGATAAATTTGTATGTTTAAGTAATGACCTATATCTAAAGTTTGATTATTAAAAAAAGTTGATTATTTTATTTTTTTAATTCTTATCAGAATAAGTAATATTTTATTATAAATATGTTTGAATTCATCTATTTTATTTTTTAATTTAATAAAAATCAAAATTTATTTATTTAATAATTATAATTATTCATAAAATAAAATTTAGAAACATCTTAATAATTCATTATCATATAATTTTGAAGTCAAAAATTTCTAAATAATTTACACATTAAAAATTTGATTACATAATTTATAAAATGGATTATTTTGATATTTATTTCATTAAAAATGTTAAATCAATTTCAGTTAATTATTATGATATATTTAATAATATTTAAATTATAATATTTCTAGTTATTAGTAACTTCAATTATTCATATATTAAATATTTATATATTAATTATTTAAACATGAATAATTACAGACACATAGATGGAGATAGTGGATTGATGACATCATAATTTCATTTTGGAGATTCACCTAAGGCTATTATTGATTACAGTCAAAGTGAAAGAATTGAGACTTTAATTTAGAAAAATATCATGAGATCAGAAATTAAAAAACACCAAAGAGCTGAATCTAAGGGTTTAATAGAACATTCAAATATGCAATTAAATGGCCATTTACCATAAATAACCTTAAATTGTTAATCTCCAGCAGTATTTGATTAAATAGCACTTGAGCTTAAATAATAGTATTTGAATTTGCATAAATATTTTCAAGTAATTACTCTTGTATATTGAGAGAAGCAAATCAAATGATGTTTCTCCAAACTAAGATTGATTCATTATGCTAAAAAATTATAAAAAATGCCTGTACTTCAACTTATATAGCAAGTTAGAGCAACAATAGTCTTATTTTAGTAAAATATTCAAAATAAAAGCTTAAAATTGATGCTTTATCTGGAGTAAACTTATTAATTAAAAAGTTAGAATTATAAATAAAATGAAGATGTATTATTATCAGTTTGTACTGTGGTTAAAAGATATAATTAAATTAATAAGGATTTTGAACCTATAGATGATTTGAGCCATATCAATCCTTTTGCTATTACAGCTATTTCAATGAATAGAATATATGATTATTTGGATGATAATTAAGAGTTTAAATAAAAGTTGGATTCTATTTTAAAAGATATTGATTCAATAACCAAACCAAAAAAATAATAATTATAGAAATACATGTAAGAGAGTTCTTAATTGGTTCTTGATACATTTTAATAGTTTAAATAAAAAAAGGTGAAATATGATTAACAATATTATTTAATGGCAATAGAGAAAGTTGTTTTTGAATCAGTTTATGATAAGCTATTTCATTTTTATATTGATTTTAATGAAAAGAATGAAAATCAATTTAACATCAAAAAGTATTGATAAATGAAAATAGAGATAACAAATAATTGCCAAGTATAGTGAACATGATACGATGGAATTCTTGGAAATAAAAAATAAATATAGATTAAATCAATAATATTGGAATGGAATAGCTGAATTAAATAAGGTGGATAAATCTACAAATCCTAGGGATAAACTTAGATCAATATAATAAATGTAATGTTTAATAAAATGTATAGAATTAATATAATATTATTATTAGCATTAATATATGAAAATAGTAATTGTGAATTAGCAACAATGGATGATGAATTACCAGTTATGATATACATCATCTTATATAGTGAATTTTAGAATAAATTTGCATCTATCCATTATGTGGATGATTTCTGTAACAGTGATCCAACAATAGAAACTGGAAAAAGAACAGTAACAACTTTGAGAGTGTCTTTAGAATATATTGCTAATGAATGGAATATATGATAATTGATATGAATATTTTGATAAAATTAAAATAAATGTCTGAAAAAAAAATTAGAAAGAAATACCATGATAAAATAGACTTTAAATTGGATCTTCCAGACACAAATAATAAAAAAGAGAAAGCCAGATAGAGTGCTAAAAATACCAGATAAAGAAAGAAGGCATACATTGAAAGTTTAGAGTAAAAGGTTTAAAAATTAATAAAAGTGTGAGGTGGCTTAATTGACAGCTTAATTAAATTAAAATAAGAAAGTAGAATCCAAACCTAGTCTAATGTAATTAATGGAACAGTTTTTGATTGATAGAAAATAATAATTTGATATGTTAGAAAAAGCATATTAAGAAGGAAATGAAGCTAGTATAAAAGTTATTACCAATTCATTAAGATTTAAATATGGTATATCTGGTCAAGGTCGTTTGATGGCAATAAATAAAGTATTTGAATTGCTTATAGATTTATTATTGCCTATGCATATGAGATATCTCTTTTGGGTTGCTTCAGAAGGTAAGCAAATTATAATAAATATATATAGATGTTGATATTTTTAAAAGAGAAAGATAATCTGGTGAATTTTATTCATTTGATATGAGTGATAGTTAAATAAATTGCTTAAATTCATTTGGATTAGATGATGATTAAATTCTAAAAATATAAAATATGCAATAAATAATATAAGAATAAAGATCACATTATGATAATTTAATAATAGAAATTTATAAAATACAATAATCAATAATCAAAGAGAGTGAAAAATGTCAAACTATAGTAGATGAAATATGGGATGTTCTAGAACCAAAATAAGCAGCAGGATTATTAATTACATTAGATAAGGCAAGTTTATTTTATAATAATAGAGTCGTATTGAATAATTTAGAGAGAAGAAAGTATATCCTGATTGTGTAATTTTAACACTTTAAAAGAGGGCAAAAGAAGAAATTTAAAGATAGTAATAATGTTCTTATTTTGACATGAAAAAAGAACAAAAATAAGAGGAATTAGGATTGAATAATTATTTTTAAGTAGACTATAATAATTGATTAATTATAAATGGATTTAATTAAAATATTTATTATTCAATAAAGATCATTTACTTTATATTTATTGAAGACTATTGCAATCTTAAATATTTGGTATAACACTAATTGAAGGAATTTATTATTGAGAGGGTTGAACAGATGTCTTTTCACTTTAACATTTAGGTCTCAATGATTTAGAATCTAAATATTATATTCCATATCTTTAAACATATATTCTTTCTTCTGCATCAATAATATCATTAATAGCATAAAGTAATTTACTTTCAAGATCACCTTTTTTTTACTTAATTTTATTATAATTTATTCTTACTTTATGGAATTTTGGTTCCAATTGAATGAAACATTTAATTCTTTATAAAAGTTAATATTGAGGATTTTCAGCTGCTTTATGTCTAGATAGAAGTATAAAATAGAATTCTATCTAGTATTTAATAAGATACTTATGGTTGCATCATATTCAACAATGAATTGTCCAAATTTGCTTTGTATACAGAATATTTGAGATGTTTTTTACGTTGTTTCTAATAAAATGTTTTCAATTCTAACTCTTTCTTCAATCCAAGTTTTATCATTATTAAAACCTTTCCTTACAAACATTAGAAAATACTATTTATTTTTATCATACAACATAAAACCTTTGAATACTTTCATATATTATTCATCCAATAATTATTTGCTTGAATAACTTTATATTTCATTATTTTCACTTGATAGTGTTGTACAAGTTAACATTTTTTAATATTATTAATCAACTAAATTAGGTTTTAAACTTGAATATTTAGAATTATTGAAAGTGTTATTCATTTTTAATTGTTCTTCTTTAATCTTTATCAAATTTTCTACTTTAAACTTTTCCAAAGCTTCAAGCTCTTAGATTTTGAGCTGACTTATATAACTTAAAGTTTACATTTTTATAGTTTTGGACCTCACATAAATATGCATATATGGAAAGTAAAAGCTCTGCTTAAAAAATGTCGTCTACATATTAATGCGATATCAATATTAACAATCGATCTATACATATTAATTAAATAATACTTGTAAAATAATCATATTTGCCTCTCACTTTACCTAATAATGAATGAGTGAAAAAGACCTTCTCTTCTATAACATTTTATTCTATAATCTAATGCTGAATCTCTTTTATTGTCTATTACCATAAAGAATTAAATTCAATATCTCTTCTTAAAAGCAAATAAAATTAGCTTAACTCAATATCATATATGACAAAAGCTCTAAAACAATTCATAAGTTTATGATATAAATTTAATTCTTTTTTTTTTTAATCAAGAAAGAAATTACTTTAATATCAATTTATAATCAATAAAATATTTTAAACTAATTCTTAATATCTTCATATCTCAAACACTATTATAATTCAATAATATTAATTAAATATATTTTCTTTTATAAAGATGATGTGCTTTTAATATAATGGTGGTAATGATAGATGTATAAATGGAAGATTTGAAAAAAAGATAGATGGAAAATGGGTTTAAGTAGATTAGGGAAAATAAATAAAGTAAGCTATTCAATAGGTTAATTTTAATGATGATTAAGAATAATATAAAATTCAAAACGAAGAAGAACAACAACCATAACAATTCTAAGGGGGTAATAAGGAATAAACAAAGGATGTTTAATAAGAGGAATAAATATAATCTTAAAAAGATTCATAATGAAATATATAATATGGATTATTAATAAAAAAATGTATTCCAAATATATTTAATTTATTATTATATGGATCTGGTTAGAAAATATTTTTAAGATCTAAATAATGTATTCTACTATAAATTTTAGATTATTTGACTCTTGATTTTATTTAAATTATTAAAAAAAAATGATTTAAATGAATGTAGCTATTCTAAAATGATATAAATATATTGATTATATCTGCAATAATTCTAATAATTTAGTAATAAAAATTAATTAAAAAATATATTATGTGCATTTGATTAAAGTAGTATAATTATTATACTAAAAAATTTGAAGGTTAATTAAATTTTTAATTAATTATAATACTAAATTCTTAGTTCATGAACGGGGAGGATTTCAGGAGTAAATTAAGGGAATTTCATTTAAGAAGTAAAGAATAAAGTACACAGGATTCAAGAGTTATTTTAGAGGATGAAAAAAAGATGAACAATGCCTGTTGTGTAAAATTATATTTAGAGGATCACACAATAGGTATATAATTATTATTAATGTCTATTTAAGGTAATTTAACTAGAATGAATTTATTAAAGTAAAAGGAAGTGACATTTTCTGGATATAGACAGATTCATCCACTTTAACATACTATAGAGATTAAGGTTTAAACTAATGGATCTATCAAACCATATGATGCTATATAAAAAACACTTTAAGATTTGAGTGATGAATTCAAAAATTTAGAAGAAGAATGGGCAAAAAAGGTTGCTGAAAAAGAGAAACATTAAATGAAATTAGAAATATGAATAATATTATAAATAATATACATGTAATAATAGAATGTAATTTAAGATGGACAATCTGTTGACGAAAACATTTTAAAACTCTATCAATTATTAGAATTTAAAGGAAAAGGTGCTTATGGAGTTATTTGGAAAGCAATGGATCGATAGACTAAGAAAATTGTTGCTTTGAAAAAGGTTATTAAAAATAGGTATCATGAAGGTTTTTGATGCTTTTTCAAATGATACTGACGCATAGAGAACATATCGAGAAGTTATTTATCTATAATAATTGACGTAGCATGAGAACATAGTTAAATTGCTACACATTCACAGAGCAATTAATATGAAAGACCTATATATGACATTTGAATATGTAGAATCAGATCTTCATAAAGTATAAATAAGACTTATGTTAGGTTATAAGAGCAAACTTACTAGAAGGATAACATGTAATATACATCCTATACTAAATATTGAAATGCCTTAAATATATTCATTCAGGAGGTTTAATTCATAGAGATTTGAAGCCATCAAATATATTAATAGATTCTGAATGTAAAATTAAATTAGCTGATTTTGGATTGGCAAGATTGGCAACTGATATAGATGAATTTACAGTAATGACAGATTATGTTGCTACAAGGTGGTATCGTTCTCCAGAGATACTTTTAGGATCTCCTATTTATAATAATTCTGTTGATATGTGGAGTGTAGGTTGTATATTAGGAGAAATGGTTCTATGTAAATCTATCTTTACTGGTTAATCAACCTTAAATCAATTAGAAAAAATTGTAGAGGTTCTTGGTAAGCCATCATAAGAGGATTTAATATAGATAAATGCTCCAATAGCTGATAAAATATTTAGAGAAATATAGATGCCTAGAAGAAAGTCATTATTTACTTATATAAAATCTTCAGATACAATAATTGATTTTATTAGTAAATGTTTAACTTGGAATCCAAATAAAAGAATGACAGTTGATTAAGCACTTTAACATCCATTATTAAATGATTTTAGAGGTACTGAAAGAGAGAATAATTATCCATCTAAAATTACAATAGAATTATCTGAAAATATTAAATTAGATAAAAAGAAATATAGAGAAATCTTATATAAAATGGATGTAAATTATTAAAAATAGCAATATATTAAATAATTAAGTAATGAAGAATAAATTCCATCATCTAATAAAAATAAAAAACTCTCTAATTAGATTTAATAAACTTATCAAAAATATATAAATAATGGAATTGATACTAAATATTAAAGAGTCTCGAAGTCTTCATCTAAATAAAATCAATTACATTAAAATTATTAATCTTAAATGGATATTTAAAGTTAAATACTTTTAACATAATCTATTTAATAATAAAATCAATAAATCATGAAATAAAAGATGTTATAAAATAGAATTAAGACACTACCTGAAAATTATGTTGATGTATTGATTCCAACTGAACCAAAAAGTCCAAATAGAGAACGTTATTTCTCTTAAAATAAAATTACAGCTCAACCTTAAATTCCTCAATCATCCACTCCTATCAGAAGTAAATCAATGAAAAATAGATTATATAATGAATCTGCTGATAATTGTGTTTAAATAAAAGAAAATGAATCTAAGAAAAAATTACTTACTGCATATTTAAGTCAAAAACCAAAAAGACCTATTCTCTATAATTTTAAAAAGACAATCATTCGTAATAAACTCAACATGGATCAATACCTCATTAAAAAACATCATGGCCAATTAAATAATATGGATACTTCAAGTATGGTCTCAATAGCTAAATGATATATATATATATTTTTTTTTTGGAAATTAATTATACATATAATTATTAAAAAAACTTACTGCTTTATTAAGTGTTTATATAATAAACTATTTAAAATAAATTTGATTCTATGGATATCCGAAACCTCACTAATAAAAAACCTTAATTAGCTATACTACATACTAAAAATCCTAGTAAACAATTTTCAATGAAGTCAGAGAAAAGAATTAAAACAAATACATCAGATACTAATAGATCTGTAGATACAAAAAAAATCTTAACTGATTTCTATGACTCATGTAAGAGAAGAAAAAGTATTTAATATTAACTAATTAGTTACTTCTTAATTTATACATGAAAGAAATAAATCTTAATAGCATTAAAATGAATCACTCTTTTAGTCTATTGATAGTTGCCCTTCTTTTAGATAGTAAGCCTCTATTTCACATGCTTCTCCTCCAAATAAATTCTTTCTATTTAATACATGTGAAAAAGTACTATGCTAAAAAAGTAATGGGTCTAAAAGAATTTAAACTTAGTATGCTGAAAAGCTTTTCTTATAACAATTGAATTCAAACAATAAACAAGAGTTATTGTTGAAAATTGAATAGTATATAAGAGATTATTTTACTGATGAATGTAGAGAGATGGCTAATTTATTTGATACTTTTATGAGGGAACTTAATTCATAAATTTCAGATTAAAAATTCTAATTATCATTACATGAAAAATAACTAGAAATTCAAAAATTAGATGAAATTATTAGAATGAATACAAATCATACTTGGGCCCATTAAGATATGGAAAGATAATTAAAGTAATTATAAACATAAAATTGTGAATAATTGAATTTGATTACAAAATATGAAAATGAAAATAAAGATTTATAGACAAGGAATAATCAATTAAAATAGTAATTAGAATTAAAGTAAAAAGAAATAGTTTTGAAAAATAAAAAAATAAAAGAATTAGGATATGAAGTATTATAATTGTAAAGAAAATTAGAATATGTAGAAAATAAAGCCTAGAAAGATCATAGATAATCAATTTAGTAAATAAGGTATTCAATATTTTAAAGTCAATAAATTGGTTCAAATTCAAATTTAAGTTAAACTGGTAATGCTAATTAACTTCCTAATAATAAATTTACTCCACTTATTGAAGAATTAGTAGAGGATTCTTCACCTTCTTTAACAGAATAAGAAGATGAAGAAGAAAAAGAACTTAATTAAATTGAATTTAATACTGAAAGAATAGTTGAAACAAGAGAAAAAGAATCTTAGGTTGAGTTTGATATAATTAACAATTATACTAAAGAATAAGATACTTAAACATGCTTGAAATTAGTAGAGAGAAAATTTGATGAGTTAACATAAGATCTTTGTGAATAAGCTCTAAATTTCATAGATTTTTTAAATATACATTAAGATAAAGTAGAAATTGATATGAATTAAGTAAATACTAATTTAAATAATATTAATTTGGAAAAAGTTTCAGATGAAGAAATTGTTAAATTTTTTGATCAATAAGTACTATTATAACCTAATTTATAATTATCAACAGGATCTTAAAATCATTCGTAATTAGTTAGGCAACCTTCAGTTAGAACTAATATGAAAAGAACATCTGTCATACTTGATAGACCATCTATATAGAATTAATAATAAATGCCAAATTAAATAAAGATTAAATCTATGATAACATTCATAAAAATGTAAGGTAGTAAAATGAAACAATTAGAAACATAATTAAAAGAAGGTATCTAATAAATTGAAGGATTAAAATCCATCAATGATAATTTAGAGGAACATAATAAGGAAATAAAAGAATAAAATTTTAAATTACTTGATTAAATTACTAATTTACATATTAAAGTTAATGATTTAGAAAATTAGATTATGTCTGATGCAATGGATTTAAATTAGGTTTTATCTTAATAAGAAAAAAAGCCTCCAAATATTAAATAAAATACATTCGCTTAAAGAAGGACTAAAAAAGCTGCTCCTCATTTAGGATAAAAAGTAAAATTAAATTATAAGCTAGATAACAATTAGTTATGATTTTTAGAAGAATTAGTCAAAATTACTTATTGAAAAAATTAAATAAAAAAGTATGGGAAAGTTTTAAAATTATTTACCTTTAAAATTAGTTTTAAAAATGATTTCTACATTTTATTTTGAAAAAATTTCAAATTAAAAAGAAAATAAATAATTGAGAGATTAAGATATGTCATCCTATATTTATAATTATTATTTATAGTAATTTGGATATACAAAAGTAACAGAATAAAGATTTATGATACTTGTTTTATCTATTAAAAAATATGTTTCAATAGTTAGAGTAAATTTGTTTGCTAAATTTATGAATCTATTAGAAGAAAAGAGTAATTATAGAGTAGAAGAACTATAAAGATATTTGGAAGCATTAGAATATGTTTCAAATATATAGAATTTGGGTATAGCTATTAAAGATAATGAATAAGAATAGAAACACTATATACCATATGTAAGAGCTTTAGCTTATCTGGGATAATTATAAAATTTTAATTTTACATAAGAAGAACTTAATTATTTAAAATTGGAATTAGAAAATCAAAAAGAAGTTGACCCAAAAAATATTAATAAAGCTGGAATAATAGATTTTGATTTATTAATGATAAGAGTATTGACAATTTTTAGAAATAATGTTGAAAAAACAAAGCTTTATGTTATAAATGCTTTTGCAGCATGTGATCTCGATGGAAATGGAATGTGTAATATAGATGAATGGTTGCTTTTGATTAGACATATAGAATCAGAGAAATTTGATGAAGATAAATTTATTGATATATTCGAAGAATTTGCAGATCTAGTAGAAGAAGATGAAAAAAATCTATCATTTGACAGATTTTCAATATTATGTATGGAACATGAATTATTTAGTGATGCTCAATAGAATAAATTCTTAAGAGTCAAAAGTATTAATTATTTATAATTATTAGGTAATTAAGAAGCTGATTAAAAATTTGAATAGTTAAAATAAAATTGGGGTTAAATATATATGGAATAATTAAAGAGACTTAATGAAATAAAAATGGAAGAGATCGAAAAGTAAAAATGGCAAAAGATTCTTGGTGTATTAGATAAAAAATTATCAGATCAACATAGTAGTAAAAAACCTTTATTGATTGCCTATAAGATATTTTTGGAGGAATCAAAGTGAAACTCATGTACTGTATATAAATGTAATAAATTGAATCATTCTCAAACATATTGACTAAAATTTATTAATATTCCAGTTATTATAATCAGCTCAAAAGTAAATAATCAATATGGATGCATAAAGACCAATGACTACTCCCACAAAATCTATTTTCTCTGATTATTTAAAAAGATAGAGTCATACCTAAAGTAGATCACATTTCAGAACTTTAGGAGAATCTAAGAATGAAGAAGCAAATAAAATATTATCAGATTTTATTGAATAAAGCAAACAAAGACAATGTAAGAGCAATAAAAATTTTAGAAACTAGTTAATTCTTAAATTCTCGATAGAGAACTTCTTAAGAAATGCTCTAAAGTATTGTGTCTCATTCATCCTCTACAAATAAATTTTATGTTCCATTTTAATCTGACTTTGCTAAAAGAAAAAATAATTCGTTAGGCAGCTTTGAAAAAGTTGGATCATCATCTAGAATTGGTAATAGAAGACAACAAATATAATAAACAGAGCAATTCTTTCAATCTTAAATTACACCTTTAAATAGATAAGAATATTTAGACAAAATGGAAGATTTCATTACAGAAATCTTAACAGAAGAATTTAAAGAAATATCTTCATTATTTACTACTTTTATGAAATAATATTAACTTTTCATAGATGACTATTAATTATAGTTGTCTATTAAAGAGAAATAACTTGAATTAGAAAACCTTACAGAATTTGAGAGAATGAATAATAAATATTCTAAAACAAGTCAAGATTATGAAAACTAAATTAAATAACTCAATTATAATGTAGAACAATATAATATTGATATTCATAAATTGAAAACTGAAATCTAAGATTAAGGTCGTAAATATAAAGAACTTCGTTAGAGATTTGATCTAAAATAAAGAGAAATTGATATTAAAAATAAAAAAATAAAATCATTAGAATGTGATATTTAATCTTAGTAAAAAAAGATTTAGTATTATGAAAATAAGTTATAATAAACATTTGGAAAAGATTAAATGACAGATATTAAGTAATCTTATTAAGAAAACATATAAAAAAAGAACAGTTCTTCTAATATAAATATATAATCATTTGCTTAATAAACAACTCCAAGTAATAATTTGATACCCATTAGAAAAAGTGTAAAAAAAGTAAGTATTGTTAGTATCTTAAATTCTCCAATAAATTAACCTCCTGATTTATTGAAAAAGAAATCAACAACTCAAAAATCTGATTCAAGTATTGAATAATTAGAGGAAGAAGTTGAAGAATAAGATAAATTAAATTAAATTGAATTGAATTATGATAGAATAATTGAATATAGAACATCTGAATCATAAGTAGAATATGATTTATAAGAAATGTATTGTAGATAAATTGAAATATAAACTGAATTAACAATGATAGGATAAAATTATGATTCATTAAAATAAGATAATATTGAAAATGCTTTAAAATACACTGAATTTATAAGAGATGTTAATAATAATAAAACAGAAAATTAATAAGATTAAAATTTTGATAAAATGCTTGATTAATTGTTAAAAGATGCAGAAGATATTAATATTTAAAATGGTGTTTCTAAGATTTAAACTCAAATTCAAAGTAGTAAAAGATTATCTATGTATGGAGGGATATCAAAAGATTCAATCAATTTAGATGATAATTCACAATTATAATAAAGAAATAAATAGAAAAAGGAATAGTAAATTAAACAATTATATTCATTTTTTAATTATTCTAAAACTAGATTAGATGAATTAACTGATGATATTGATCAAAAGAAAATAACTATAGTTTCACTTTAATTTTAAAATGAAAATTTATCTAATCAAATAAAATAATTATAAGATGAAATTCACAAATTAAAACTTTAATCTATAGATGATAGAATTTAAATTTAAGATTTAAAAACAAAATAAGAACATGCATCTATTGTTTAGCATGTTAATGTTGAATAGAATCTAATTTCTTCTTAACCATTATCATAATAAAATGAACATAAATAATAAAAATAATAATAATAACCAAAAAAAGGAGTGAAAAATAGAATACCTTAATTAGGTTAGAAGGTAATTAAATATTTCATCTTTAGGTAACTATTTCTTATGATTTTTAAAAAAATTAGTCAAAATTATTAATAGATAAGGTCAAATCCAAAAATATGTCAAAGTTTACTAATTTTTTACCTATAAAAGCAGTATTAAAATATATTACTACATTATATTTTGATAAGATTCACAATTAAAAAGAATAAAAATAATTAAAAGATTAGGATATGTCAGCATTTATATATAATTATTATATGTAACAATTTGGTTACACAAAAGTTACAGAATAACGTTTTATGATTTTAGTTTTATCAATTAAAAAAAATGTAAAATTAGTTAGAGTTAATATCTTTGCTAAATTTATGGGTTTATTTGAAGAAAATTAAAATTATAGTGCTAATGAATAATAAAGATATTTAGAAGCATTGGAATATGTAACCAATTAATAGAATTTAGGAATATCAATAAAAGATAATGAATCAGAATCAAGATATTTTATACCTTATGTTAGAGCATTATCATATTTATCTTAACTTTAATAATATAATTTTTCTCAAGAAGAATTTAATTATTTAAAATCAGAATTTGAAGAGCTTAAAGAAAATGATCCAAAAGGATAAAACAAATCAGGAATAATAGATTTTGATTTAATGATGATTAGAGTATTATAAATATTTAGAAATAATGTTGAAAAAACAAAAGCATATGTCATAAATGCATTTGCTGCTAGTGATTTAGATGGAAATGGAATGTGTAATATTGATGAATGGCTTTTATTAAATAGACACATTGAAGGAGAGAAATATGATGAAGATAAATTGGTAGATGCATTTGAAGAAAATGCTGATTTGATTGTTGAAGAAGAAAAAAATTTATCTTTTGAAACTTTTTCAATATTATGCATGAGTTTAGAATTATTTAGCGATGCAGCTTAAAATAAATTCTTAAAAGTACGAAGTATGATATATTAATAAATCTAGATAATTAAGATGTACTAGTTAGATTTTAATAATTATAGACTATATGGCCAGAAGAATATACAAAATGTTTGTAAAAATTAAGTGCATCTGAATTAGAAGAATAGGAAAAATAAAAATGGAGTACTATATTGAATGTTCTTAATGATAAAATATTATCAAATCCAGAATAAGTAAAACCATTGTTAATTGCTCATAAAATTTTTATTGAAGAAATCAAATGAATATTGAATTTTTATTTTATAATTAAATAATGTTTAATAAACCAAGATCAAATTATTTAACATTAGATTTCAAGAAGGTTAAAGTTAAAGATGAATAAATATCTTAGCCTTAAACTCATCGAATTAATACATCTAGAACTATTTTGAGAAAGCTCAAAGTTGATGGGTACTATATATTATATATTGTAATTTTAGTTGCTAAACTGATAGAGATAGGAATTCATATTAAGAAGTCACTAATTATACTTAAGAGAAATTAATTTATAAATAAGAATTTGAGGATGAAAGAAAAAGAAAGCTTGAATAATTGAGATGTGAAGTGGAAGAATTAAAATTAGATTATGAATAGAAATAAAAAGAACTTATTCAAAGTCGTAAATAAGTAAACAATGCTCTCAAAGGTCTAGTAAATTCACATACAAAATATAAAGATTATTAAATTGGTGATGTTAAACTATATCAATAATATTATCGTTGTAAGACAGAAACTCCTTTTCATTTAAAAAATACTATTTATGATGCTTAAAAATATTAAAATTATTATGGAAAATTATAAAAAGCCAATTTAAAACTTAACCATTAAGTCTAATTTGCAATGATTCAATATCGTAAATAACTAGAAGAATCTTAATAAAGAATTCCAAACTTTTTAAAATCTATTCAATAAGTTTTATGAAATTGTTATATGAAACACTAAATAATTATTTGTATATGTTTCAATTATTTAATTATTATTAATTGAGTTTATTTAGTGATAACACACTTAATTTTCTTTAAAAAATTAATTTTTTATTTATTAAATTAATGATAAATAATAAATGAGATACAATATTTTTATAGTTTAATTAATTTATGAAATATATTTAAAACCTAATCCTAACATTTGAGAATTAGAATTTAGAACAACAATATTAATTGGAGAAACAAAACTAAATCTAACTACCAATATTCATTTTTATTATTGTTCTATCTTTCATTTCAAACTTAGTGGTTCTTGGATTTCATTTTCTTAATCATAAGATTGAGACATGGTATTTGAATATTGCATTTAGCATCATAACAATAATACTTTTCGTATTTATTGTAATTATGAAAAAATATTAGTATTTATAAGATGCGATTACTATATCAAATATTATTTTAGGTTTTTTAGAATTTAATGTTGATCCAGCAACATCTAATTATATAGAATTTTACTCTTATGGAAATACATTTATGTAGCTATAAGCAGTTTTATATATTGTTTCTAATTTTGGTCATGCTTTCCTTCAAGTCTTTTTCCATTTTATATTGCGTATTGCAATTACAATAGTGTTATCAAAACGGACTGATTACTTATTAATTTTTATAGGTTTAACAAGTGGTTTTATAATATTGGTGACAATATATTATAAAGAGAGGAATTCAAGAAAACTTTTTATATAAAACTTGAAAGAAAATTACTGGGAAAATAATACTTCATTTATAATCTAAAAGCCTTATTTTAGAATTAATTATTAAAAGGAATAGTTATTATTTAATTTAATAAAAGATAATAAAATTGAATAATTTCCTGGTTATGATAATTTTTATTGTGAAGGATGTAATGTAAGAAAATTATTAAGATATTATTGTATTGATAAAAATGTAACATTAGAAGATTATTTACTTAAATAAAAACATCATCATCTATCTTAAAAACTTATAATAACTTTTAAAAAACGAAAATTTTTATTAAAATTATGTAGTTTAGATATTTAATAAGTTCAGTATCTATTTATTCTTGATGAAATCAATATTATTTCTAAAAAAGAAGAAGATAGAAAAATGAAATAAAATGATTTTATTCAATTTCTAAGATCAAATAAAACTTATAGCTATTAACATTTTTTTAATTGGGGAGCTTAATCTCTATTATTTTTAAATACAAAAATCATTAAAAAGATAAATGTATAAGAATTAATGATTTAAATTCTCCAAATATTTAGATAGCATATATTTCATTAAATTTCATTTTAAATTATTGCCTAAGATGAGAATACTTCAATTTTTACTTTTTATTATTAAATTAAAATATTTATGATGTAGCTTTTTGAAATACTATCAATTATTTAACGTAATAATATCTTATAATCTTAAATCATTATCAAAAGAAAAGGATGTGATATTTTAATTAAAATTACAAATATAGACTTAGAAACATTTGAGTAAATGTTTAAATCAAATTTCTTTTTAAAAAATCTATAAAGTTTATTGCTCCATGAAATTGAAAAGTAATAAGGCATATAATTACATTTAAAAAACTATCCAATAAAATCATTTGTATTTGATATTTGAATTTATTTATGATTATTTTTTTAATTTAAAATTTTATTTAAATTATTCAATAATCTTTTTCAATCTCTATCAATATCATTATATAAAAGTTTTTAAATTTTTAAAATATAACATAGAAATATTTAAAATATGACTTATTTCTTTATTAACTAAAAATCAAAATCAAGTTAATTTTTACTATGATAGTAATCATACAGGAGCCATTTAAGTCTAAAACAAACCAGATTTATCTAAAAATGAGTAAAACAAATAATAGAACAACTAATCATGATATTTAAATTTAATATAATTTTATTACTAATACTTTTACTAATAGTAAAAAATTATAATTAATTATTGATGAAATATCATAAAATTTAAATATTTACAATAATTGATAATAAAAATATTATAAAAATTAAGTTTACTTGGTTACAAGAAGTTATATATCAATTGTCCTTCTATTTGTTTAAACTTATAATATAAAATTAATTAGAAAGTTTAACCAAAAAGTATTTATATTTAAGGTAATTTATTTCTGTTTATTTCTGGCCACGTCAGCAAAATAATATATTAGTACATATTCATTCATTTTTGTTAGAATAATAAGTTAAACTTAAAAAAATAAAAAAATGAATTTTATTGATTATGATGATTGTAATATACCTTTTGATTACGAAGATGAGATGATTTTTCCTCCATTTTATTAAAATGCAGAAACACCTTAACATAGCAAATCTACTGATTTAGAATAAAAGTTTAAAAATGATAGAAAAGAAAGAATTTTAAAGAAAAGAATAGAAAAAAAACAAAAAACCAATTCAGATTCAAGTAATAATCTCTCAAAAGAAGAGTTAAGAAAATTGAGAAATAGAAATTCTGCTTAATAATCAAGAGATAAAAGAAAATAATAGTTTGATTCCTTGATGTTAGAGAACCAAAACTTTTAAATCTTACTAAAACAATAAGAAGAATAAATTTAATTATTAATTGATGAAAACAATAAGTAAAGATTAAAAATATAATATTTGGAAGAAATAAAGTATATATATAATAATATATCTATTAGTTAAAATTTTAAATGTATGAATTGTTCATAGGAAGCAAACCATGAAATGATAAGAGTGAATGTCATTTCTAAATAAAAAATGATGAATTATGGTTTATTGTCATTGTTGGCAATAACTTGTATTTTATCAATTGTAAACAATGATTACGAATTTTCTCCAAAACCTATTGCACTACAATAGATTTCAGATAAAAAATATGAATTTTTAGCTCCTAAATAGTAATTTTCAAATTCTACATCATTAACACTCTACAATCATTTAACAATGCCAGAGCATTAATATAATAATCAAACACTATTTTACAATTGCACAGGTAATGAAAAGGAATGTCAGACATTTTTAAATATCATCAAGGCTGAAAATACAAATAATTTATATTTTGTAAATGATGCTTCAGATCATTTACCTGCTGAATAAGATCATTATTTTGAAAAAGGAGAAAATGTTTATTTAATTAAAATTAAATAAGATGATGAAGACAACTTTATGATATTTAGGGCAAGATGCTAAATAACAGAAAGTAATAAGTTGTTATTCGAAAGAGATACCTACGATTCATATAATAATAGCTTATAATACTGATATTTACTTTTTTTTGTTTTTTTTATTTTTATGTATTTGTTTAATTTAATAAAATTAATAAATAATTTGTAACCTTTAAAGTCTTTTAATAGAGAGTGTCATTATTAATTTACTATATTAATAACATTATCATCCTTAAGATTATGCTTTAATTCAGCTATTGCTAAAGTTGCAAAATTTTATCTAACTTTACTTATGAATGTCTAAGAATAACTATCACTTTTTATCAATTCTCCTCTTGTATACAAAAAGAATAGAGCATATAAAGCAAAAACACCACAATCCTATAATAAATTAATAGTTTACTGATGATCCAATCTGCCTTGGAGTGTTTTTTAATATTTTCCAATCAATATTTTTTGTACATTTATACTTTATAATTTTTTCAATTCCAGCTATAATATCCGCATTATATCCATTTAGTGAATCTTGATATATAATTATACCTTCTTTAAAATAGACTAATACACTTATCCAATGATAATTTCCTAGATTAATTGGAAAGTAAGCATAATCATAATTACTAATTGAATTTCCTTTATAATAGTCATTATTTAAAGTTTATCGAGAAAGGAGATTTTCTAATTAAGAAATTTTGTAAATCCCCTAATCAACATTTTTACTTTAACTAATGTTTATGATTTCAAATAAAAAATTTTTCTTTTGTTTTTCAGTTACTTAAACCTATTAATTAGAATATTAAGTAAACTAATTGTTTTTTTGAATAATTGAATTAGATACAAAATTTGATTAATTAGTTTTCCTATCCTCTATCTATTATTTGATTTTATTTATTTTTTAAAGGTCAATCAAATCGTTCGGTAGTTAGTTTGTTAATTTTGGCATAAACTCAGGGAAGAAATAACAATCAACTTAAAATATCTAGTAATCTTAAAGAATTTACTTTTCTTCTATTTGAAAAATATTTATAAAAAACCTTTTAGAAAAATATTAAATGTGGACTTGTCAAATACTATTGATTTTCAAGGATTTGAATGAAATCTTTATCAATAGTTACTCCGTTTTTTCTATTATTATCAATTTATCTTAACATAAGTTAACAATATTATTATTTGTTATTATTAAAAGAATTATAATTAATTAAAAATGGGTTCATATATAATATATATTTATAAAATAAACAATAAAAATAAATTATAGGAAATAAAGAGAGTAATATTTAAAGATTAAAAATGACAATCAAATTCTTTAATTTTTTCTATTTTGATTAAATTTATTCTGATTTATCATGTTGTTTATTTTAATCATAATAATAAATATTTTAGATTTATATTTGTAGAGTTATTTATTTAAATAATTAATGAGAATACTAATTTGAATAGATTTTCTTTATTTAAACAAAATATTATAGATTTAGTTAACAAAATCTTGTTAAAAATGCATGCGAACTTGATTTACTATTTCATCAAACACTATGAATGCTGTTTTTAATGATATTATTTTGGCAGCATAATTGTCTAAACAAAGAAAATAGATATATAAAGAGTTATAAATAAAAAGAAACTCAAATTAAAAAATAAAATGAATTTATATTATTTAAGGAAACCATATTATAATATAATATTAATGGTGTCCTATTTGAAATTTTCATCTTAGTACTCTGGTTCTAATGATGTTCCAAATAAATAAATTCATTTTATATTATCAATTCCATGGGGTGTCATAAATGTTTCTTCACTATTGCAAAATTCAATCACCTTAAAGATTATTATGCTATACTCAATATATCCTAAAAAATAGATTTAAAAAAGCCTTATTACTCTTTTGCTAAGAAATTTCTTCAAGATCTTAATTAAGAAAAAGAAGAAAAGTTAATGAAGCGTATGAAGTTTAAATTTTGAATATACCTATATAAATACTTTCTGATTAAAATAACTAAAGTGATAATGATAATTTGTGAAATTCAGATATAAATTAATAAAGCTATTAACATTTAGAGTAATATTAAGATCAGAGGAGAAACTATGCAAATCAATAATAATAATCTTATCCTACTAATTAAAATTATAGGCATATAAATATAATAAATAGATTTAAATATGGAATACAAGAACAGCAAATGAGTAAACCTTAAAAAAGACATCATACATTTTTACTATTAGTAATAATAATAATAATATTAAAAAAGGCATAATAAAATAATTATGAAGAAGAATTTTGAAGAAGGTAAGAAACTTTCAATTAATTTGCATAAGAAACCTTATTTAGGATATAAAGAGAGTATTAAGTTAGACAATAATATTAGAAGCGAACATATTAATTTTTTATTGAAAAGGTGAGAGAGGCTTATGAAAATTATCAAAGATAATAAGAATATGAACAGCATCAAAAGCGAATAATTTGTAATTCAATAAACTTTTATGAAAAATTTAAAAAAAAGCCAAAAAATTTTGAAAAAGCGTTGAAAAAATTTATAAAATTGGAATTAAATTAAGTCTAATGTAAGTTCCTTATGGAATTATATTAAATGAAAAAAAGAATGAAATTTAATAATATTTAAAATTGTCTAAAGTAATTAGGATAATTATCATCTTCTTTCCCAATATATATTTATCTTCAAGAAAATTTAAAAATATTTTATAAATAAAAAATTTAAATCTCAATTAATATCAGAATATAAAGCATGATTTTCTTGTTGTTAATAGAAAATTACAAAAATCTGATAATAAAGGTTAAATTGGATTATAATAGATTATTTAATATATTTTAATGAATTGTATCGAAAAAACCGTTAAATCCTACATTCAATATTTCTAATTGACTATTTTATAATTTTAAGACTCTTTTAGGTTTTAAAATAGCTCAAATATTGTAAATTAACTTAAATCATTAGAATTAGAATTAGATTTTCTTAATTCATAAAAAAGTGAAATATATCTAACTTAAGTTAAGATTGTAATTATTCTATATAAATAAATTCAACGGAATATTTTAGATTTAATAAATGCAAATATAATTGTAATTATTTAAATAATCTTAAAATTTGATTTTATAATCTTCAGTTAATAATCTCTTTGATTAGTAGATATATAAATGAAGCAACTAAATTTTCAATGGAATTATAAATTATACATATAAATAAACAAGTTTTAATAGAATTTACTATAGCTTTAGAATTTAAATTAATTAGATTTTTAAAGAAATCATTTTTTCTAATGAGATTGATAATGGTATTAATTAATAAAACAAAAATAATTGCTACTAAATTTGTTTTTGTTTAGTAGTAAAATTAATTGTCTATTAATCATAAAAAAATTTTGGTATAAAAATAGAAATCATTGTTTAAATAGCTTTTGTAATTTATTATTGAATAAAGAATCTGGATACGCATTTTTGTTTTAATAAATAATTTATAATCAGCCATTATTAAGGAGTGTGAGCATTAGAGATCATTTTAAATAAATTATAGTAAATATATTCAAATGAGTAAAACTTCTTTTGCTGAGTAGTTGTAATCAGACAGAAGCCAAGAGAGTTAATCAGAATCATCAGAGTTTAAAGTTGAATTACGAAAACAAAGAGGTAGTTAAACAGCCAATGCCGAAGCTAAACGTTACCATAAAATTCCATTAAAAACACAAATTTTATTGTTTTAGATGGTCTTTTCATAAGGAAAACGAATAAAATAGGTAATTACCTAGTATACTATATTTAGGTTGCGAAATAATTAGGAATGAATTACTCAAGTGCAAAGTCTTTGATTCATTATTATAAAAATAATAAAAGACCAACTCCCACAGCGATTTCTAGCATTATAACCTTAAATAAAGCCTGCGGTATCAAGAAAACGAGATAAGGAAATAATAATTTTTTCGTTGATATACGAATTAAAAAAAAAAGGATTAGGAAATACAATTATTATCAACTGTTAAACCAAGAACAGAACAAAATAACCAATTGAATTAGAAGGAAAGTGATTTATAATTATATTAAGTATAATTTCTTCTTTATTCAAACCTTTATAAACTTTTGTTAGATAAAATTATTTTTGAAGGTATATACAATGCAATCCTCGTAAAATATAATTTTTAGTGAGATAATTAGGTTTTGACAATTAATTCTAGCATAAGAATATTGCATGAATAACGCTTTTTAATAAATGAAAACATCACAATCATAATTATAAAAATTAATTATCATAATATATTATTGTAATTTAAATAAATAATTGGATATTCGATTTGCTAAACATTTTATCTTTTAAGTTAAATTGCTATTGAAGATTTGATCTAAAAATTATATTATGAATAAAATTTTGTATAATATGTTGAAATATAAAAAATGATAGATTTGAATAAGTTTAAAGAAAAAAAATAAGAATTTTAATGGATTTAAATGAAGTTTGAGTTATTTATTTATATCTAATCTTAAAATAAATTTTTGATTAGGAATTTAAAATACAAAAGAATATTAAACATATATACTTTATTAATTAAAATTTATTATCATAAAATTATATTAAATTTAATCATTATCAATTTAAAGTCTTGTTTCTAATTATTTGATAATGTATTGATCATAATATTTCAATTTAAAAACTTTATAATTAAATATATGTTTTTATTTTTTATAATACCGATTGTTTTTACAAGTGAAAATTATCAAATTCCATCCTATTATGGATCAAAAGAATTAGATTTTCTTTTAAGAAAAAGCATATTAAATGGCAATTTAAGTTCTTTTTATTGGTATCCAAGTATTTCTAAAAATGAAAATACTTCTACATTTTATTTAGGTTATAAAAATGCAATATTTGAAATTGATAAAGGTAATAAAAATTTTAATTTTAGACAATAGAAGTAAAATAATAGCAGGCTCTCCATTAGGAAAGTCAGGCTTTAGAGATGGTGATGCTGCAAGTTCTCTATTTAATAATATCAAAAGTGTAATTTATTTTTGTAAAAATGAAACATTAGCAAAGTAAGAATATACAAAATAAACAATAATTTTGAATAATAATAATACAGAATGCTTATCTGTTGATTATTCTAACTATACTCAATGTTTAGATACTTAAAGTGATCCAGTAGATCCTTATAAAATAAAGGATGTATATAAAGAATAGTCAGTAATATAAGAAGAGTTTAGAGAATTTTTATATATAGTAGATTCTGGAAATCATTGTATTAGATAAATAGATTTATAAAAGAAAATAACAAAAACTATTGCAGGGATATGTGGATAAAGGTAATAAATAGTTGATTATTAATATTAGTGGTTTTAAAGATGGTTTATTGGGTATGAACTTATTTAACACACCTGATTAAATGGGAATTGATGTTTTGGGTAACATTTTTGTTAATGATTTTAATAATCATTTTATTAGAATGATAACATTAGATGGATATGTAAATACATTAATAAGTGGAAGTTGTAGATAAGATGTGAGATATTAGGATATATAATTTGATAAATTGAATTTAAAGAGGGTCATTTGTTTAAAAAATTGGATAAAAACATCAGGCAAACCATCAGATCATTTAGTAGTTTAAAATTACAATATATGTACTTAACATATAATAGATTGTTAATGATTAATTATCAAAACATAAAATTTAGTAAAAATTATGACTCTCCATAATAACAATAATAATCAATTAAACTTCCTTAGATAATAGATCTCAACAAAAATAGACAGAATCATATCAAAAATAATAAAGTACAATCTAAATCAATGAATTAAAAAGAAAGGAAAAACAATTATATTCGAAACAGCATTATAACAGATGTAAATGAAATAATTAAATAATATCATATTTCATTATTTAGGGAAGAGTAAGGAGAAAGATCTTCTAGAAATTAGAAAAAAAACAAATAATTATGGATATAAGAAAATAAAAACAAAGATAATAAACTCATAACTTAATATCAATTACTTGAATTTCGATTAAAATAACATTAAATCAAGAAAGATAAGTCAACAATTTCTATATAAGGAAATAGACTATAAACTATTAGTACAATTTCATATGACACAATTAATAAAGAATGAAAATGAAATATATTATTATTTACAAAATATTGTATTCACTTCTTATTTGTATAAATTATTTATTATTTATTATTTATGGATAATATTCATATATTATTGGAATTCAATAATATTACTGATCTTCTATTCTTTATATTATGTTTAATCTTTTGAACTAGAGATTTATAATTGCTATTATAAATTTAAATATCTTTTGAAGGTCCAGAAAATATTTCCATCAATATTTAAGAATTTATTTAATTTTGAGATTTTGTAAAAACTTTAAATTATATAAGATAATAAGGCATACCATCAAAAATATAATGATTATTAATGAATTTTAAACACATATATGATTATCTAGAAATTTTATGATTAAATTAATTATATAAATTCTTTGTATAGTTTATAAGTTGTCATAAAAACGAATCAATAAAGCACTCATAATCAAGAGGATTTAGTGCTGTGCTGTTATAATCAACATATGGGTTTGGGGAACCGATTTTTGATTCCTAAAAATCTAATTCTTTTGTATATTTATAGTCACCTAACAATTTATTAGTTTGAGTCTCACTTTTATCTAATATTAGATAAATAAATACTTTCTTATCTCAATTCTTCATTTATTGCATGTAACATCTATCCAACTTATTTAAATTTTACTTCAATGTCAACACTTTGATTGTAAACAAACTTATTATATTATCTATCATACATGATTTAAATTCTGCATTTAATCAATAAGATAAGATGAAGTTTCTTATAATAGTTTCATATCTTCTTTTAATTTGTTATTTGTTTCCTTTATATCTAGGGCACATTCTTTGAACAAATTTTATTCCTCTTTGATATTTATGGCTACAAAATACTAAGATTAAATTACTTGGTTCTTCTTATGTTTATGGTGCCTATATCTCTTCTTGATTTCTTCTTTTTATAAATTATAACATTGATCTATATTAAATCCAACAATATTACTTCATTCCTTTTCTAAAACATTTATGCTTAAAAATTTATCCTTCATTTGATCGAACTTTCTTGAAATTATATAAGTTTAACTATCTAAAAGTTGTAATTTAATTGTCTTATACCTCACAAAGCTAGAGTAATTACTGTGTTTAAAGAAATTTTATAACACTTATTTTTCCATTTGCTACTGATTGTAAACTATGAAAGCAGTGCCTTGTGCAGTCCAACTAACAATATTACTATTTTAAGGTTCCTTATTAAATTCTAAGTGTTAATTACTTCGAGCATTTGATAAGTCTTTAGAATGAAAGTAGGTATTGGGGTTCTAGTGCTCATTATTCTAAATATAATATTATTATATTGCAAAAGAAATAATCCAATATTTAAATTAAAGTAACTTAAAGATTTGTTCTCCACTTAAATAAATAAGAATCAAATTTAAATCAAAACTTTTTATTTATTTTTAATTGCATTCTCTAAATGAATTCATGAAATAATGTAAAAACTCTTTTTTATTAATAACATAAAGATCTACAACAATTTAATTTACAATCAAGTAATGTGATGTTGCTTAAATTATATATTTTATAATTTGTTATAAACTTTAATTAAATAGACAATCATTTCCATTAAATGTTAAAATAATTCATTAAACTAGATTTTTTATTTTTTAACTTAATTAAACATGATAAATATAATTTACATTCAATAAAACAATTCTAAAATAGTTTAAACCTAAACTTTTAAAATTTGTTAGCTCTTAGTCCAAATTATTTTAAGATTCTAATTTATTTTTCCATAATCTGCCATAGATATAATAATTTTACTTATTTCTTTAACTATTAAATTATTATAATACTTTCAATTTTAAGTATAATTATTAGAATATAATTTTAAATTATATAATATATCATAATTTATATGAAAATTTTATGATAATATATGTTTATATAAAAAAGAAACATAAATAATTTTGTAATGATTTTAATATTAAAATGTTTACAACTTATATTCAAAATATTAATATAAACTGTGGTTTACAAATAAAATAAAGCAATTTGAATTACTATTAAAAAAAATCAAAATAAATTGAAACATAATTTGCCTTCAGTAAATTTGCTTTTAAAATAATGATTATTTTGCTAAAATAATTTATATAAAATTTTCTCATTATATTATTATTGATACATCCTTATTGTTAAACATATTTGATATTTTATAATAAGTCCTTTTAGATTATATTTTAATTAATATTTCTTTCAAATCCAATGTTTATATGATTATAAAATTATAAAATTTATATATTAGATTATATGTATATAAATAATTTATATCAGAAAATGATCTTTATTTTAATTTATATAACTTTAAGATCTATAAAAAATCAGAAGTGTAATTATTTAATTTTACATCACATCAATTCACCTTCTTAATTGAGTTTATTAAATATAAAATGCAATCAAAAAGTTTTAAAAATATTATTAATATAATTATACATTCCCTTTCTTTAAAAGGAATAATAATTAATATATTATATTATAAGATCAATCAACATATCTTTAACATTCTTACATTCTCTCTAACTAACTCTTCATGTTATAAAAAGCTATTAAATTTCCTAAAAACTAATCTTCTAATTTTTCACCTGATCTTATATACTATAGATTCTTAAAGATATTGTCACTGATTGAATAAAGCCAATCTGAATTGGCTCTATTTGTAGCATTTTAATCAAATGATTAGAAATTGTTTTCAATTTTAATATGATCTTACATATCAGACTTTTAATCTAAAAACTATTAAAAATGATTATTGAATTAATCATCATCTCTTTTAGCTTCTGATTTTATTTTCTTTTTTGATTTCTTTCCATTAGATTCTTATTTAATACTGTCATACATTGGAAAATTTTTCTTTAGTTTTTCAAAAAAATAAGCTAATTTCTTATTAGCTAGATTTATAAATTCTTCAACTTTAGTTTCATCAACAGACCAACTAGATTCATCATTTCTTTTAAAAACAACTGCAGATAAGCATCCTTTTACTGTTCTCGTAGCCATACCTGTGAAATTTTTACCATTTTATCTTCTTAAGTATGGGAGATAAGGTTCTGTTACATTTATGAGGTTGTTCAAAGTAGCATTACCATTTTAAAGTTAAATTGCTTTAATTAAATGGCCAGTCAATGACATCTAGTATAATTCATCTTTATCAATCATTTCCTACCATTTATTTATATTAAATGCTCTAGCTTGCTACCATCATTATACAATAAATAATACTTATTTGATTGCTTCTGAATGATGTTTCCGTTCTTCTGGTCTAGGTTAGTTTAATCTAATATTGATAATTTAACTCAATAACAAAGGTTTACTTTGTTTAAAATACTTATTCTAATTGTCACATAGATCACTCTACTTTATAATATTTTTAATATACTTCCACTTTAGTTTTTTAATCCATTCCCTTGTTTTTATATAAAATTACCCCCTTTAATAAATTAAATAACGGGGATCATATTCCTCCTTAAACTTAAATAGTTACCCCGTAATCATAATTTTAAACATAGATTATGTTAATTTTATGAAAAGAAATGTGTTTTAAAATGAGAAAGACTTTCCATTTAACTCAAATCTTTAAATAATATTTTGATATTAAAATATTCTAAATATTCAAACTTTTTCTAATACTCATATAACCAATATAATTCTAAGGGAAGCTTCAATTGAATTCAGCATAAAAGCCTATAATATTTAATTATCATATATAATTAATTTAAGTAAAATCATCCAAAAACTCAATTTAATCTTTAATGAAATCTAGTTAATCTGACAGCATTGAAGAAGAATCAGGTAATTGGAATCTTTCTAGTCCTCAAGGACCTTAAATTTCATTAAGAAATACATTTGCAAATAATTAACCTGATTCCTCAGTTGGCTCACTTGAATCTGAGAGATTATAAGGTAAATCAGAATAATAAAAATAATAATTCACTATAGAACTTAGTCCAGAGGCTTAGCCTATTATTAAGAGAACTATAATAAGAACTAATCCTTTATAAAAATTGCATCAAATAGCTGCAAAAAATAGATTAGTAAAATAATTCAAATAAAATCTCCTCATGAATTCATATATTCTTTCCAAAGATTATAAGTAACAATTGATTTTATTTAAATAGAGATAAAATTATATAGTTTGAATAAATTTCGTAAAATAAAAATTTGGATTACTTAATTAGAAAAACCCAAATTTCAATTTTACCTGTTTTTGAGGCTTATAGTAACTTAATGAAATCATGGGATGTTATAATGATTTTTTAATAATTATTATAATTGTGGTTTCTACCTTTTATAATAAGTTTTTATGGATTTGATTCAAATATTGATATAATAAGAGAATTTTTGATTTTGATGATTTTACTAGACATAATTGTTTCAATGAATAGAGAGATATTTTATAAAGGAAATTATATAGGAAATAGGCCATAAATTTTTAGACAGTATACAAAAAATGGATTAATAGGAGATTTAATTTAATTAATTACTTGGTTTTGTTTTCTATTTATTTATAAAAATATAGAATATAAAGCCTACTTAATTTTATTAGGAATTTTAATGGTAGTTTGCTGCATTAAATCACTATTAAGAAAAACTGAATATTATATTGATAGTTATTATAATAAAGGGAATCTTAGTAATTTTTTGGATCTATTTATATTAATTCTATAGATTTATTTTGTAGCACATTATATGGCATGTATTTGGCATTTTGTTGGAGAAATGGGAATTTCATTTGAAAAGTCAACTTGGCTTAGTGAATATGGATTTCTTGATGAATCAATTACTACTAAATATAATTATTCTTTTTATTGGGCCACTATGACTATGGCTACAGTAGGCTATGGAGATATTACTGGAAGAAATAATTATGAAATACTTGTATCTAACATTATGATGATCTTTTCAAGTTGTATATTTGCATATTCAATGAATTCTATAGGAAATATATTAAAAAGTATAAATGATTCCAAGTTGAATTATAGGTATCATTAAACAATAATTATGTAGGAGGATGATATCATCAATAAATACTTATATGCAAAAAAATTAAGTTGATCACTAAGTCTAAGGTAAAGTGAGAAATTATATTAAATACTTAAACTAAAGAGAACAAGATTCTACTGAAGATTTTGAAAGCTCAATTTCTTATTTACCTAAAGGTTTATAAGCAGAAATGAAAGAAGACATAGCATAAAAAATTATTCAAAAAATAAAGATTTTATAATAAAACTTTTCTCATTCCACTTTAAATTTATTAATTTAACATCTCAAAATTTAAAATTATGCTCCAGGAGAATATATTTATCATTAAAATGAATAATAATATTGTTTTTGTTATATTAATTATGGAGAAGTTTAAATAAACGAGGAATAATCTCAAACTCAAATTTAAGTATTAAAACAAAATAGTAGTTTTAATGAATATTCATTCTTCACAGAGTAAGTAACCAAAAGTAATGCATTGAGTATTGGTTTTACATAAATTGTAAAAATAAACAGAAAAGCATTTCTATCTATTTTAAAAGAAAATTAAAAAGATTTAGAATAATTCTATAATATTAAAGACACTATGTTATAATATAAAGATTATTCTTTACTTTAGAAAAAATGTTATTATTGTGGATATATTAAACATGAAACAATTGATTGTCCATTATTAACTTATTAACCTAATAAGATGAATGTAATAAGAAAATATCATAAATCTTCTCAATTATAACCTAGAAAGTATATTCAAAGACATTATCATTATATTCCATCTAGATAATAGTATTAAGAAATTAAAAATACAATTTCATATGCTAGAGAGTATTATATTTCAGATTTATTAATGAATGATTCTTAATAATTTAATAAAATTTAAATAATTTAAAAAGAAGAAATTCCTCCTGAATCTAATTTGAATGAAATTATTTCACCTAGTTAAAAAAAAGATGAAACTGAATAAACTCCATAAATTATATCTAAATCAAGACTTCCAAGTATTTCAACAGATGCAAATAATTTAAGAAGAATTAGTAAATTTTAAATTCCTTTAAATCCAAATCCTGAAGAAAAAAGATAATCAAAAATTTAGTTAGACTATTTTTCAATTAATTTTTCTGGATTAGAAATTGATACAGTTTAAAATTATGAAAAATATATGATTCATAACAATTTCATAAACATTTTAAAAAGTTTCTAAAAATTTAAAAGAAAAACTAAAATTACAAATAGAAAATAAAAATTAATGGAGTCATTTAATAATGAAGATTGATTGATTTTATATAATTTTATTATTTTTTAGAATTTTCTTTAAAATTAAATTTGGGGGATGACAGAAAAAAAAGGGGAATCATTATAAGAATAAATGAAAAACCTTTAAGGAGAAATTAATAAGCTTCATTCTGAAATTGATTCAAAGAAGAGAGAAATTACAAAATTGAAAAATGACAATACTTTAAGATTAGAAAAAATAAATTGGATTTAAGTACATATATCAAATATTTAGATAGGAAAAAGTGAGGAAGATGTAAAGAGAAAAAAAAGTGTTAGAATTAAATGATTAAACTTTAAGTCTAGGACATGCTACTTCTAAACATTCAACTACAACTAAAGAAATTTAACCTCAAACTGAAATATAAAAACCACCATAATAAGAGATATAATTAGAGAAAATGTAGATGCTAGAATTTTTTAATCAGTATTTGGATTAAACAAATAAATAAATGGTTAAGTTTTAAGGAAATAGAAATAAAAATGGGGAAAGGGATGAATATATTAATCCTTATCCTATTATTAATATTAAATATACTATTGAAGGTATAGAATAAGGTGAAAGTTCATCATTTCGTTTAGATTAAGCAACAACATTTTAAAATTTAAAAGAATTAGCATTTTATTATTGGAATTTAGCTCCATATTTAAGAAAATTTGATGAAAAAGATAGTGAAATTATGGATGAATTAGAATTAACAGATGAAAATCATGCAAAAATTGAATTAAAAGAAAAAGTCATTGAGTTTTTTACTAATAGAGGTATATCAAATATTTCTTAGATTACATTATTACTTTAAAAGAAGAAAACTGTAAGACCAGCATTGAATAGTTTATAAATAGAGAGTATAAGAATTAATGGTGGAAATAAAACAGCTAGTTATTAAGGATCATTTGCTGTTCATAAAAATAGAATTAAAGCTATTGATACATATAATTTATTTTTTGAAAAGTTTCCAGGTTTAAAATATTACATTAGCGAATTATAAATTTAAAAAGAGTTTTAAGAATAATAAAGATAATTAGAAAAAGGTAATATTGAAAAACCAAAAGAACAAAATTTTGATTTAGATGATATGAATTGTCTTATAATAAGTTCTATTATAGTCATTTTAGTATTAACTTTACTTAGCTACAATGCTTATTTAAGTCCTAAATTTGTTAATTTAAATTTTACATTCATTAATAATTTAATTGGAATCACTTCTAATGGAGAATACAACAAAATAACCTCAATCCCTGAATTTTATTATTATATGGAAAACTTTTTGGGAGCAACAATGTATAATTCTGATAAAGGAGATAATCCTTTTCGTTCTAATTATGAGATAATAGGAGGTATCTAATTGAGAACTCTTAGAAGTGATTTATATGAATGCGAAAAATATGTTAATGAATTACAAAGATTTAGTTGTTTTGATATTATCTATGATTCATCTAAGGCAAATAAATCTAAATTCTTAAATTATACATATAAAACAGCAGAAGAATTAGGAATCAAGTATTTCCCTAAAGGTAATTTAACTACATATACTGATGGTGGTTATATGGTTGAATTTAATAGAGATATTTCAACTGAAGCATTTTTAGAGAAGATTAATGATTTGAGAAAAGAATAATTTTTAGATGCAGCTACTGCTGTAATTTTTATTCATTTTGTGATTTATAATCCTAGTATTAATTTATGGATATAAGCAAATTTTTTATTAGAAAGAAATGCTTAAAATAAATTAACACCTTATAGAGCAGAATTAACAGGATTTATACCAAATATATATTATGGAGATGATGGTTAACGTTTATTTTAAATTGATATAACAAAATTGATAATGGCTAGTATTTTATTAGCTTTTGTTGCATATAGATTTTATAAGATTAAAATTAATACTGGTAAATTAGGACCTGCATTTTTATATATAACTATGGAAATAGGATTTTTTAATTGTGGAGTTGGAATTTTAACAATTATTTCTGTTGCTATGTCATTATAATAATCACTGTAAGGAAGAGATCCTTAAGAACTAGTTAATTCTGAACAATTTGTGGTAAATTATTTTTAAGTATTTAAATAGCATTTAGAATTAGAAGCAGATTTATATAAAAAGGCAGAATTATTTTTAACAATTAGTATTATGTTTTTGTTTTTAAGATTATCTTATATATTAAAATTGAATGATAGAGTTGCAATTATCTTTTTAACATATAGTAAAAGTTTTAAAGAATTACTACCTTTTTTAGCTATTGAATTTCCTTTATTTTTAGGATTTGTAATGGTCTTTTAAATTATTTATGGAAATGTATTTCCTCAATATTCATCATTTACTTTAGCAATTGCTAGTTAATTAACTATGGTATATTTATTTATTATATAATCTTAGATATAAGGGTAATTAAATATTACTTAATTTGTAAATTATTCTCCAATAGTTTCAATGATTGTAATTCTATTTTACTATTTCTTTATGTTATTCTTCATTATTTCATTATTTTAAGCAATTTTGATTGAATGTTTTAGAATTGTTATAATGAAAAATGGATATCCATAAGATAAAGATTAAGGATTATCAATTGGAGATTTATTTAGTTGGATGTTTTCATGGACACAATTATTTATTAGTAAAAAGAATACTACAGAAGAAAAATAACAAGCTTAGTAGTAAAATAAACCTCCTGTAGATTAAGAAGAAAAATAGGGAATAAATTCTGCAACAGAAAATTGAAATAATTTACGCTAAAATATTAATCATCTTTTTTATTAATTTTTATTTCCTTAAAGAATTCCATGAATTAAATTTCTAGGCCAATTATGATTTCTCTATCTGATAGGTTCTTAACTTAATGGTTGTGGTAATTATTGTTATTAAATTTCTGGGATAGGAGAAGGAGAAGAAAGTTATATTTCTTCTTCAGGTAATTTGCTTAAATGATCTGAAATAGAATCAATTTATAATTCACATTCAATTATATTAGATTTTGATTAAATAGATGGAGAATCTTATCTAACTATGATTTATTAAGGAACAATTTAAATTGAATCTTCTTAAGAATATTTTTTTTTATGTTTTTTCTTTTTTTCTTTTTTTTATTTTTTTTCTTTTTTTGATTTCTTTTTTTCATGTTTAATTTTTTTTTTATCAGGAAACTCATCTATTTGAAGATTACTATTATTACTATCCTTCCTTAATAATTTTTCTAGTTCTTTTTACCATTAACTTTCTTCTTTTGGATACTACATTACAGTCTCAAAATCAAAATAATCACATTTTGTAATTAGTTCTTCTAAATACTATTTGTAATGTTTAAATATATTTAGGATTGTTTCATTAGTAAATATCAAATCTCCTTCATAATCAATACTTTCAAATATCAAAGCTTCCTTTTAACAATCTAATTCTTCAGGTAAACACTCAGAAACTGAACTAATTCCTAAACCTCCATAATCTATAGGAATATTATCCTTAAAAATTAAAGCTTTTTATTCAGTAATTCTAGCAGTATATTCTTTTTGCAATTTACTTAAATTAAGATCAGTTAATTTATTTAGCTTTTGGATATATAATTTTAAAGTGGCATCATTAAATCCATAATTAAAGTAATCTGTTATATCAATTCCTTTGGTCAACCATTTTTTTGAATTTGCATTTAGATATTCCTCCTTTAATACTTGGGGTGTTTATAATTTATAAAGTGGTGTAGATTATTTTACTCTTAGTAATTTCTCTCTAATGTTCATTTATTTTTGAATTATATATAAAATTAATATTATATATTTATTCAACAATTTCATCAATTTTAAGATATTTTATCATAAAATTTAATATAAATAATACTATTTGTTATATTTATTGTTTTGATGAAAAAATATCTTTTGATTTTAAAGAATACTTAAATTTAACAAAATTATTATATTCATCTTTAAATTGAGAATTTAGAATTTAAGAATAACAAATAAATAGCTTTAAGATGAATATCTTTCATATTTTCTTCTTTTATCTCATAGTATCCTCCTTTATCATAAACTTTTAGCTATTTTATTCAAATAAAATAAAAAATTTTTACATGGCTTAAAATACTTAGTTCGAAATATTTCTTGTCCTAAAAATCTTCCAAAAAAATCATCCATCAATAATAAATAATTAACTTTTATTTTGATTAAATTTAATACTTTAGAGTTTCTATATTTTAATCCATTTTAAAGAACTAATTAATAATATTACATCCTGAAATAAAAAAGTAAAAACTAAAAATATAATTAAATAAATAGATATATTAAAAAACTGTTGTTTTTGTTTGTTAATTGATTATGTTTAAATTTTAAATTGATACTGTTTAGAAAAGGATTTTTAATAAATCATCATTTATTCACATTATTATTTACAAATTTCAGTATAAGTTGAATTTCATTGTATTTTTACTGCTTTTTTAATATAAAACCTTCAAATCCTTTTGATTTAAAGAAAGCTATTATTTCATTAATTGGATTGTCTTAAATTACAAAGAGGTATCTAAATATTATTATATAATTTACATAATTCCATTAGAATTCATCAAATTGGTTACTTTCTCAAGAATTTTCCAGGTAACTAACATACCATCCTTGCCTCCTGAATATGAACAATCAATCAAATTTACTTTAGCAACTTCTTCAATTAAATCTTAACCTCTTAAATTGTTTGCATATGCCTATGCAAATAGTTATTACTTTTCTTTGAAGTATTTCTTGCATCTTTCAACTTCATCATCCTCAGTTGGAACATAAGGAGGGTTGAATATAAAGATATCTATTCCTAATTTATCTAAAGCCAATCCTTCAAATCCATCTGAATTAATACAATCAAAATATATTTAATTTTCTTGCATAATTCTTGATGATGCTATACATGCATCATAATTGATATCAATGCCAATACACATTAAAGCTCTATTGTTTTATTCTTGCAAGAGTTTACTTACATTGCCAATCAAGATTCCTGATCCGCATCCCATTTCTACAACAATTGCATTTTATGGAAAGTATTAGATCTCTTCCTTTAAAGCATCTAAAAATAAGTATGAATCATCATTTGGAACATATATATTTTTGTATTCTGTTTTATTTAAAGTAATTTTCATTATTTTAATATTATGTAATTAATGTACAATGAATCATTATTTCTTTCCTTATGCTTTTTTTGGTTAATGTTTCTTTATTTCTTTAACTTATTCTTTTGGTTTTTCTTCTTTTGGTTATTATTATTTTTTATCTTTCTTTTCTTCTTTTACTTCAACTTCTGCATCATCCTTTAATTTCTTTATTCTCAACATACCTTATTTAGCAGATAATCCAGCAGGAGTACTTTAAATTAATAAATATATTACTTCACTTCCCAAGCTCCACCAGCTATTTATAATCCAGTTTATGTGCATCTCCAAATACCAATAGCTTATCTTTTTAATGAATGCTGTAAAATAAATATTATCATAATACTGCTCCAGTAAATGTATTAAAATATCTTTAATGTTATGAAATTTCAAATTTCTTAATAATCTTTCTTAATGATGCACCATATCTTGTACCATATTTTCCAGTGATACCTACCTTCTTTGTCTTCTTTGTCATTTCAAATAAAATTAAAAATTTTTAATAAATTTACTTCTAATAAATACTAAAATAATTATTATTTTTTTCAATTGATTGCATAATAATTTAATGTAGAAAATATGGAAATAAATAGAACTTTTAAAGAAAGATGTATTTAGATAGGTGATATTATTATTAATTAATTTTGCATGTACATAATTCTCAAAAATTAAATTTATTAGAAATTGTTGCATTTGAAATCTAGGACATATTATTTTAATTTTATTAATATGTAACACTTTAATTACGAAAACTTCTCTACTAAACTAATATTAATAATTACATCCTCTTGTAATGGTATTGGAGATGTATATTTTGTAAAAGTTTGACTTTTTATTGATGATATTCCAGGCATTTGTGCAGGTACTTAAACTTTAGTTTCATTTAAACATTTATTTAAATATTGAATCATTTAATTATTTGATTCAAGTAGTTTTTAACTCTCAGCTAATTTGTTTTTTAAATCAAGATTCATATTTTCTTGATCTTTCAATCTTATTTCTAAAGAATCCTTATCTCTTCTTACTAATTTTATTATTATATAATTACATTCATTCAATTATTTATGATTTGCATCATTTGCATCTTATAACTATTGTACAGTTTATTCTTATTATAGAAATACAGAATTTTTTAATTTAATTTTATCCTTTTATTTGCTAAGTTCATTTTCCAATTTTTCTATTATTTGATTACCTTTATTTACTTCCTCACTCATTACACTAATTCTTGATTCAAGTTTTTCTATTTATTTTTTTTAATTGGCTACTTATTCTTCAAGAATAGACTTATAAATTGAATATAATATTTTACATTCTATTTTTTCTCATTATCTACTAATTATTATTTATTATTTAAATATTCTTCCTTATCATGTATCAATTTTTCAAATCCTTCCTTTTAAATTCTTAATTCAATTAATTATCTTTCTTATGTAAATTTTAGAGTATCTAATTCTTTATTCTATAATCTAAATTCTTAATTCTCCTTTTAAAATTATTAATTTTCTTATTAAAGTATTGCTAATTTATTTTTAAGATCTCTTTCCTATTATATTAATTATGACTTTTAATCTTATATCTCTTAATTAATCTATTATAATTGTGTATACTTATTCTATAATTCATATACTATTTTATCATATTTTTCAATAATAAATTGTTTTTCATTTTCACTTTCTCTTTTAAAATTAGTTTCTTTGCTCAAAGATTATTCTCTAAAATCATTAAATTTCTTCTATTCATCTAATAATAATTATTATATGACTGTATCTTTATCCTCTGTGAATTTCCTAATTTCCGACTTTAAATTTTCTAGTTCCCAATGTTTCTCTTCTAATAACTCAGTTAATTTTTTATTTCTTTTTTATTATTCTTCATTATCTTATCTTTCTATAGCTAATTTATTTGCTAAAAATGCTTTTATTAAGTCATCTGTTGCACTACGTAATCTCAAAGATAAATGAGTTAATTTTTTAAACTCATTATTTTCAATTACTGCAAGTGTAGATTCTCCATTCTTTGTCTCTAAACAAACATAAAAACTAAATAATCTCACATTTTTTACTTCACTTTTTCATCTCTTTAACTATTAATACATAATTATAACAAATCTGCAAGTTTCATTGGAAAAGTGGCAAAATCAACATGCAAACTTTATTCATTTTTTAATGCTAAAAACTCACCTTCTGTCAAATCAAGTATCTATAAAAACTATAAATTATTATCATCTGTCAATTCAATCCTCAATGTTTAACCATGAGCTTATTAACTCTATTGCATAATCATTTTCAAAGTCAATTATGTATTCCAATCATCTGTAACCTATTTCACTTTTACAGGAATTTACAAGGTGAAAAGCTCTTTTGATACAGTTGTAATAGGAGCATTAACAAAACTGATATTGACAGATTAAGGTCTATTACTCATTTATTCATATTTCAATTTTTAAGATGATTGAAAATCATTCATATTTGTTGTTGATTTAGCTGGAGTTTATTAAACACCAAATTCAATTCTTTTGAAATTCCCCCTATAGTCTTGCATTATTATATTTTAAATTTTAACTGTTAATTAAAGGAAAATTTGTATAAATCAATAACAAAATATACTAATCGTTGTCTATGGATTATTGATAAATCTATCTTTGAGTCTAAATTTAATTAATTATTACAAAAATTCTTTTTATTTTGGATATATAGATACTTATTGTATCAATTTATAAATAAAAATGACAACATATTTTAGGATTAATAAATAACTTAAAAATGATTTGGTAGTTTATTTTCTGTTTTTAACAGATTTTGTAAATAGAAATACTTTAATAATTACTAATCATAAGAAATATATTTTAGATAACTACAATGAGATAACTTTTAATTAAGAATTTTAGAATTAAAAAATGTCTTACAAGTAGGAGGTCTTTCCATTTTTTAGAATTATTATATAAATACTAATAATTTATTCATTTTATACTAATTTATATGTTGATACTGGGGATTGCAGAGAGTTTCTTGACTCTTGATAGAACAAATTCTTTACCATTTATCCTTCTATGCACGTCAATTACAGTAGTTAGATGATTAAATTAGTTTTATTATATATTACTAAACATTTTCACATTATTTCAAATAAAATTGGTTTAATTCATTCTTTTATTTATTTTATAAATATAAACAGTTTTTACTTTATCTAGAATAAATTAAATTCATTTTGATTATCAATTATGATAATATCAAATTGTTATATTTTTAAATGTAATTAAATATCCATTTTTTTATTCATATCATAATTTAATTTGAATTATAAAGATAATCAGACTTTTTGAAATTAGAAAAAGGTAAAAATAAATTAAATTATAAAATTTCATAAGAATATTCATTTCTCGTTATTAATTGATGTAAATACAATAAAAATGATAGAAAGAGTACCATAATTCAGAACAACTTAATAATATCCTATTTAAATAAATAAAGATAATATTGTGACTGCTCCAGGCAGAATCCACATTTTTATAGTTTTCTATGCTTATATTTCATTTTAAGCTATGTAGGCAATCATTTATAAAATAGTCATGAAAGTTATTTCTCTAAAAATAGATTAAATTATATATATTACAGAAAATATGCTCCTGAAAAAATATTTTATACCTCTTAAGTCATAAGATTTAGTATAATATAAACAGGTAGACCTAAAAGACTCTAATATAGCATTAAAGTAAAAAAAGGAAGTTATTTGTTCATCAAGAATTTAATTACATGAGAGAATGCCAAACATACTGGTTAGAGAAGGCAAACAAAAACATATAATAAATTTTGACCAAATAATAAAGTTGATAAGGTTTACATTAAGGAAATGAATAAATGTAATTAATTTCCTGCTTAATATAGAAAATGGTTAAAGACATATATATATCCTGGAGTTAATTAATGAAAAGCACATATTTCTGAAAAGGGAAAATAAAACCTAAATTAATTAATATCATACATTGCCCAAAATCCAACTAAGGAAGCAATGACTTGACATCCTGCCATAGTACCTATCACTCTGAAACATGATTAGTCTAGCTGAAAAAGACGTTTGTCAAAAAATTGAATATACATCAAAGTAATGATTACTTTAACAATACATCTTTATGTAGCAATAGTAATTGCATCAATATTTTAAACTAAAGAGTATCCAATCATTAATTGCATTAATTAGCATAAAACATATATTACACATAATGCTGATGGAGGTAATTTTGTTGAATTAGGTATTAATTCTTATGTTTCATTGAGAAGATTTGTAGTATTGATATTTGCATGAAAGCTTAAGTTTGATTCAGCTCTGCTTAATTTTTCTGACAATAAATCATCCATTTTGGTATTTATTTTAATTGTATATAAATCAAGTATTAGTGATGAAAGAGAATCAATATATATTATTTATATTTAATTAATAAACAAACATCTATTATTTCTTAGTTGCTAATTATTACAATAAATAATTAATAATACCTATTAATATTAATTCATATCAAACTATCAAATAAATTTATCAAAATATCAATCTTATGATTATTTATTTAATTTTAGCTTTGATCATCTCCATCAAATCTCTACTTTTATAGATAATTGATTTATATATATATAAATAAAATATATAAATTTTTAATTAAATGTCGCTAAGTTAACTGTCAAGCAAACCAGGAATAAATTATGCAAGTATTACATTTTATAAATAAGTTCAAGAGAACTCAGACATAAAAAAAGTCCAAATGATTAATAGTCATTTGGTTTAAATGATGACTTTTTTAAGGATAGTTTATAAAAAATACAATCTTTGAAATAGAGAAGAAAACCAAGTGTAGATTTGAAACATTAAAGGGCAAAATCAACACTTGAAAATAAATAACACTCATATAGATTTAATAAACCAATAAATGATAAAGATGAATAAGATGGGGAGAAGTTATTTGACCAATTTTTTAAACTTAATAATTCAAAAAGTGATAGTGAATTTATAAAAGATTCTATGAGGGATTCAATGTAAAGAGATACAAATAATAAAAATTAAGATCAATTAGATTTTTTAAAATTTGTTGAAAATGCTATTGAATATCATAAATAATCAGAAGTAAGATTTTTTAGACCTTCTAATAATAATAAACATTCTTATTTGGAATAAAAACTAAAAGAAGCTACTTTATCAAATAGATTGTTAGCAAATTAGTTAAATTAATACAAACAAAAAGAAATTGATCTTAAACATAAATTAAAATTGATGCAAAAAGAGTTTTCTATTGAATATAGTAGATTAATATAATAAAATGCATGGTTAGAAGAATTACTAGCAAAATAAAAAATAGATAATCAAAATTCATTATTAGCTGTTAAAAAAGCTGTTGAAATGCTTTAAACAAGATGTAACTGTTAAAAAGGAATATAATTATGTGATAAAATCTTAAGAGATGTAAAGAATTAAGAAAAAATACGCTAGCAATATGAATGGGAATAAGAATCTTAAAACATATAATCTTCATCAGAATTTAATAATAGTAATGAGGATGAATAAACAAATGAATTAAATTTTTAATTATTTGAAAAAAATAGAAAAAAATCAATATCTAAAGTTCAACATAATTCAATTTAGTCAACTGAAGACTAATAGGAATAATTAGTTCATAGTTATATTTAAGGAACTAGCAAAAATTTGAGAGAATATACAAAAGATTTATTTCAAAAGAAAAGACATTTTAAAGAACCTTATTACATAGAAGAAGAAAATACAATAAATAGTAGTTGAAAATTTTTATTTTAATAATAATAATTGATATTAAATTACAATTAAATATGTTCATATTTTTAGAAAATTTAGTAAATACCAAATTTTTCAATCTTCTTATAAAATATATCTGAAGTTCATTTTACATATATATGAAAATATTATAATACTTTCATTTATTTCTTAAGTTTAAATTTAATTTATTAAATTCTATCAAAATGATTTTGAATCTGCAATTTTTAAAGTCTATTTATAAGTTTATCTCCCTTATTTTATAAAATATAGACACTTATATTTAATTATATTTAACTAATCTCTTTTAATTAATTTATTTTAAGAAATGCAGATTAAATATGAATAGAAATTATTATATTTATAATTAAAATATAAAAAGTTAGTAATATTTATATTTTGTTTAATTTTCTTTTTGAATTGATTTTTCCATCTTTTAATTTTTAGCATAGATTTCTTGATGAATTTATTATTTAGTGTAATAATCATTTCAATAATAAATAAATTTTAATAAAAAAATAGATTAGATAAAATGAAATAATAATAAAAATATTTTATGTTATTTCTTTAATATTTTAATTTCATTATCGTTCCTCAGAAAATAATGGTAATCAAAACAGGTAAAACATATAGATAGGATCCATGGCCTGTTGTAACAGGATCAGTTACATTTGTTGAATTGTTATCTACAGTAGTGTTATTATTGTTGTTGTTATTAGCTCCTGCTCCACAAGCTATACATTTCTTTGTACTAGTATTCCAACTGTAGGTATATTAACTCATTTTATAACATGTATCCTAAGTTAATGCACTTGGATCACCAGTTACACATTTACCTCCTTGAACTTAACAGACTGTGTATCTTTTGCCATCAAAACTAGGGATAGTGACACATTTAGCTGTTCCTTTAGCAGCTGAATCACAAGTATGATTGGAACATGAACTAGCAGTAGTTCCAACTGCAGCTATCCATTTACAAGTTAATGATTTAGATTGGCATGCATTTTGATCTGAATTGGCATCTGAACATTGAGAAAATAATTTGCATGTTCCAGTTGTTGTAGATCCAGATGCTGGAGTAAATGCACAAGCTCCATCTGTTCCACCAGCATTACAAGCTTCTTTAGTAGTGTAATCTGCACATTTTCCTTAATCTATACATTTGGTTCCATCAGATATACATCCAGCTAAGGCAGCAGCACATTCAGAAGTCTTAGTCTTTTTAGTATCTTAACAAGTTTTAGTTTTACATGTTTTGGCTGTAGTATCCCAAATACAAGCTTTGAATTAACTATCAATGACACAACCTGCTTATTTTGTATATGAGGCACAATCAGCTAAAGAGATACATTTAGATCCATCAGTTGTACATTTAGTAGTAGAATTAATTTAATATCCGAAACATCCATTATGAGTAGATGTAGAAGTAGATGCATCAGAACATTATCTCAATCGACAAGTTGATGCATCCTTATCAAATTAACATGTTCCATCAGTTCCTCCAATTTTACATGCAATTTCACTATCAGCATAAGTAGAACATTCAGCCATATCAATGCAATTAGTTCCATTAGTAATACATTTAGTATTGAAGGCTGAACATTCGGTACTTACTTTCGAGACTAAATCTGTACATTAAGTAAAGAGTTAACATTTCTTAGTAGATGTTACCCAACCACAAACACCATCAGTACCAACTGAACATTATAATTGTTTTGTGAAATTGGCACATGTCTTTAAAGGTGTGCATTTGCTTTCATCTGTTGTACAATATTTAGAAGCTGCTTAACATGTAGCTACTGTTTTCAAAGCTAAATCAGCACATTTGTAGTATTATTAACATACATTATTATTCCAAAGACATGGTTATAGAGAAGAATCTTAAAGACATTTTGCTTATGTCTTAAACATATCACATGTAAATGTAGATTTCATACATCCTGCACCATTACTTACACAACCAGAAATGAATGCATCACAATCAGAATCATTTTATAATGTAGTTGCAGCATCTTAACAATCTTTTGGTCTACATCCTTTGATTTAAGTTCCTGTTACAATAGTTTCATCCCAAGTACAACTTCCAATAGAATCTGTAGATTTAGCTGTTTAACAAACTTCCTTTCTTGTATAATTTGTACATGCTCCTTTAGTAGCACAACCATTTCCTACTCCAGCAAATGTACAAGTATTAGAATAATCAGTACAATCTGACTCTGAACCAACTGTTAATGGTAAATCTTCACATTTAGCTTCTGTGCAAGCACTGTTTTTCCAAACACAAATGCCAAACCCTGAAGATGATTCAGAAGAAGCACAAACACTTTATCCACTTGCAGTGAAACTACTACATGATGATTGAATATCTCTACATTAAGAAGCCCAAGTGCATATTAAATTATCTCCACTCTTAACAGTAGCACAAGATGAAGAAGATTATACATCTGCACATGCAATTATTGAACCACAACCATGACCATTAGTCTTACATCCACTTTTATATGCATTACATTCAGCATCAGTAATTAATGTAATAGGAGCATCTGAACATTTAGCAGCAGTACAACTAGTTGGTGTTTCTGTTTAAAGAGCTGTACCAACACATGGTCCATCTGATGCTACATATTAAGTACAAGTGACAAAGTTACCCTTCAATTATGAACATTATTAAATGACATCGCATTTTGTACCATTATAATGACATTAAATACCATAAGCTTAACATATTGATTCAGAATAAGAATCAACAGCCAATTTAGTACAATCTTTCGCTTTACATGCTGTTGTTGCAGTTGCTGTTGAATCATTAGTACATGATTTACCATTACCCACTGCCTTTTCACAATCTGCTTAAACTCCTTAATATGATGAACATTCAGAGATAGTTTCAATACAACCTGGTCTCTTTGTAACACATCCTCTTAAAAAGGCTGCACAATCAGTATCAGTAGTTGCTGTTGTATTATGAGCACATGTTCTATCAATACAAGGACCTTTAGTAGTTAAAGATAAACTCCAACATGATTTACCATTTCCTGTTAATAATTTACATCCATCTTGATTTCCCCATTAACCAGAACATGGAGTAGTACCAGTAATACATCCTTTACCAGTTGTTATACAACCATCCATAAATTTCTTACAATCTGCATCTGTTGTAGCTGTTCCATTATCTTAGCATCTTCTATCTACACAACCACCATTTGCAGATGTATTACCTTAACATTTTGATCCCAACTTTATACCAGTAAGTAATTAACAACTTTCTGAAGTTCCTGACATTGTTGTACATGCTGATGTAATATCAACACAACTCACTCCATCAGTCTTACAAGTTGGAAGCCATGCCTAACATATAGCATCAGTATTTCCATCAGTTTTTTAACTACATGTTCTATCCAAACAAGCAGCTACAGTTGATCCTGAATTATGTTTTTAACATAATCGATATTCCCAAACAGTACCAACTTTGTATTTACCTGTTAAATTTAAACAATCATCTGCAGAAGCCTAAACTTAACCACAACCAAAAGTAACTCCATCAGCAGTATTTCCATTTACACAAGCAGGATTACCTCCTGGCTTTGAGAATACACATAAATCATAATATGAATTACATTAAGAAAATGAAGAAACAGTAACTCCAAGGTGTGAATTTGCATTTGCACATGATCTTTCCACACAATTTGTTCCATTATGGAAACAAAATTAAGCAGTTGCACTTCCTTAAAATGAAGTTGCATAAGCTACTTTTTTAGCTTTACAATCGTTAGCATTAGCATTATATGCAGAACAAACATCATCTATACAAGCACTTGATCCAGTTGCATGTGCTTTACATGCACCACCATGAAGAGTAATCACAGTAGGACATGTACCAGAAGATGATGGACCAAATGCACCACAAGTAGCTCCAGCATTACAAGCAGGTGTTCCACTTACTGTACCAAAATGACATAATGGATGATAATTTTAACAGTTGGTTTCAGTAGTTGGACCAGTAACATTAGTACATGTATAATCTTCACATACTGTACCATCTAATTTCCTTGCACAAGTAGATTTATGATCTGTACAAGCCTTTAGATCAGTTGGATTTGTAATTTAACTGCATGCTCTATCAATGCAAGAAGCACCAGTTGTCCAATAACATTTTTCACCATTTGAATTAACAAGATCTTTACAAGCAAGTACAGAATTTCCACTATAAGTATTACAATTTCCTATGATAGTACATCCATTATTAACAAATACACATCTATTTGGTAAAACCGCATCACAACTTGCCTAATTAGTTGCTCCAGTTATACTGGCACATGTAACTTCAACAGTACAAGCTTCTCTTCTTGCACATCCTTTTGATAATGCTAAACAACCTGCTTGATTTAATCCAGTATAAACGTTACAAGCTTAAGAACTTGGAACACATCCAGCTCCTGTTGTCACACATCCCTTCAAAAATTTACTACATAAATCATCAGTAGTATTAGAATTATCAGCATCACTACAAGCTTTGTCTACACAATTAGATCCACTTCTCCACCAACAAGGAGTTGTTTAATTATTACCTGTAAACTTTCCACAAATATCTGTGCTTGCTCCAGCATAAGCATTGCAGAGAGCACTAGCTGCTATACATCCAGTTCCTTTTGTTAAACATTTTGCATGAAATTATTTACAAGTATCATCTGTGGTAGCATCAGTATTATCTGTACATACTGGATCAGTACATGCAGTAGTATCAGTAGCACTATTAGTATTAGTGCATTTAATAGTGAATCCTTCACATGTAGCTTTAGTTCCTTAATAACTACTACAAGTAGCAGTTGATGCAACACAACCAGTTTTTTTAGTCAAACATCCCTTTAAGAAAGTATCACACATTGAATCTGTATTATATGTAGCAGGTGCTTAATCACATGTTCTTGCTACACAACTACCAGTCACCCACCAACAAGTATTTGAATTTTGTAAAGTAACAGTCTTACATAAAACTTCAGTTTTTAGATCATTGCAAGCTACATTTGATACACATTAAGGTGTCCATTAACATGTTGATTTTCCATCACATTGACTGTTATTTACTAAAGTACTACATGCACCAGCATCCATACATCCACCAGTACCAGTAGCAATACATCCTGTTTAATAATTTGAACAATCCTCATTAGTTGTTAAAGAAGCAGGAGCATCTGAACATTTCTTAGGGAAACAACTACCACTACTAGCTCCACCTGCACACTTACCATCAGTTCCTATATATCCATCACAACTAGTTGAATCTCCAGTATAAGAAGAACAAGTTGATAAAGTTGAGACACAACCTTTACCTGTTGTTTTACATCCAGTTTGATATTCATCACATTTTTCATCTGTATTCAATGTAGCATCGGCATCTTTACATACTTTGGCAATGCAAGCAGCTTCAGCATCTGAAGTTCCCTTACATTTACCATCAGATCCAATATACCCATCACATGTTGAGGAAGTACCTTTATATGTAGAACAAACCCCTCTTGATGTAGTACATCCTTTACCAGTTGTCACACAACCACTCTTATACTTACTACATTCATCATCAGTTGAATATGTTTCTGGAGCATCTTTACATTCTACAACATTACATGTTTTTCCTTCAGCTACTCCTTTGCATTTACCATCTGATCCTATCTTATTTGCACAAACCACATCATCACCTGTCTATGTAGAGCATGATCCTAAAGGAGCTTTAACACAACCATAGCCGTTTGTCACACAACCAATTTAATATTTTGTACATGCTGCATCTGTAGTCAATGTTGTTTCGGCATCTGTACATACCTTGACTATACACTTATCTTTTCCCTCTACTCCTTTACAATAACCATCAGATCCCTTCAATCCTTCACAAGTTTCAATATCACCATTATAAGTGGAACATAATCCTAATTAGGTTACACATCCTTTTCCTGTTGTTACACAACCTTTTATGAAATTATTACACTAAGCATCTGTATTGAATGTAGCATCTGCTTCAGTACATTTTTGTTCTCTACATGCAGTGTCCCAAACACAAGTGCCTGAACCTCCGCTACTTCCTTTTCCAGTACAATCTTCGGCTGTTTTATAAGAAGAACAAGTTCCAGGATCAACACAAAATGCTGTACCGTCGGAATTACATTGTTTTGAGATGGCTTGACACTCAGCGTCAGTTGCACCTTTGTAAGCAGAACAACCAGCAAATATTTAACAAACTGAATCAATATAGGCACAGCCCTTTGTTTTAGCACAAGAGATAGCATCAGATATCAGTCCGCAGTATCCTTCAGTGGAACTGCTTCCCGAATCCATTTTAGAGCAAAGAAATGTTGTTGTTGACCAACTGCATCCTTATTTTGCTTTGCAGTCAGCCTGAGAGAGAAGTTTCTCGCAATTGCATTAATCTGAGACTGCTACATCTATTGAAGATGCAGCCATAAGTAAAATACTTATTGTTATCAAAATCTTCATTTGATAATATTAAATAAATAATGAATTTAAAAGTAAATCCTTTCTCCATTTGAAACTAAGATACAACTCCAATTGTACATTCTCTGATTTATAATTTTGTCTAAGTAGCTCAATACCTAAAAAGAAAATCAAATACATTAAATAGTAGTATAAATGATTTGATAAAAAATGATATTTTGTTTTTAAATCTATACTTTTTGACTTAAAATAATGTATATGATAGGCTAACCATTCTTTATACTTTGAGCAATTTGTTCTAAACTTTATTTGCATTTAACGTTAATCATGTAATTCTATCTTAAATTTTTTGAATTTTATTCTTTATAAAACATACTAATAAATTACCTAGCTACATGATACTTACAATTTAGGAAATATTGTCAAAGGCTTATCTATTTTTGCTTTGGAGCCATTAGAAAAATTATATTAGTGCTTCTTTTTTAATTAATTAAAAAATGCATTTTTATATAGCATCTTGTGATTGAAAGACTTGATAAAATTTATTAAAGTACTCAGACTGTAATCTCTAGTTTAAAACAGTCTTCTACTTCTTTTTTGTTCAATTTCTCTAACATAAAAAATTTAAATCACTTTGTATTTAGATGCTAAGCAAATACCAGTAAACCAGGCACATTAAGTGCTAAAGATAATATTATAAAAATAATTCTTTACAAGAAAACAGAATGAAGTTAGATTAAGTATTCATTCTAATCAATATTAAAAGTGGCTTTAAATTCAAATCAATAACTCAAAGAGAGAGAATCCAACTCTTTTTCAGTTTTTATTTTTTTACATTAATTTAAAAATTAATTATAATATAATTAGATTGAATAAGCATTTAAGCAAGTTTGCTATAATAATTAGCTTCTAAATGACCATAGCCTAAATTTACCCAACTGACAATCAAAATTTTTAAAATATTTAAACCTATATATTCTTTTGATGTCAATCCATAAATAAAATGAAGACATTCTTTGAATAATTTTCTTTAAATCTAAGAATTATATATCATGTATTTGAAAATGTTTATTACTTTGAATTTATTTAATCATTCATATTTATATTAAAAAATAAATCTGTCAATAATTTTATAGATGTTGTGAGAGGTTTTGTATTTGAAAAAATAAAGCTTTATTATAATCTTCGTTTTTAATTTTTTTTAAATGAGATTGAGATTAACTACTACACAGCATATTTTCATTAAAATATTGTCCTTATTAAAAGATAAAAAATTTGATAAGTAATTTTATATTCTACTTTAATTATCAAATCCATATATATTGAATATGGTTTGAATTAAAAATATATTCTACTTTCATTAAAATTATAAATCATTCATTTCTTACAATGCAATCAAATTGGTTAAAGAAACAAAAATAATTCAATTTTATATAAGATTGTTCAGATACATCGATATAAGAAATAAAATTTTAAATAGTGATTAAAAATTGGCTTTGATGGTTTATTCTATAATCTATGAAAACAGATTTTTTATAATAAATTAACTAATATTTAAATGTCTGAACTAGAGCAGAATCTTCTCTCAAATTCAATAGGAATTAAGACATAGTTTTAACATGAAATAGAGGTACTTAAACAATTGTATATGAAAGAAAATGATTGAACTTATAGATAACCTTAAATAAATTAATGATTAAATCCAATCTACATAAATTTCTGATTAGTAATTAAAACATTAAAATAGTATAGATAAAGCTCTAACCTTTTGCTCATTAAACAGACATTTAAAATTAAAGCTGATAATATTAAATAAATAATAACATCTTTAGAGAAAAGTGTTCGTGGTAATGAATAAAGAAATATTTTAAATAAATAAAAATAGTCATATTAAAAAGAAGTAGAAAGATAAAAACGAATTCTAAAGAGCTTTATAAATTCTTCATTTGAAAAAAGATTTTCTCGAATCTCTATAATAAGATAGTCAAAAGCATTTGGATAGGAAACTTAAACAGAGTAATTAAAATATTTTGTTGATTAAAATTATGTGAGAATTGTTCCTAAGGATGAAAGAAAAAAAGAAGAAAGAGAAAGTAAATAATATTCTTCAGTTTATGCTGAAGAAAATTCAAGAGTAAAAGCAATTTCAATAGATGAAGAATTTTTAGAGAGGGATATGATAGATTTAGAAAATATGCTGATTGATGAAAGGTAGAAAGAATTAGATGAAATTGAAAAAGAAGCATTTTAGCTTAATTAAATAGCAAATTAAATGGGAAGCACTGTTGGTTAATTAGATGTATAATTAGACTTTGGAAAGTCAAATATAAGTTTAGCTAAGACTAATGTAATAGCAACATCTAAAGAACTAGTTAGTGTTGATATTTAATAAAAAAGGTTATTCAAAAAAAAATATTATTTTATTATAGGAATTCTCATCTTAGCAATAGTAGTTTTGATAATTTTATTAATTTTAATCAATTGAAAGTGTTATGTGATTAATATTAAAAATATTTATTAAGATTTTATTAATCATAAATTTAGAATTTTAATTATGGTTTCAAAAAGACATTTCTTATTCATTAATTACTTATCAATATTTGTTATTAAATCGAAATATTGTAATAAATGAGATTTAATATTATTTTTATTAACAATATGTAATTATCATATGATGAACTATGCTAAAATAAATTGTTGGCTTTTACTATATTTTCTAAAGTGAAAGCACCCTTTCCATTAATTGAGGTATAATAAAAGTTTAAAAAAGTAAAGTGATACAGCTGAATTTAAATTGGCATTATAAGAACACAGATCTAGAGTTTCAACTACTCTTTATTTTTCAGTACTATCCTCATTTACTTTTTGTTTAATTTTGAAAATGAGAAATCCAATTTATGCATTGACAGCAAGGTATTTATATAATTTTATAAAATAAGATCATCTTTTTTTGGAGTATTAAAAAAATACTATTTTGTTCCTGTTTTGCTTTCATAACCATTTTAAACATAAAATAGACAACTTTATGATGAAAAAGTGAATAAAGTTTTGAAAAAATATGATTTTACTACTCCTGAATTTCAATAAGCCTTTAAATAGATTGAAGCTGATGGAGGCTTAAAGAAATTTATGAAAAAGTATCTTACAGAGAAAGATGAAGAACCTTAACAATCTGTTTAGCAAACATAATAATGAGAAATATTAATTTATTTTATTAATGTAATTTTCAGAGCAAATAACAAATATATAATTTGAATTAAATAAATTATTCTCATCGTTAATGAAGAAAATTAGTTAATAGATGTTATCTTTAATGAACAAAAATAGTAAACCAGAATAACCATATACAAATGACTTAAAAAAAAATAAATGTAAACCTTAGACTGCTAATACAGAGAGAACTTAATCAAAAACCTAGAAAAGTGATTTACTTGAGTATTTCAACAAAGAGAGGAACACTTTAACTTAAATTGTTAACTCTTCTAAAGCTATTTTAAAGGGAAGCAAAAGCATAGATAATTTATAACAATAAAGTTAAAAGAGCGAGCCATAAAAAAATGGATAATTTAATGTATATTTGAATATATTCCTATTTAGATTGATACACGGATATAAACTGAAGAAGGAAATACTACCAGAAGATAAATTTTAAAATAAAAACATTTATCATTAGCAACTATTTCATTAGATGCATAATGTATTGATAAAATGTTGAAAAATTAATTATCAAAATAACCACACACAACAAAGTAATCTTATAATTAATCTCCATAAAATTAAATGAAATCACCTATTAAGAAGTAAAAAGATTAATTATTATTTGATATGCATTTAGTAAATTATAAAATTTATATTTAGTTGAAAAATACAGTATGTAATAATGAATATCAGAATTATTTAAATTTAAAATTGAATAAATAATCTATTTAATCCAATAATTCATTAAATCATAGATAATCAATTGAAGATATATTATCAAATTAAAAAATACTTAAGGGATCCTAATAAGTTTTATCAAGTAAAATTAAAAAAACTGAAAGTGAATCTAAATCAACCAATTTAAGTCAGATTAAAACTGAATATTCATCAGCTTCTTATTAATAATAATTTTTAAAATAAAAAAACAAAGAAGAGAATATATAATATGATCCTAACAAATAATTACTAATTATACTTTATTATAAATAATAAAAGTAAGATATATTATAATATTATTAGATACACATATTTATATGAATTTTTAAATTAAACTACTGATAATTTGTATAATTATTTAATTCAATAAATAGCATGTATAGAAAGATCAATTACAAAACTTGGAAGTGATACAGGCTCAACTGAATAAGATTAAATATAATAAGGTATTATTTATTTAACAAATATTAGAATTAAATAAAATATGTCAATTTCAATCTATATCAAAGAATATTCCATATGATTATTATTTAACAATCTCTGGTTAAAAATTGGATGTTTTTAAAGGAAAAACATTGTAGGTTCAACCTTTTTATTCATAACCAATAACAACAAAAAGGGTTGGATTGAAGGATTTTACTTTAGTTAAATGTATTGGTGTTGGAGGATTTTCAAGAGTTTATATGGTAAGAAAGAGAGACAACGGAAAATTTTATGCTTTGAAACTTATTGACAAGAAATTCATTCTCGACAATTAAAAAGAAATTATTGTATAAAATGAAAGAGACATTATGGTTTAAATGGAGAATTAATTTATTACTCAATTGCATTATGCATTTGAAACTAAATATTATATTGCATTTGTTCTCGATTATTGTGCTGGAGGTGAGTTATTTTATCATCTACGCAAATTGAAAAGATTCAATGAATAAGATGCTAAACTCTATTTCATAGAAATTTGTATAGGCATGGCTTATCTACATTCCTAAAATATTGTATATAGAGACATAAAGCCAGAAAATATTCTGTTAGATTTATAAGGTCATTTACTATTAAGTGATTTTGGTTTATCAAAACCTGATATGAAACCAGATGATTTTGCATATTCTTTTTGTGGGTCTCCAGAATATATGGCTCCAGAAATGCTAATGAAAACAGGTCATAATTATTTAGTGGATTGTTATTGTTTAGGTGCCTTACTTTATGAATTAGTTACAGGATTACCTCCATTTTATTCTCATAATACTCAAGAAATTTATAATTCAATTTTGACTGAAAAAATAGAATTTCCATAATATGTTTAAATATCTCCTGTTTTAAAAGATCTTATATTATAATTGCTTTAAAAAGATCCCACTGAAAGATTGGGTTAGAATGGTGGTATTGTTGAAATTTTAACACACTAATGGTTTCAAGATGTTGATTTTGAAGCAATTGCCAATAAATAGTTAAAAACTCCTTATTAACCAGAACCTCTTAAATATAATTTTGATGAGGAAGAATTTAATAAAGGTGATGCTGAATTTAGGAAGTAATATTAAACGAATATGTAAAAAGAATTTCAAGTAATGTGTATTAATTATTTATTTAGAATATTGATACAGCAAATTATGTATTGAAAAACTTTTACTATTCTAGAGAATCAAAAATTGGACTCGATAAAACTAAAAGATTGAATGAGGTCAATTTAAATCAAATTTTAAATTAAGCTATAACTACTAAATCTTAATCTCCTACCAAAGTTTAAGCATAATCAAAGGGAGATAAATATTCGTAATAAGTACTTGCCTCACCTTAAGAGGGAAAAAGAATTAATAAATAAACAGGAAAAAGTGAAGTTTATGATTACTTTAAAAAGCATGATTTATGTACAAAGTCATCTCAACTACTATATTAATCTAATAAATTAGGACATTCTTATTCAAAAACAATGCAATAAGCTTAAAATTCTTTATTAGATTTAAAAGTATATTAATAATATGATTTTAGTAATTTAAATTATTTGTTGATTAATCAAAAGTATTATTATGTACAGATAGAACTAATACTTAACCAGATTAATATTTTAAAAATTTTACAGAGAGAATTAAAACTGAACATTTTGGAAATCTATAATCTCCTAAAACTATTACTCAGAGTTCATTGAATAAATTGACAAATTTTTCCAAACAATTGATATCTGAGAAATAAAAATAAAAATAATGAATGATCTTAATTTATTAATTTAATATTATTAATGAAATAAAATTATTATTAATAATCATCATTTGAGTATTAGCATGGATATGATATATAAAACTAATAAAACAATTATACCAGAAACTATTATTTTAACAATTTTATCATTTTATTCTGGAAGAGCAACTTATTTTTATTTTTAGGGACTAAAATCCTAAAATTCATGGATATCTGGAGAATAATTATTCTATACTAAATTAGGTTTTCTCTATTTTATTTCATCAAATTAAAAATGTAAAGGTGTATTGTTGTCTTAATGCATATCTTTAAATTCTAATTCTTCATTACTATTTTAATGTTTATATCTAAATTAGTTTTTTGAATTCTATTGAATACTATTTGATGGTTAATGAGTAACAGGTTATTCAATTTAAGAATTTCTTGATGTTGCAGTATATTTTGATATGATCTTTTCTACTTCTGGATCTGGCCTATATGGTTAGAAAGTGCTTAATGTTGATTATTTTAATGGCTAAGCATTTTGTGTATATCGAACATTTGAATATGATTATGTTGGTTATATGTAAGACTGTGCTTAATAAATTTAAGGCATTTGTTATGGATATATAGTGGTAGGTTATCCTGATGGAACAACTGGAATAGTTTTGATTGGTGAATATTAATGAACAGGAGCATTTTAGTGGTAATACATTAAATCGTTATAAATTTAATATGAATATTAATAATTATGTGCAACATTAATGTACTAATATGATATCATTTTTTCTTCTATTCAATTTTCTTTATGTAGAATTCCAATTCTTTTCCTTCTAGAATATAACCATCAGCTCTTCCTGATTAACCTGGTCTTGAAGTTATTCTAACCAATAATCTTTAATTGGCAAATTATTCTTAGACTAATTAATCAATAACATTTTCTTTAGTTCTTTATTCAAGTTTCTTAATGAGACTTTTAGATTTTTTTGTTTATTCAACTGGTGCATCCTATATAAAATTTCAATTAATACCTTCTTCTTTTTTTATCCTAATTCCACATTATATTTTTTAGCATACCATTATTTAAATGGTGTTGCATCAACTTAAACAATTACTCCTCTTGTTAATGTTTTTGTTCTCACTAATTCATTATTTGATGGATGATAAACAACTTCAACTATTTTTGATTTTTTAGCCACTCCTTAACTTCCCCATGATATATTTCCTTCAGATAAACGAAGTGCTCTAAATTTAAAGTTTCCTCCTCTCACTCTAATTCTTCTAACTCTCTTTTCTCCTGACACTAATTTTGTCATTGCTGCTTATCTTCCTTTCTCAAAAGCTCTCTTCTTTTTATGAATTGGCATACGACCTCCTGTGAGTCTTCTTTTATGTCTACTATCCCTTGAAATTCCCATAAGTTAATAAATAAAGATTTTATTTATATTTAAAATAATAAACACACAAACAATCTTGTATTTTATTATTTTTTTTGATATTATATTTGTAATTATATTGTATTTCTATTTTTTGTTTTTTTACTAAATGAATTCATATTTTAATATAAAAATATAATGAAAATGTTAAGAGTTGAATAAGAATAAATAAATAATATTTATATTAATTTATTTAATAATGAATGTTTCAAATTTCGTTCTTTGTTCATCAATTTTAACTTTATTACTAAATCAATTAATGCGAACAATATATTTGAATTTGAATGAAGACTATTATATTTTATTTACCTTAATCACAATATTAGCATTAATGATAGTTATTATTATAGCATTTATGATAAAGAAATCAGGATTAAGTATGCCATATTTATAATTGATGATGATACTATATTTTTCCATAACTCAGTTTGAAAACTTTTATTATTAAATTGGCAATTCAACTCATTGTATTTTAACAATTTTACTATTTTTTGAAATGTATTTTATGAATACTTTAAAAACCAAATTAACTTAAATTATTACAATTTCTTTTGTAATAATAATGATGTTAATATCCTCAATTAACTTTTAAAATAATAAGATTTTAAACCTTGAATTTTTAATGGATCTAATAAATTAAAAAATCAATATATGCATTTTCATTTTCTTCATTTACTAATTCTTAAATAATCAACATGAATATAGAGCTTTAGATCCATAGTCACAAAGGAAATCTAAATAATTAACATTAGATTAAGTATTAGTTTTATAAACACCAATAAATAATTCTATCTATGAATTATCTCATGGAATAGATATAAATTTTGGATAAAAAGAATTATTAGATCACATTAATGAAGGAGTTATGATGGCAAAATTCTTATCATTAGATGATAAAATTTGCAATTTATAATTTAAATTTTAAAATGCAGCTGCTTAAACAATGTTTTGTAAAGAAAATGATGAACTACCATAATTTTTAGATTAATTATAATGTGAAATTCCCATAGAATCAAATTAATCATAATAACATTATGCAAGTACTTCCCCTCATCATTAAGATAAATCAGATTATCAAAAGAAATTATTTGTATCATAATCTAATTTTGGATTTAGTTTATAAGAGAAGAAATCATTTTCACCCAATTCTAAAATAGCATTTTTTTAATAATAATAAAGTTCTGATAGTGTAGTACAAGTAAATTAATCGAATATTTCTTAGTGTAAGACTGTGTATTAACATTTGATTTAATATGCAAAGACAAATAAAAATTGTACTGAAAATGAAGCATAATGTGAACCTCTTAAATTGTGTTGTACATATGAAGATAATGGAAAACAAAAATCAATAGAATTTATTTGTTTATTAAGTTTAGGCAAATAGATTATTATAATTACAAGAGATATAATTTATTTAAATTAATTAAAAGAATTATTATAAGTAAACCAGTAAAAATCTAATATGCTTAATTATGTTAGTCATGAATTTAGAACTCCTTTAAATTGCATTATTAATGTTTTATAAAGTGTTTTAGACAAGGTTTAGGTTAATTAAGATTAATTGTTACATATAGCTTTAGAAAGTTCTTAGCATCTTTTAAATTTGGCAAATGATTTACTTGATTTAGCTTAAATTAAGAATAATGTATTTAATTTAACAAATGAATAATTTAATGTGAGTTAATTAGCATAAATGTGTTTAAATTCCTTCTAAATTTAAGCTGCTGCTTAAAATGTTAAGATATCTTTAGCAGCTAATTCTGATTAATTATTTATTAAATCAGATAAGAATAGAATTAAATAAATATTAATAAATTTAATTGGAAATGCTCTTAAATTTACATATGATGGTAAAATTGAAATAGTATTGAGATAATATGATTAATTTATTGATATTGGTGTTAGAGATACAGGGATTGGAATATCTTAGGAAAATATTAGTAAATTATTTAAAGCTTTTGGTAGAGTGGATAATGATAAATCTAAATCAATGAATTAATAAGGGGTTGGATTAGGATTACTTATTAGTAATAAGATTGCTAAATAATTAAGTGCTGATAATTAAGGAATCAAAGTATAATCAACAGAAATGAAATATGAAAATCATGGTTCATATTTCTATTTTACTGTTAAAATGGAATCTCATAGATAACATAAGTTATTAAGTTATAAACCTCCTTAAAAATAAATTAATTTATCTTCTCCATTTATTCCATCAGAAGGAACATAAAAGAAAAAATCATTTACATATACAAGTATTGAATAAAGATTAAGTCCTGAGAGAATTAAAGAAACAAAATGTTTCCATATTTTATTAGTTGATGATAATGTTTTTAATTTAGCTGTTTTAGGAATGATGATTAATGAATACTTTTAAAATGAGATTTATTTATAATTATCAATAGAAAAGGCAAATAATGGAACATAAGCAGTTGGATTAGCTTTTTATAAATGTAATGAAAATTGTTAAGGCTTTTCATTAATATTTATGGATATGGAAATGCCAGGATTAAATGGAGTAGATGCATCAAAGATTATATTAGCTAAAAATATATAATAGAAAATTATAATACTTACTGGGTAAAATATTAATTTGATTCTTAGTAATAATTTAAGTCAATAAGAAATTAAAGAATTAAAATCAATCGGAATATTCGACTACATAATTAAGCCTATTTAAAAATCTAAGTTACAAAGTATTCTTGAACAATTTATTACAGAATGATTTGATTTTTTATATGTAGTTAAGATTTAATTAGTTGTTTTATAAATTATTTACTTTATATAATAATTTTGTATCTTGAATTTGAGTTTAGATTACATTTATTTTATATTGATAACTCAAAAATAGATTTATTTAGATCTAGAATAAAATTATTTAGAATGCACATTTGTCTTTTGAAAGATAATAATTCATTTAGCATTTAATTTCTATGACAAATACAATTCTAAAGTATCATAACATTTTTAGGTTGATTTATATTTATATGATAATTATTAAGTATTTTCATATAAATTTAGATTTCTTATTCATAACAATAGAAATATATTATTATTTATTAACTTTATAAATTATATCTGTCTGATGGAATTAAATTTATTTCAAATTAAAAAGTATTTCAAAAGTGAAATATGAATTAAAATGATGAGAATTCAAGCCTCTCAGAAGTTAATAAAACTATAGAAGATAGAAAGGATTTTGTATTTATATCAAGTATTTTTATTCTCACAAGCTCAATTACAACATATTTTTATGTTACATTAATCAAACAATTCTTATCTCTTGGTTTAATGCCTTTTGATTTAAAATTATTTGAATTGCTCCTTTTACCATAATATCTCAAATTAATAATATGTCCTATATTAGATACCTTTTTCTTAAGATAATTTGGAAGAAGAAAAACTTATATAATTATAATATTATTTCTGTTAACAATTTATTGTATTGTACTTAGCATAATTTATGAAGAATTAATAACAAATTTAAAATTGGGAGTTGTTCGTAATTTAGCACTTATTCAACTTATTCTAGTTTTAATTTTAGAAATTGTAACAGAAGCATGGATAGTCGATTATGTCTATGATGATAATTATAAATTTGCTGCAGCTATTAAATATACAGTTACTTTAATTAGTTCTACAGTAACAACTGAAATATTACATACTTCTAGGACTTATTTTATTGTAATCTCTATATACTCTATAATCATGCTTATTTATACATATAAATACAAAATTGAAAATGATTAATATTAATCAAAAATGAGATTTAAATCATTATGTAAGAGATTAAAGACTTTTTATGAATAAATTTTTGATAAGAGTTATTAATTTAAACTCTTTTTTTTATTTTCATCAATGATTGGTTTTGGATATGCAGAAAATATAATTGAAGAAGTAATACTTTAATAGAATTTTCTAAATTTGAATTAAATCAAATTCTAATGGATGATAATAATTTGTATAATATTATCACTTAGTGTTATAACATTAATATTAATGAAATTTAAAATAGCTCCAATATATATAATAGTTGTAGTCTTAAGAAATTTAAATAATTTCTTTATTTCTATATGTTACAATTATTTTCCTTCGAATATAGATGTATATTTTATTATTTATTATAGAATATCATTTCAATATATAAATTAATTGAAGAATCATCTAAAGCTATGCACTTTACATTGCTATATATTTTGATTTATGATAGTACTAAATAAAAATTGAGTGCAACTATGATGATTGCTTTTTTATTAATACTAAAATTAGGATAAGATGGAAATAGATTATTATCAAACTATTTATATAATTCATTTGGATCTCCAGCTGATGCTATAATTGGAATTATTATATAGACTTTTAATTTATTATTTGCACTAGATTATCGCGAAGCCATATTTTATAAATGAAAATCATTTAGTAAATTTTGATTTAACTATACTTAGTAATTCTTACTAATTTTCTATATTTTTTTATTAATTTATATTTATTTATCTAATTTAATGATCAAAAGTTGCAGGATTTAATTATTCTTTTCAATCTAATTAAGTAAAATTCAGAAATTAATTACTCATATGAAATTTATTTTCAATTAAGTAATTTGTTTCATTCTAATATCAATTTTTTTAACTTATAAATTATATAAATGCTTATTTTAATATATATATATATATAATGTTAAAATATAGTTTGATTAATACATTTTGAGATTGATATAATATAGATTATTGTGATTGAATCATTATAAGAATAAAGATATAAGTCAGATATAGATGGATATTATTAAATTCATATTCGTTATTATAATAATTATTATTATTATGAATTTAAGGCCATTTATTAAAACACACATAAAGACTATTATGACAAATTTTGATGTTTAGAGGGGACCCTTTGATTCATTTTTAAGAGAATACTACAAAAATAACAAAACTCTTGGACCATCTGAGCGCTCAATAATTTCATAAACAGCATTTGATCTTGTAAGAAATGATCTTCTTCTTTCTCATTTTACAAAAGATGTAGATAGGAAATGTGATTTATTACCACATATATCTAATTACGAAAAAGACCAAAATATTCCACTGTAAAATTATATTTGATCAATTACAAAGGAATATTCGATGTAGCTGTCCAGAGATGTAAAAATACATTCTAATTTCAGACTCTTCCAATTAGTTTCTGATTAATATGGTTAAAAAAGAGCTTATGAATTCTTTATGGCACTTAACACCAAGGCACCATTGACAATACGTATAAATCCAATTAAAACCACAAGAGAGAAAGTAATTTAAATACTACTTAATATCTTTAGCTAATAAAGGAGATGAACCAACTATATTTCAAAAAGACCTTAACCTCACCTTATGGATTAATAGTAAGTAAAGAAAATAATGTAAATTTGACTGATACAGATTAATTTAAAGAAGGATTATTTGAAATATAAGATGAGGCCTCTTAAGTATGTGCTCTTAGAGTCTAATGTTAACCAAATGATAAGGTACTTGATTATTGTGCTGGATCTGGAGGTAAAACCTTAGCATTTGCTCATTAAATGGAAGGTAAAGGAGTGATTGAGATAAATGATACTAGAAGTGAAGCTCTGTCAAAAGCAAAAATTAGATTGAGAAGAGCAGGTATAATGAATTATAGTTTCTTTACAAAGAAGTTCAAATATGATTGGATCTTATTAGATGTTCCTTGTTCAAGCTTAGGAACATTAAGAAGAAATCCAGATTCAAAATATAGATTTTCTTAAGAAAGATTAAATGGTATATATATTAATAGAATTAGATTTAATAAAACTCTAATAAGAGATATTTGATTAAGCAATAAGATTTTTAAAATAAGATGGTGTTATTGTCTATACAACTTGTAGTTTTTTGAAGGATGAAAATTAGAATTAAGTGAAACATTTTTGCAATAAATATAATTTAAGTGTGGTTGATAATGATTACTTTTAGAGCTTACCTGAAAAAGGTGGAATGGATAGTTTCTTTAGTATTAGTTTGAAAAAAAATTGAGTATGAATATAATAATATGATATTGATTTTAAATTGAATGATATTGTGTTAGATATTGATGAAGATTGTTTGAAAGATAAAGAGGTTCTATACAATAATGTATTGTTGTTATTAATACAAAATTTAAAATTATATTTAAATCTTTTTATGGGTAAAAACTATAGAAACAGATCAAAGACATCAGATACACCAAGAAAACCATTTGAAAAAGAACGTCTTGATAATGAGTAATATTAATGATTAATTAGATTGCAAATTATTGGTAAGTATGGATTAAAGAATAAAAGAGAAGTTTGGAGAGTTCAACTTACATTGGCTAGAATCAGAAAGGCTGCTAGAGAATTATTGACTCTTGATCCAAAAGATCCAAGAAGATTATTTGAAGGAGAAGCTTTGATTAGAAGAATGGTTCGCTTTGGTTTATTAAGTGAATAAGAAAGAAAGTTGGATTATGTCTTGGGTTTGACAACATAAAAAATGATGGAAAGAAGACTTTAAACATTTGTTTTCAAAAGCAATTAAGCATCATCAATTCATCATGCCAGAACCTTAATTAGATAAAGACACTTTAGGTATATTTGACATTTTAATTATATAATAGAGTAGGTAAGAGATTAGTAAATTCACCATCATTCCTTGTTAGAGTAGAAAGTGAAAAATTAGTTGATTTTGCAGTTACATCTCCATTTGGATAAGGAAGAGAAGGAAGAAGAAAGAGAAAGAACTCAAAAAGAAAGTAACCAAAAGAAGAATGATAATTATTATAATATACATTCAATAAGTACATTTCTTATGTTTTTCATTATTCATTTCTCAATCAATCTGCTTGTAAATCTATTGCATATAAACCTGGATGGATATTTTTTTAATTTCCTAATTTCTTAACAACCCAACTTTTTGAAGGTTTCATTACACATATTACTCTATAACTCAAAATTCTAAATACCCAGTGAATAATTTTGTTTAATCAGCACTACATCCATTCAAACATTAAGAATTTTTATTCCATTATTCTTAAGTTAGAATAAAGCCACAACATTGACAAGCTCTTAAATCCTTTGTTTATTTTGGAATTGTGAAAGCCTTATCATCTGATGACTCTTATCCTGAATCTGATAAATTCATTATTAGATTTTATATAAATTAATTATATAATTATCTTAATAAATGATTATTTAGATTTTCTTATCTATTATTTCTGAATTACAATTTAATTTATTATTCTTTCCTTTAAATTTAATATTTGATAGGAAAGTATAAATTATATGTGCTTTACTTAAATATATTTAGATCAAAAATAAAATAATATTTCCAAATCATTTAGTTGTTTAAATAAAATAGCTCATTTTGTTTTTATTATATTTTCATGATTAAAGTGTTATAACAAACTTAGAAGTATTCATTTTTAATATTATATTCAATGATGAATCCATATACTCTTCGCTTCTTAGATAATTAATTAGAAGAATAATATCAAGAGGCTAGAATAAGATAAGTATTAAGAAGAATTTTTCAAATTGTTGTACTTGGTACATTCTTACTTCATGGAATGAAAATTATATATGATTTGGCTCTTGATAAACCTAACAAACCCTATATTAATATTGGATTTATTGTTTGGACAATTATTGCTTAGATCACTATTAAAATTAACAAGAAGTTAATAAAATTAGTCATAACAATCTCTAATATATCAACGCTTGTTTTATAAATGAATTTTGATACAAGTTATTCTTTACCTTAAGACTATTATCAATTTGGATGTAATATAACTTAACTATAATCTGTCCTTTATTTCTTAAGTGACTTTTTATATGCCACTGTTTCTGTAATTTTTCATACTGTTGCTAGAATGGTGATTACTTCATATTATACTTAAAGAGTTGATATTTAAGATTATTGTTTCTCAATTTTATGCGTTGCATTTGTTGTATCCATACTTTATAAAAATGATATCAATTCTAGAAAGCACTTTTTGTTACGATTAAAAGAGGAATAAATTGATGACAAATTAATAAAATTCGTAAAATCACCATTTTTCTAATTTGATATTAAATGTGATTTATAACAAATAAATTTGTAATAAGCAAACCACATAGAATAATTTTAATATGGCAGAGAAGACTTTTGTGATGGATGTAATTTTAGAAATCTACTAAGAGATATTTTTATTGATAAAAATACAACTTTGGAATAATAATTATTAAAGAATCATGATTAAGAACAAAATTATAATGTTAAATATATTCACAATCATCAAAAAATGTCAATTGACATATATTTTTGTAATTTAGGAATAGAATATTCTAAATATATTTTAATTTTACAAAATATAAAAACCAATAATTTAATTAGAAAAGTATAAACTTTTTCAATTGAAGATGCTTGGACTTAGATAAAAGCATAAATTAAAAGAGTTTCTTAATAAAATTTTAATTTACGAATCTTTTATTTTGGTGTACTTTCTACTATTAAGATAAATGACACTATGATACATTAGTTAAATTTAAAAAAATAATTTAAAAAGTTCAGTAAGCTTCTTAAATGCAAAGGTTTTATAGATATCAAAGGAGAAAACCAAATCAATGTATAAACATATGGAAATTAATTGAATATTTGGATTATTTAAGTATTACTAATTATATAACAAATTACTATAAATAGAAAATAGAAATCATATATATTTTTAGAGATGTAAGAAGATGTGATACTAATAAAATTCATATTAAAAGATCCCTCCTCTTTTGTAGTGAATTATTATCGTAACTTTTTCATCAAATAGATTTCCTCATAATTGTTATATAATAACTTAAATTCTAAATTGGAACTTAATTTGATTAAAAATATTTAGCAAGCATTCAATATAATATGAAATTTATAATTTATAATTTGTCAAACAAATGATATAATAATGTTTAGTACTTCAGTAGAATTTTCAATCTATAAAAATTATCATTTTTTAAATTTAAACCAATCAAAATTAAAAAATTCCTTAAATAATTGTCTAACTAAAAAATATTATTATTAGATAATTACTTTGTATAAATGAATTTTTAATATAAAAGAGAACTTTTTTTATTTAATTTTTTTAATATATATGTATATGTTTATTAATATATAGTTATTATAATTTCTTAATCTAAGAATTTTATCTTATAAGTGTATAATATCATTTATTTTAGTATATAAATTAGAAATAATTTTGTTATATTATTTATTTTAATTGTATCTTTTTCAGATTCTTATGTTTTTTTGATACATTTGTCAATCAGAATAATCAATCTATTGTCCTCAAATACATGAATATGTGTTATTCGTTTGCTTCATTTAATATTCATATTCTTTAAAGAACATTTAAATTAAATATAATAAATACTTATAACAAATATTTGATATCTATATACTATTCTAAATCTTATTAAATAATATTCATTTTGGAGGGCCAAAATTTGTTGTTCGTACTCCTGGTGGCATTTAATTTGTTGAACCGCCTTGTTGTGGTTAAAATGGTGGTGGAATTGTTTGTTTATTAGGATCGACTGTTTATAGGTCTTTATCGTCAATAAGATAGAGTTCAAAGTGTTCAATATCAAAATATACTCCATTAGCTAAATATGTATCTTTGTTGGCAATCCTATAATCTACTCCTCTTAAGTCAAATGCATCCCCTAAAATGGAGGTGCATTTTTTAAAATCACTAGTTAAGATTAAATCTTATCCAAATTACAATGTCGGTGATATTTACTCATGTTCTGCCATTTTTAACTCAATTCCTTCTTTGACAGGGAGAATTATATTTTTTGTTAGACTAAATAACAAAGATTTAGATTTTTATTTTGCATTATAATAAAATCCAATACTCTATTAAAATAATGATTGACTTTACTTAATCTGTAGATGTTCTAATTAAAGCAAGAATGACATTGTTTTTTAAATCATCCTTATTTTTATAAAGATTTTTTAATAATTCTTAACTTGAACATGAAAATAGCTGTTTTAATTTATCAGTCAATAGATGTTACAATTAATTTGGTTCCTATTCAAAATTTTTATCATGTTTTATTCTTTGAAAGATTTAAAATATGAAACCCTTATTTGGAATTTAAGTTTGACAAAAGGAATTTTTTGAAATATAAGAGTCTTATAATTCAATAATGGATCTTTCAATCATTTATTAATATGTATCCCAGATTTATGAATTAATACTTAAAATAATATTAACATTTACTAATAGGGTTGATTTTTCCTTAAATCATCTACTTTTTCTACAATTTGATCTTTTTTAAAGTCTTCTATGCTTTGGGTCTAAACTAATTTCTTAACAAAAGGTTTTAGTGATTATTTCAAAGAATCTAAAGAATTTTTATCATCACATCTAACTGTTGATAGATCTTTTTTAAATTTCTCATAATCGTCTTTTATTTTCTCAAAAGGCTTTGAATACTTTTCTACTTTATCTTGATAATAGTTTTTAAATTCTTTTAGATTCCCTTTTAACTTTTTTCTCATTTAATCTAGTGTGGAAAGAATTTAATCTTATAGTTTGTCTACTTTCTATAATTATTAATAATCTAAATACTTCATCAATATCTTTTTCTTATATACTAAAGTGTTAATCACTTATATATCTACAATAATAATAAAGATTAGAGTAATTATTATTGAAATATTTATATGCATTCTTCCAATCATCGAAAACCTAATATTTTGACTAATAATTTACATCTTCTATTTTAAAATAAGGTATATTTTAATTTTTTAATTTGAGTTCATCCAAATATTTCTATGACACAAAAATGGGATCTTTACCATAAGGCATAGCAACATATTTTGCTTCCTTTTTTTTTTTTTCCTCGCACATAATAGTTTAAGGTTTTGGCACGATGATGTCTTTTTGCACTTGCATTTAATAGAATTTGAATAAATATAATATAAATTTAATATTGTTTTTTTTGTTGCTGTCAAAATCAATATAAATGACTATAATAGAATTAGAAATATTTCAATAAGATTAAGAATTGAATACTTCAATTTACATGAAATAGATTTAAGCAATTGTAATAATCATATCTCAAAGTTATGTATTATCATAATAATCAAAATGAATCTATGCATCATTTTTTGAATAATTTACAAAAGGTAAAAAAAGAATGAAACTCAAGAAGTATATTATTTATAAATGTCAAATCTCTAACAAAATGTTATGAATCAAAATTAAAATGTAATTATTTCTTTATTTATTTAAAATTGTATGATTCATAATTCTAATTGCCATTTAAACCATAAATAGTGATGAAAATCTATATTTAGTAAATGTACTTCTTAAATAAAGGAATGAATATAGTTTATTTTCATTACAATAAGAAAATCATTTGATAAATATTATTATTTTTCTTTATTATTAATGTCTGAGAAATAATAATTGCCTCTTTAATAACTTTACGATCCTATAATGATAATGTTTAAATAGATTGAGGGTTATGAACAACTTTTTTAAGAGATGGAAGCAAGACAAAAGGAATCCAGGAAGAATAAATTTGTTATTGAGAAGTTAATAGCTATGCAAGATAAGAAATTGGTATTTGTATTTAAATTTATTCAGTAATTAGAAAAAGAGAAAGTAGAATTCGATTCATTATATCAGAAATCTCATCTGACTAGAGAATAACATAAACATTTAATTAGTCAAGATATAGAAGTAGATTAAGAATTTTACTAAATTTATAAAATACTTGATGAATAAGAAAATCTAGCTAAAGAGCTTGTTAATTATGATGATCCATAAGGAGTGGGACCATCACCATTAAGAGGATCATTAACTGAGAATATTGATATAATTAGATAGGCTGCATTAAGTAAAATAATAGCACATCTAAAGAAACATTATGAAATTATTACAATTGATGAATTAAAAGAAATAAATGAACTATTTTACAATAAAGTAAATGATTAAATTGTATTTGTATTGCGATATAAATTCAGCAATCATCTTATACCTCTATTAGCAGGTATAAATTCAATGGATGATACATCAATAAAAACCTTTTTCAAAACATTAGATTATGAAATACAGTAAAAATAATTGCTTAAATAAGATAATCATTTAAGTTTACAGAGTAAATCTTTGAAAAAAGTGCTGCTTTAATTTTTCCATAAGTTATCGATAATATATGTTGTGATTATGCTTAATAGTTAGATGCAACTTTGAAATTTGTAGAAAGTTATTTTTTAAGTATTATATTGATTAATATTCTTAGTTTATGAAGTAAATATATAAATTTAATAAACTATTAATTTCTTGAAATCTACAAATGCATAATTTTAATGCATTAATGGACTAATTAAATTATAATAATTATGTTCTTAATTAAAAAATAAAAGTGTTTAAATAATGTCTCATAATTTATAAATAATTAGATTTAATATAGCATAATTTTCATCATATTAACCTTTAAAAGATTAATTAGATTAATTGTATGATTTTTTATAGAAAAGTAATTCAGAAGAAAGATAAGAAATATTATTAAATCTTTGGTAACCTTTTTAATAATTAATTCAAATGAAATTAAATTAGAATAGTTATAATAGGTCATCAAAAATATTTTCAATTAATGCTTTATAAATATATATCAGTCATTTATAAAGTATGAAAATTCAAGAAATTTAAGAGACAATTGATAATTATATTAAAGAATGTCAATAACTTTTAGTTGATTTAATTTAAAAATTAAAAATAGAAAATGTTTCAGAAAGTGCATAGAAATTTAAAATTTAATAAAGAGATAAAAATAATTAATTATCAAAAGATTAATTTAAAAAATTCTTAAGATAAATAGTATAATTAGATGAAAATGGATTTAGGAATGATTTATTTTATGAAATTGATTTAATTATTAATGAACAAATTAAATCATAAATATAATTAGATATTGCTGAAAGTATTAAATTATTAGAATATAATATAGCATTTACAAAAGAATATTATGAACCATTATATGAGAATCTTTTGAAATATTTAAATAATTAATAGAGTGAATTTACAACAGAAGTCATTTAATAATTATGTTCATAATATTCAGTTACTACAAAGGATATCTATAAAATACCAGCCTATATAAGAGATCCTGCTTCTTATAAATTGAATATAATGAATTTTTAGAGTTTATGATGTGTTGTTATACATATAAAAATATTACAATTTTTAGTTATTTTAAAAATAGTTTGTAAATGTATAATATTGCCTTAATCTTTGATTCTTATAAATATTAAAATAGATGTAATGAAAAATAGCGGGAATTAATAATGTTTATTCTACTGAATAATATTTATTAGTGTTTTCAATTAATTTTAATCGTTAACAGATGAATAAAGAAAATGAAGTATTTAATTTGCCTGAACCAATTTGCAAAGCTCATCAAAATAAGAAGGTATAAACAACTTAAAAAGTAGGCAAAATATAAAATTGTTGGTGTTCCATACCCTAAACCTAAGTTTAACTTGACTGATTTAGTTTGTTCCAAATGTGCAATTGCTCTAGTAAGTTAGGGTTATAAAGTAAATTTGTTGTTAGATATAGGTTGATGACATTGAATCAGATCAGACATAAGTTAGATAAGAATAAATACAATAGTTTCTAGAAACAATTTCATAAACATTTTTAACAATTGATCAAAGTGAATAAAGTCTTCTTGAAAAAAAGGAAGATTTGATACGATTTTGTGAGAAATAAAAAGATAAAGTAAGAGAACATTATCATATTATGACAACTACTTTGGATCACAAACTAAAAGAATAAATTGATTACTTAAATGAATTGTAAGGAAGAGCATTAACAATGTTTGAATAAAAATAATAAGAGATTAAAGAGAGTCATAATGAATTACTATAGATGTATAGCGATATTGAAGTTAATCTTGATAATATAATTCTATAAATTGAATTACTCCCTTATAAATAGATTATGGGTCAATATAATAAAAGAGTGTAAGATATATAATAATGTCTTGGTAAAATGGAAACCTAGAATGTTTATTTGGGAAGAGTATATAAAAAGGCAACAGATTAAAAAATACTTGGAGGTTTATTTGAGGATAGTGAGTTAGAGATAAAAATAGTTTAAACATCTCTCCTCAAAACAGAATAATAATAGGGATAATCTGTATCAAGATTAATGTCACCATAATCTACTCAAGTAACAACACCAACAAATTAAACTCCTGATAAACAAAGATCAAATAGTTAGCCTAGCAAATTTTTGGAGATTTTGAATAAAGTAAATGAGAACCAACTCAAAACTAATAATTTTTATACTTAATTATTAAGAAGAGACTCTTCATTTGATCTAAGTGAAAAATATTGTTCACCATCATTCAAAAAGTGAATTTTTATAACTATATATAAATTTTCATTAATATTACTTGTATTATATAAAGCAATAAATATATTTTCAGATATAATATATATATATATTTTAATTTGGATTAATATATAATTTTATAAGCTTATGATTTATTAGATTAAATTACTTAAATTAAAATAACTTAATAATTAATTTAATCATTCATAATTCCTATTTTTTATCTTGTTTTTTCAAAGTTATGTTATTGGATATATTTATTAAAGGATTTCTTCATTTTCAATCCAATTTTAATCATTAATAAATTTTGGATCTAATAATTTAGGAATTATTTCTAAATTCTTTTTTATAATTAGGATTGCTCCCGCATTTTTATGCTTACCACAATAATTAATAGTACTAGATACTGTTAATAATTGACCACCTTAATGATTATCAATATATAAATACCTGCAAATCTTTCGAATCCATCCATTACACATTCATGAGAACGAATTATAAGAGAGAGTCTATTTTCTACTAGAAATTGAATTACTCTATCAGGACCAAATTTCACAATGCCTCCAATGCCATTAGGATCTCTAAAATTATTTGGTTATATTCCAAATTCCTGATCAGAATCAGTAGGATCAGACCATAAAATATCAATTATCAATTATTATTCAGAACTTATGACTTCATGTACAACTTCGATTGGTCTCTATAGATTTTCAATATCAGCCACATAATTTAATGCAAAACCAATACCACCATGTACACAAAATATTTTATCTTCAATAATTGCTGCTAATGGTAACCATTCAAATAGTCTATTTATTCTTGCAAAAACAGAATTATCATCATCTGGATCCTCATCTAATCTCTAAGAACATTCTTCTGAGAATCCAAATTAATAATTAATCCATTTATCTTCATGATTCCCTCTAATTAAATGGATAGATTCTGGATATCTTACTTTCAAAGCCAATAGTAAACAAATGGTTTCAAGGGAATGAATACCTCGATCAACAAAATTCCCTAAAAAGAGATAATCAAATCCTTCAATTTCATCATCTTTACCATTTAAAAAAGGAGATCCCCATAAATCAAAAAATCTCATTAAATCTGAATATTGTCCATGGATATCCCCAAAAATCTTAATAGGAGCATTACATCTTAATACAATAGGCTATTATTTAATAATTGCCTCTGCCTAATCACATAGCATAATAATATCCTATGGTTAAAATAAAAATGTAGCATTTTCTTGAAGTTTTATAAAAGCTTTTGGTTACAACAATGTATTAAGAAATATGTCAGTAATATTGTAATCTTGCCCAATTTAAAAAATTATTGGTTATTTATTATTAGCTTTTGACTAATCTCTTTCTACTGCCACAATAGCTTAATTAATAAATTTAAAAGAGGACTTTCCTTCTTGATATTAAAACATAGGTTTCTATTATTTCTTATAAATAATTAATATATTTTGCTCCGCCTCTATTATGGATTATTTACAGAATAATTGTATATATCTCTTGAATCATGACTCTTATTTAAGGTTAAAGTATAATATCTAAGTACATCTTAATATTATGCTACTTTATCTTTTAAATGCTGACTTGGAAATAATAATTTGTTCAAAATCATTTTAGATAAATGTGAGTTTGGTTCTTAGAAGAACATAATTCAAATCCATCATAAATAAATATATTGGTAACAATTAAACAAGAAGATTGTATAAATCTCTAAATACAAATGAATTTAGTTCATTTCGAAGTCTCAATATCAAATACTATCAATTATAAGTATTTTATCTAAATTTCGCAATTAGAATAATATATTATAGATAAACAAACTAATATCTACATATGGATTATTCTTTATCATGATTATATGGAACTCTTAATCAACCCCATTTTCAATCCTCACGTTTTCTCAATCACTATAAATTATTCAATGATAGTTAATCTTTTTAACACCTTCTAAATATTTAAACAATTCTATTTGCAATAACATTTGTACAAATACTTTCAAGATGATATATAGCCTAGCTTTTGGTTATTCAGATATACATTCTATTTTCACACTAATAAAAGGAGTCTTCTCATACAACAATCATTAACTGGTTCCTTTAATATACTTCTTCAAAATACAATGAAATACGGTTTAGCTAATAAAAGTGTATGCCTTCTTTCTGGAATTGTTCTAACTATTAATACAATATTATTATCCAATATCACCTGCTGATATTAAATCTAACCAATACAAATCATTCAATTCCAAACTACCATCTAAAATTATCCTTCAATATCTAATACCTCCTGTCTCTCCTCTATAAATTACTATTTAATTTAAATCAAAACCACAGCTGCATATGTTGCTCCTGGGTTAGACGCAGTTCCCTATACTAAAATATTTTTATTTTTATATCCTTCAAATCTTTTCCATAAGGTTCTTTGTATACCAATTGAGAATATATTCCTATTTATAGATATCTCTTAGAATCACCAATTGCACCTTTAATTTAATAGTCATTAAACACCAAATATTATGGCTTTCCTTTTTGATTTATAAGTTATAGTGTATCTAAACCTTTCTGATGGCAATTATCCAAAAGTACTAAACTTTAAAGAATTATTCATTTTATTTAGTATTTAAAAAATTAAGGTCTGTTTAAATCATTTAATCTTTTGTCATTTTATCCTTCAATTACTTATTCTTAAAATTGTTATGATTCCATGAATTCATGTTATTTCTTCTCTTCAAATAAAATCAATCCTATATTCAAACAACTTTCTTTATAACTATTTTACTTGAGAATATTAAAATGACTAATTATTCTAGTTCAAATAAATCAGTCATAAAAATATTTCATATTATTAATATATTATATATATATTATTCATAATTCATCAATTTTCATATTAGTTATTGCAAAACATATTTTAGACTCTTCATTAATAAGAACAAATTAATGATAGAATATAACATAGAAGAAATTTAAAATATATATTATAATCGAAATTTAAAGTAGAGACTCTATAATCATGAATTAAACTTTTATGGATCCTGATCTGTTCTCATGTTTTTATTGGCATTTGAACATTAAATCTTGATTATCCACTTAATTCAATTTATCTGTTTTTCTTAATTAATTAAATAAATATAAGTAGAAGCTAAATTCATTCAGATTTTAAAAGAAATTCCAACATAGATCCTGGAGCCTAAGAGATGATGCAAGAAGGAGGGCTGAATTTTGATAATAAATACTCGTTTGTATTCACCCAAGAGTCTAAGCAGTCTTCCTTAATAATTTATATTACTTAGATAATGCGTCGGTGAGTCTTTCTAGTTTTATTATTAATCTAATACCTTATCTTTTTTTGCTATTTCATGATGCTAATTTAAAATTTTATTTTTATTAATGAATTTGTTAGAATATACATTTTTGAGAAATAAATTAATTGTAAATTTTAATTAGACATATATTGTTTTAAACTATATGGTAAGATAAGAGAATATATAATGACAATTTAATAAAGATATATGTTTGAATAATCAAAATTTGTTTTTAATTAAGTAGATATTCTCTATCTATTTGATATTAAGAATATCATTTTTTAATGAATTTGATTAAGATAATTATTGTTTAAAAATAGTTCAAACTAATTATTTAAAATTCTTATATCTACCGATAATTTGTCGTTCTTTAAATATTTTTAAATTTATACTAACTATCTAATTTTAATTTTAAAACACTTAACAAAATATTATAATCTCATTTCTATTATTAATAATATGCATAAAAATTTTAATTTATAGTTTAAACAATCTAATATGATTATTCATCCTCATAAAAAGGATTTTTATAATTAAAAAATCCTTTAATATTTTATTACACTAATTATAACATAATTCTTTTTATGCTAAATTGTTATAATAATGTGTGATGTTACATGAGATTAATAAAATATATTATTTAAAATTCAAATTTAAATGGGATGTTGTTCCTCATTGAAATCTTCTATTTAAAATGCTTAAAAACCTATTTTTAAATAGGATAGTTAATAATCTGAAAATAGTTCAATTTTTAATGAATCATAAGAAAAATATAAGGAACAATAATAAGAACAAGAAACTTGTGCAAAATCAGATTTAAATAAGAAGAAAACCAATTAATTAATAAGTTTTAAAGTTTAATAAGACATAATTCATAATAAGGATGATTTTAATGCAATTGATGATGAGTTTTTTGAATCTAAATATTAGAGCAATGTCTATAAAATAGAAAAAAGAAATTCAGATTCTGATTATTGATATATAATTTGTATACTGTAACTGTATTCAATAGTAATATAATTTAACGAGGTTTTCATATTTCAAATTTAATTTTAATTAACTCTAAATTTAGTAAGTATATCAAATTTCACTAATAACAGAATTTTAGTAATTTATAAAATTGCTTATCTAAATATTAATATAAAAAGANGATTTTAAAAGAAATTCCAACATAGATCCTGGAGCCTAAGAGATGATGCAAGAAGGAGGGCTGAATTTTGATAATAAATACTCGTTTGTATTCACCCAAGAGTCTAAGCAGTCTTCCTTAATAATTTATATTACTTAGATAATGCGTCGGTGAGTCTTTCTAGTTTTATTATTAATCTAATACCTTATCTTTTTTTGCTATTTCATGATGCTAATTTAAAATTTTATTTTTATTAATGAATTTGTTAGAATATACATTTTTGAGAAATAAATTAATTGTAAATTTTAATTAGACATATATTGTTTTAAACTATATGGTAAGATAAGAGAATATATAATGACAATTTAATAAAGATATATGTTTGAATAATCAAAATTTGTTTTTAATTAAGTAGATATTCTCTATCTATTTGATATTAAGAATATCATTTTTTAATGAATTTGATTAAGATAATTATTGTTTAAAAATAGTTCAAACTAATTATTTAAAATTCTTATATCTACCGATAATTTGTCGTTCTTTAAATATTTTTAAATTTATACTAACTATCTAATTTTAATTTTAAAACACTTAACAAAATATTATAATCTCATTTCTATTATTAATAATATGCATAAAAATTTTAATTTATAGTTTAAACAATCTAATATGATTATTCATCCTCATAAAAAGGATTTTTATAATTAAAAAATCCTTTAATATTTTATTACACTAATTATAACATAATTCTTTTTATGCTAAATTGTTATAATAATGTGTGATGTTACATGAGATTAATAAAATATATTATTTAAAATTCAAATTTAAATGGGATGTTGTTCCTCATTGAAATCTTCTATTTAAAATGCTTAAAAACCTATTTTTAAATAGGATAGTTAATAATCTGAAAATAGTTCAATTTTTAATGAATCATAAGAAAAATATAAGGAACAATAATAAGAACAAGAAACTTGTGCAAAATCAGATTTAAATAAGAAGAAAACCAATTAATTAATAAGTTTTAAAGTTTAATAAGACATAATTCATAATAAGGATGATTTTAATGCAATTGATGATGAGTTTTTTGAATCTAAATATTAGAGCAATGTCTATAAAATAGAAAAAAGAAATTCAGATTCTGATTATTGATATATAATTTGTATACTGTAACTGTATTCAATAGTAATATAATTTAACGAGGTTTTCATATTTCAAATTTAATTTTAATTAACTCTAAATTTAGTAAGTATATCAAATTTCACTAATAACAGAATTTTAGTAATTTATAAAATTGCTTATCTAAATATTAATATAAAAAGAATATGCCTCGATATCCAGTTGAGATAATATACTCTGACAAATATAATGATGATAATTATGAATACAGACTTATCATTTTACCTCTTGATTTATATAAGAAAGTTGAAAAGATTGGAAGACTTTTAACTGAAACAGAATTTAAAGGTTTAGGGATTTAAATTTCATCAGGTTGGAATAATTATGACATTTACAAACCGGAACCACATATATTAATGATGAGGAAAAAAATATACTGAATTTAAAAGCATATTATTTATCATTTCTATATATATATTATATTTATTTTATAGAAAATGGGTAATAGTAACAAAGCTTAATAAAATGTCATTCATATTGAATTTATGACTGCAAAATAAAAAGTAAAGAAGGATAAAGCCTTAATCAAAAATAAAGTTGATTAAAGCTAAAATGAACATCTTTAGGATATAATATGCATTTAAGATTTAACTTAGTATTATTAAGTTGATTTTCGATAAACAATACTAACTACAGATGAAACTATTCATGTTAAGGTAAAGTTTAATAATAATAAAAGAAATTTGTTGATCTTGTAGTCAATCCTAATTCAAAGACACCCAATAACTTAATTTAAATAAGTGATTTCTTTAAATAGAATGTCAAGTCATTTTAAATCTTTTTCAATAATCAAATGTTCTCCTAAGATGATTAAAAATATTAATTTAATTATGAACCACTTTATATAGAAGTAATTTATAAACCAAAACATTGGATGGAAATGGCTGTAGAAAAATTTAAGACCTATAGTAGTAAGATTATGTCAGCCCTTGGATTTATTTCTAAATTTGCTTATATAGCCATCCCTTTATACACAAGTTTATCTGCTTTATAACCCTTTTTAATGCCAACTCTAAAGACAGCTAAAGTTGCTTTGAAATCAACCTAAAATCCTCAAGCTTAGAATGCTTAAAGTGTAGTTAAGTTTTTGATTAATACATTGAAGAGAGCATCATTTATTGCTGCACCTATATTATCTGTTGTGTCAAAATATATACCAATGTCAAAGACAATAGTTTCAGGTATAGGTCTTTATCTTGGTAAAGGAATGTTATGGAATGTAATTAAATTGGGAGTAACTATATTTTGTCCCTTTTTGGCTCCATTACTTATGATATTTGGATGATTAATATTCATTATATAATATTATAATTTTTATAATATAATACTAATTTTATTTTAATTTAGAATATAATTAGAAAGACTTTTTATATTATGTTAATTTAATAATTGTAAACAGATTTATTTGGATTTTGAATAATTAAAATTACATTGAGATATCCAAAAGATTGAAAATAAAAATATCTATATAATTGAATAAAGACACTTTTTTTTATAATAATTTACAAATGAATTAAAATATCTTATTATAGAATGATATAATTTTAACTATGATTTTATATTGTCAAATTTTTCTAAATTTACATCTTTTTATTTAATCATCTTCAATAATTTCTTATTTAATTATTTTAGGTTTTAGATTAAAATATTCAATCATATTTTAAGCAATTTAGTTTTATGTTATAATTTAGGAATTATATTCTTATTAAAAGAACATAAATTATATATAGGAATCGTCATCCTAATTATATATATGAAATTTTCTTGGTGTTATTTTTACTTCAAACTTTTATCCATTAAAATTGATTGCTGGCATTGAACTATTAATCTGTTAGTGAGCTCCTTGAAACATTCCTTTAATTAGATTCATATATTATTGATTTTCATTGCAAAAACACCATGGCAATAATCCTGTTTAATTAATATAATCCTGCAACATTTCTTCATTAATTCCCATTAATTACAAATATTAAGTATTAATGGATTTTATCAATGTAGTTATTCTACCTTTTTGTTTTTTTTAAATATATACTGCAAAAGAATTTTTAATGCTGTTTTCATATTCTTAAATTTCTTACTCAGTAGCAATGGTGAATTTATCTTTTTTCAATATATTCAAATGAAATAACTCAAATTGTTCTCCTAAAGATGGATGATATTTTTCTAATGTATTTTTTACTATTTCGAGAGGAGTAAAGGGCCTATCTATTGGCTCAAAATAAAATATATAATTGTTCTGATGTTTATCATACTTAATTATTCTATAATTATATGAAATTGGATCTATAGCTAAAGCACCCAATTAGAGATTGGGATCCAATTATAATGGAATTAATATATCTGATTCAAGTCTAAATGTAATATTTAAGGGAATATAAGCAGGTATTTATTGATTAACTTAAATAATTTACTTAAGCATAGAAACATCTATATCACTACCAAATTTGAATTCTACTGTGTATTAATTTTTTCTTTTTTCTTTTTTGATTGTTTTAGATAAGCAAATGATTTTTTCTTCTCTAACTACTTTTTAATATTTTAGAAAATTAGACATAAGTGTATTTATTAGATGATAATATAATTTGTAAAGGAATTAATATCTTATTAAACAACAAAATTTATTGATATTAAAATCTCATGTTTTTGAATCTCAATTTATTCAATCATAATAATTATAATAAAAAATAAAATTTACTGAAATACTTTCATATTAAAAAATTAATGAATTTCTTAAGAGTAATATGAAAGTAAATAATTAAAAAAGTAAATATAATCTTTAATTTTTTTAATAAATTTCATTCTTAAGATCTCATCATAGCAGGAAGAACAGGTATTTAATTAGCCATGTCTTCATCAAATTCTGGTTGGAAATTAGATTTTGGGGATTCAATATCAGAGAATTATAATTGTAATTTCATAGGACTATCTTAAAATATGTTTTCTAATTTCAAAGTGTTGCAATACAAATTTTCAAATAATTCTAATATATCCTCATCAAGAATATCTAGAATTTTTTTATCAACTTCTGTAATTTCATCTTTCTATTAAATTTTTACATAAGCTACAAATGCTTCTTATAATCTCATAAATTCAGGTTTTTCATCCTATAGTATAACCTTATAGGCTTATTTTTATTCAACAACTTTCATTTTCTTTTAAAATTCTTCTCCAAACATAGCTTCAGGAATAATGGGTTTAGGTAAATAGTTAAATAGTTTTTATTATTATTCATTAAGTAATATTAATTTTAATCTATCTATTTCATATACTTTTGAAATCAAATTGGCAATATCTAATTTATTCATAAATTTTTCAGTTGCATAATTAATAAGTTATTTCTCTTTCTTTTTACATCCAAAACTCATCATAATAATATCTCTCATAGATAAGTTAAGAGATTATTTTCTTTTTTTTAATAATTATATCATTTGTTTATAATTGTTAACTTTATCAACATTTTTAACAAACACTGATTTACTCATTGATTTTGAACCTTAAAGAGATCGTTTACTTGTATAAGACTTTTTACTTTCAGCATCTAATTATTAAGAACCTATAACATTAATTTTTATTGTGGAACTAGGTTTTTTTACATTTTCTCTTATATCATCAATAGAATTTGAACTTTATTTTGCTTGAAGATATTCAAAATTCTGATTACTTGAACTTTCAAATCTAAATAACTTATTAGCCATTTGTAAATTCATAAATGTTGATGTTAATGGTTATAATAATGCACTCATAGCTAAAAATAAAATTTACCAAAGACCTCCAACATTACCAAAAATATCTTATAGCTTTTAATATCCTCTATTATAAAAACCTTATCTTGAATCTAAGTTTATTATATGTTAGATTATAAATTAATTATTATAATTATCCTGACTTTCTCGATTCTATGATTAGATTAATCCATATTCAGTTTTAATATCTTCCATTATATATCCAGTGTCTGTATCAGATTGAATAATTTTGAAGTTTTAGAAAATTGATTTTGAAGTTGAATTTGAGAAAGTTGTATATTGTAAATTAATTATATCTTTGAATGGAGTACCAGGATTTTTCATTTAAATTAGATTATCAATTAAATGTACTGCATAATATCCTGTTTATAATTCTTTCCATATTTTTTCTTTTGGAGCACAATCTGTTTTATTTGTGGTATTCTTACATTAAGCAATTGTAATTTGTAAATATTAATATACTGTTCCTTAAACTGTCCCTTAAAGTTGCTAAAAAGTTTATTAATTATATTTACAGGGGGATTTTCTTGCCATTGTTTTAAATTCAAGCATTAAACAAAACCAAGTTTTATTTTTGAAAAATAAGCTTTCTATAAGTCTGTTACAAAATGTTAATCACCACAAGGCTCTGTTGGATATATTGTACAACTGTTTAGAATAATAAAAATTTACTTTTAAGATATCACTGTTTTATTAGTAGTTGGGTCTAATGATCTAATTCTTTTGCAATTCTAAACGGTCATTGTAAAGTGAGTTCCTAATGTTTGAAGAGAGCCTAATGATATATTGGCCATTGTGATGCCAATTGTGTAATTTTTCATCTCCAATGGGTATGCCTAATTTATAATGAACAATTACAGATGTATCCACTACTTGTTCTTCAGACATTGTTACTCTAGGACCTGTTTAAGCGTATAAATCTTCCAATTGGATAAATGTATAAAGAACACATACAATAGAAAGACCTATCGTAAACAAAAATCCCAATGATGTAGTGAATTTTTCTTATTTTAAAATTTTAAAAGCTGGAGGTTATCCAAACAGGTCTAAACCTCCATACACCTTTTTAAAACAAGTCTGAGCTTAATTTCTATTCTTTTTTTGATATTTGAGCATTTAATTTATCAAATCTAATTGTTTTAATTTCAAAATTTAACTTTGTATTATATTCGATAAATTTTATTATATCCTGTATCAAAGTATTAAAATATGAATATTATTAATATAGTTATTCCATATATAATTAATTATTTAAGATAATTATATCTTTCATTTCAAACTTTAAAATCATTTATATATATATATAATATTCTAAAACAATATTATAAAATAATTATATAATTATATAACGTAGATACATTAATAATAAATAATAAAAAATACAACAATGACAAAGACGATTATCTGAAAATATTCTATAATAAAATAGATTGAACTCTTTTAAAAATCTTATTATAAATAAACCTTTTATATTTAACCCAATTAATATTTAGTTTCATTTAATACTTTTATTATATCAAAAAATTTGTCATGAGTAAATACTCAAAATAATCTTAACAAAATAAAATACCTTATATTTTACTTCTTATCTCAATCTCCCCAAAAATAAAGAACATTTAAATTGGAAATTTTCAAGCCTTTTTTTTTAATAAAAATTCCATTAAATAAATTTTTATCTTTATATTTTTTTATAAATTTCTTAAACTTATTTTTGTTTTATACATAATTTTTCAACTTCCTTATTGTTTTATCTAATTTATTGAATATATTATTATTCGATAACTTTTTCATTCAACTAATAGATAAGGTTTCTACTTTGCAAAATAAATTTTTGATTTTAACATAACTATTACTTAAGATTTAAAATATATATTATCAAAGTAGCAAATAATACATTCGGTTTATGTTTAGTACTATTGTATTTTCGATTTCTAATCTTATTTAGAAATTTATTTATCCATAGGTATACAACTACCTATAAAATTGTCTAGAATTTAATTGAGTAGTATAATTATTTGATACATTTATTTAGATAATAAATGTGCTGCAATAATTGCTCTTATTTAATCCTTTTAATAATATTATAATTAAAATAATAAAAATTATAAAATATAAAGGGAAAGCTCCTGATTCTATTCAAAGAATTCAGAAGCTCTAATTTTGGAAAATTTTAGATGTAGATTGATTTACAAGCTTCATGTTAGAAATCTATTTGCATTGACAATTTACGTAATTTTATTTAAAGGTTAAGACACAATGTAGATATCATCTACAGATTTATTTTACTAATTGGGTTTAAATTCCATTATCAAAATTTTTGAGAACTCATCTGATATATAATAATTGAAATATGTAAAAAATACGATATTTATTGTGTCACAAATATGGGAAGGGTTAATTTAAATATAATTATGATTTTGAGTATTTTATATTTTATTTATTTTCTTGATAATTTTATCTATATATTAAATAAATAAATATGAGTTTATTAAATAGAGTTCAAGAATTAAATTTAACTATCTCTAGTTATTCATGCTAATGATAATATTATATATAATGAATAAGTAAATGTATAGATTAATTAACAATAATAATATTTTATATAATTTTATAAGTCAATTTTCATGGAGTAACTGCTTCAACGATATTAAGAATTAGAAAAAAGAAATTCTGAAGAATTAGAACATGATAAATCAATAACTCATTTATTGTACATTGAAGGATTTAAGTGGGATGATTTAGAAAAGATAAAGAAAATACATAAAATTTCACAATCTAAGGTAGAAAAGAGAATAACTTTAGTTTAAGATGTAATAATAAAAAAATAGTTTAGTTTGGTTTACTAAGAGGTGATGTAGAGCCACATTCAACATAAAATGAGTATTGCAAAAAATTGCTTAAAGACATTGATATGCATATAAATTCGATTATGTTTGAGATAGACAAATTAGAATAGTTGAAACAAAAATCATAAAGATTCTTAAGATTATAAAGTTAACCTAATTTAAAACCTGAGACTGCACCAACTGATATGATGACATAAACAGGAGGTTTATTATCAAGTACAAGTGATGGTTAAACTCGGATGTATAAAAGCAGTTTTCAATTTTATCGAGCTTAAAGAGATTAATAGATTTAATCACATAATCAGAAATGGATAGAGAGGTAATATAGCATTTAAAGAAAATTAATTGAAGATGAAAAAGAGTTTTAAAAGTTCCGTTTTGAGATTGAAGCAAAGTAAATGAAAGCTGAAATGAATTTAGAAGAATATTAATAATGGTAAGCTAGATCATTAAAAGAATAAGAAGAATTGAATTCAAAGAGATTATAATTACATAAAGATCGAATGTTAAAAGATTAATAATAAAGATAAGCTATATTAGAAAATAAGATGTAGAGAAAAGAAAAATAATTATAAAAGTAGATGTCATTATTAAAAGATTTTCATGAAGAATAAAAATAAAAAAAAGAAGAGCATTTTTTAAAAATACTTTAAAAATCAATGGGTGCTTTGAATGACAAAGACAAATTTAATTAATATTAAAAAGAGTAATCAGAAAAAAAAGAATAATAAAATTTAAAGAAATTAAAATATATAGAAGAATCTAAATAATGGACAAAATAATAATTTTTACAATAATCAGAAATAAAGTAATAAAAGATAGAGAGAGCAAATGTATAAAATAATTTTATTATAATAATAGTTTATTTTAGCAAAATAAGATATTTAAAGACGAGAGAAATTCGATGAGAAAGAAAAGAAATAATTAACATATATGGAAAAGTGTAAGAAAGCATTTTCAGAATATTAGAATATGATTAACAAAGAAAAAGAAGAGAAAATGCATAATTTTTAGATTGTAATATGTTAAATAATATATTAATTAGAATAAAGCTATAGAGGATGCAAGTAAAGAGTAATTGATTAAATATCAATTTGAAAGGAGATCAAATAGTTAAGCTTAGGGTTAGAGATTGAAGGAAAGAAGATTAAAAATATTTTAAGAAGAAAAGGCAGGAGAACATTTAATAAAATAGTTAGAGATTAATTAAAGATTAAATTAATTAGAATGGGAATAAGAATAAAAAAGAAGAAAGCAATAGATTTTAGAGGAAGAATAAAGATAACGATAATTAATGATAGAGTATAATGATAGTTTTAGATTGTAGAAATGATGCGAGAGAGACTATGAGAGAAAGGGAAAAGAATACAAGAAAATTAGAAATAGAAAAAGAGTTAAGAGAAAAAGAGATGAAGACATTGAAATATTAGAAAGTCTGAATGAATTACAATTGATAAGAAAATTTAGTAAAATTTAATTATTTATATTTGAATTTAATGAATAACAAACAAGACAATCCCAACTGTCAATTCTGTAAATTTAGATAAATCAAATTTATGTAGAAAGAAATACATTAAAAGTATTTGATTAATATGAAACAATAGATACTTTGAATAATTTAACTTCTATTTTGCTAAGCCAATAACTGAAATATTAGCAAATGTTCCTGTAGATCATGTAATTTTGTTTAAAGACTAATTGTATTTGCATGATGAAAATGAATATATGAAACGTTTTTATTAAAGAGAAGAGTAAGATCCAAGATTAAATTTACTTTGCAATTTCTACTTTGAGTAACATAAAGTAAAAAATTAAACATAATATAACTAAAGATAATATAACCAAATTTATGTAAAGTTAATGCTCATAAATTTATGGAGAAAAGATAGAATAAATTGTTAAAATTACAATAAAAAGCATAAAATAATTAGAATCAACAACCAATCACTAAAAAAATGATTCCAGATCATATATTTAGTGAGAATTATGTTGAATCTGTATCTGAGTAGTATCGACATACTTATTTAGTTCCTATCCGAAGGAACAAATTTCTTGGGACAGCAAATCTCATAATATCTATGAGATATCATAAGTAGAAGCATAGAAATCATTACCATAAAATAAACCAACATAATAATAATGTTCAATTATTAATATATCTGGAGATCATAATAAATTATTTAATTGTTAAAATGATTAAGAACTTGATAATATTTTTAATGGACTTAATACTTAGACTTCAAGACATTTATCAGTTATTACTAAGATTCCACTTAAAAAGAAATAACCATCCAATTCAAATGTTAAGAAGAATCCTTAATCTCAATAATAATCTCAACAACCTAAAATACCTATTCCACCTTTAAAACTATAAGAAAGTGCAAAATCTTCAACTACTACAGCTGCAAATAATAATAAATCCACAAGCATTTAATCTTTAATGAAGAAATATGATCAAATATTATAAAAACGATTTTAAGTAAAGGAAATTCTTACAGAACGAAATGATACTCGTTATGGTCAAGGTTATGGTACAAATTATGGTGTTGGTACTGTTAGAGGAGAAGGTGGATCTTCAAAAAAATAAATAACAGATGAAATGTTAATTAAACTCATTTAAAATATGAAGAAATCTAAAAATAAATCTGATAATTATTAATTTCATGCATCTTACAAAAGTGTAATATAATAAGCATAAATTGGACCTACATAATCATGTACATTTGAAAAGGAAAATGAAAAAAAGAAAAAATATTAAGTTTATTTGGTATCATTTTATTTATTAATAGGTTAGCCAAAATAAATAAAAAAAAATCCTTCCTAGATGTCATCACCTACTACTGTTTAAAAGTAAGGTATTTATTAAATATATTAGTACTTGTTCTCCTTCTTAGTTACTTAGATCATTATCAAATCCATCTATGGCTCCTTCACCTTTGCGTAGATTGGAAATAAAAGTCAATCTTAATAAATTAATTTAATAATAAGAATAAGAAATTGGATATTGGACTTAAAGATGCAAAGTTCGTTGAGATTTCATTTAGTCAATTAGTTGATTAAAATACAAATTATGTTTTATAAATTTATTTTAAATATACTAACTACCTTAAAATCAAATTAAGGATGAGCATAAATTATGCCTGTAATGTATTTAAGCCATATTTAAAGAATTAAGAAAATCAGGTAGAAGACAATCCGTAAATACAGATTTCATGCAATATCACAAACTATCTTAAGTATATAATTGTGAAGTATATAAGGATAAGACTTTTACAGAATCCTTTCCCGTATCGCTTTAAAGAACTAAACCTAACTTTAAGAATCAATTATCTTAATTAGAATTGTATTATTGATTATAATAATAAAGTGATGATCATTAAATTGACTTCAAGAATCATCCATTTACATTTTAAGATAAAATCAATTAGAAAACAGAAGTTACTAAAAAGAAATTTATATTTGATGAACATTAATCTACAAAATAAGGAGAATTTAAGAATTTTATGAGTGCAATGGATGATTATATAAACCTTTTAAATGAAAGTTCTGATTGTTTAACTTTGAATTCTGAAAATTATAGTTAATTAGAAAATATCTTATTTGCTAAATTTAATATTATTAGATAAAAACATGAAGAATTGAATAAGAAATACAAGATGGCATAATAGAATTTTAAAGCTCAAAGATACTAAAATTAGTTACTAAAAAAATAAATTGTAGATATTCATTCTTAATTGGAAGAAGAAAAATAGAAAAACTTTGTATTGTTAGATATAAATGAGAAATTGAAAAAGAAATATAGAGATTTATAAAATAAAACACATTTTGTTTAAAATTCATTTATGTAAGATAGAATGAAATTTGATCATAAACGATAGAATTAATTTCAATAAAGTATATCAGTAGATGAAAGTGATAGGGGTACAACATAATAAACTTATGAAACAAATGATGATTAATAAAATGTGACTAAATTCTTAAAAACTTAAATGCGAAAGTTAAGGCAGAACAATTAATAAATTGATGATTATTCTCGTCTATATAAAAAAATTAGTGAACATAATAATGATGACTTTTGATTAATTTAATTTATTATATAAAAGCTGTATTACTTGTATTACCCTATTACTGTATTACTTGTTTATAGATGAATACTTAAGAATATTATTTACAATATATACTTATTTAAGTTGGAATGATTGTATTATAAAATTTAATAATTTAATATATGAATTCTACATAGGAATGGCTTTTTCAAACTAATGATAATTAAATTGTGAAATTTAAAAGTGAATTAACAAACTTCTGTGATTTATTATAAGATAAAGATATAGATGATCCATTACCAGTTGCAATTGATGTAAAACAATCAAATTTATAAATCTAGTTAGAAGTCTTGAATGTAATTAAGAAATTTTGTGAAATTCATAATTATGAAAAGGAAGCAATTAGAATAAAAAAACCAATTATAAATAATAAGATAAATGATAATCTAGATTTATAGTCAATTTAAGTATTATAATTATCAGATGAATTATTTGATAAAGTTTTGGCAGCTTCTTATTATTTGAGTTTTGATCTCTTAAGATAGGCATGTTTATGCATTTTAGCATGTTAAATATACGTAGAGGATAATGAAAATGATATTGAAAGGTAATAATTGTATAATAAAAAAAAAATAGAGCAAGGAAATAATATGGTTTAGGTGAAATAACACCAGAATAGGAAAATGAAGCAATTACAAAGAATAAACCTGTATTTGAATAATTATAGAAACAATTTTATGAGATGCTCTAATAGTTTGAAGATGAACATAATGAAAAAATAAAATAATAATAATAAATTGAATGACTATATCATCATTATAAAATGTATGTAATGAATATTAAAATACTAATGAATTGTGCATTAGATTTTTCTGGTTAATTGTATTCTAAAATTAATAATTATGTGTCTTGATATTATTATGAAAGACAATTAGCCTATATAGGTGAACTTGACCATTATAAGAAGTATTTGAATGAAGAACTATTATAAGGTTATACATTAAATTGATAAGTTGTTTCTCCATTTTAAAGTATAACAAATTATTCTAATTTAATTCCATTACCTGTAATACCTTGTCTTAAATTTATGGGAGATGAAAAATCTAATTAAGAAATGAATTTCTGAATTCCAATAAATACAAGAGTATTTTTATTATTATTAGTAATGTTTATATTGATCTAATTTTATGTCATATTGGCTGAAAGAGTAATTTAATTTTATACAGAAGAATAACTATTTTCAGTATAATTGACAATTGTAATTGAACGTAATAAATATGATATTTCTGGATCTGAAGTAGTATTGGTAATTTTCTTAGCAAGTTATTAAATAGCAGTTGTATCATTTGCTAATTTATTAATGATTTAATATGTTTTTGTTATTACATCTATATTCTATGATGTTAAATAATTATTTAAGTAAAAATAATAATTGATATTTAAATTGGATTCAAGTAATGTTGTATTTATTATACCTTCATATGATTCATTTAAACTAAGGACATCAGACCATGATTTCTTATTATAATATAATAAATTAGGATTACAGATTTAACATTGTATATCTGTAACATGATGAGTGTTAAGTAATAATAATTCTTTAATACTACAAATAAGATTATTCACTTAATTAATAGAAATTTATCTTTAAAATTATAAAATGATGAGAGAATGATTTCTAGTAATTATATTATTTGATTTAGATAAATCATGAGTTGTTATACTAGAAATCTTTCCATATTAATTTCTACAAGCAATTTATATTTGCATATCTTATTCTACTTTATTTAACTTAATGATTTTATTTGAATTCTTTAATATACTAGTCATGTAATTTACTTTGTCTTCCCCTATAATTCCATATAAAATCTATCTAGAATATAGAGAAGATATATAAGTAGGTTCTACAGTATTTTCTTTTTATTTATAAAATTATAGATATTAATTCAAAGGATTTAGATATTGATACAATCTATATTTATATAGATTAACATCAATTGAGTAATCTGCAATTATAAATTATCTATTCTTCTAAATATTGAATGTGTTAGTTAGAGTATTCTTTGGACATATAGTCCATAATAATTATCCATCCATTGAACAATTAACTGTTACCTAGGTAGAATTGGAATCTATACTAGAATTAATAACTAATTCTTCAGTATTACTATTCTTTATAACTAATAAAGAAATGGAATCAATTGTGAAAATGTTAGCTTCTTATCCTGATAATTAAAATTTTACACTAATTTCATCTCCAATAGATCCTGAACTTGAAGCTTCCAATTATAAATAATAATTTAATTATTCTCTTGGATTACCAGAATAAAATTGTTAACGTTATTTAATACTCATTATAATAGGTGGAGGAGTTATAATTGGATCCTTAACAATAGGTTGGATATAAAGTTCAGAGGTTGGTATACATGTTGTTTAGAAATGAATTGGTTATGATTTACCTTCTAAAGGTATTTTATCACTTGAAATACTGACATATATATGACACTACTTTTTTGTATCAATTTACAATGCAATTGTAGGAATTATAGAATAATAATCTATAATTGTATAAGTATCAACACCAATACTCTCTTTTTTAGTTGTTCTTTTATCAGTAATCTCTCTATCAAAATTCAAATAATATATACCACTTCCTATATCTTATTTAGATGATATATGTAAATAGTATCCAAAATCCCCTATTTCAATTGTCATAGTATTTGTAAGTAATTTAGTAATTTAATAGGTTTCTTTATTGGCATCTTCTTCCAAATTAGGATCTACTAATTATATATAATCAATTCCCAAATTATTATATTTATAAATATTAGATATGATTTCATTTGTACCAAAAATGTTTATTATATTTTAAGTGATACTTATGTTGACTTATCTATCAAATTATGTTTATTGAGTGTTCAAACCCAGAAACAAAAAAATATCTTATTCTACAACTCCTTTGTATATTGTAAATGTAGGATATTATGTTTATCCAATTAAAGGAATTAACTTTTGATATGAATTATCTAACTTATTGTAAATATACCATTAAAATTATTATTGATTTTCTTATTATACGAAATTTAATTAAGTAGGCAAATATTGGATACAAGGTGGAGCTATGAAATTGATTGTTTGCAAATTCAAATCAGTAATAAAGAATTGTACTTAATATGGGAAATATTATTATAAATTATTCAAAGATACTAAATCAGGAGTGATCAATGATCGAATTTCCAATTGATATTATTATTATTACCTTGAATTAACTGGATCATATAATAGAGTAATTTTTATTAATTCTTCTCCCATAAATATACAATTATTAGTAAAATTAGTTTTGCTATTATCATTCATACGATATAATCTACATTCAATAGTTAAATTATTCACTCTTTTTTAAGGAATTCTAAACTCTTCTCCCAATTATATTATTATACATTTATCAAAATTAATAGTTCTTATTGGAGCAGTAAAATTAACTCTTAAGTATACTTTATTGATTCTTGAAATATATTATGAAAATTAAACACTTAAATAAGATAATAATCCTGGAAGAGTTGTTTAAATAGGTAGATCATTAATATAAGTTTATTCTGAAAAAACATTCTTATTGTTTGATAATAATGAACCTATCCAAATTTTACCATATCCATCTAATGATTTTGGTTAAATGATTGGTCCAATACTAATATTATATTATTTATTTGGATTCATACGAGTATAGAATGATTATTATGGCAATATAATAATTCTTCTTTTATTCATAGTACAATCTACATTAATATCATTAATTGAACAATATAGATGTTATGGTTTAACTACTTATCCAGCTGAAAATTCTATATAGATTTGATCATTATAAGTCATATTGGTTCTTGATGGTGTAAATTATAATTAATAATATGTTCCAACACCTGCTACATTAAGTAACTTAATTAATTTAGGACTGGTTCTATAAGTTTTCTCTGATATTAAATTTAAAGTATTATATTAAATGTTTGCAGATTATAATCCTGTATATTTATTATCAATAGAAGCATCATAATATGCCCATACTAATATTAGATCTTCATTATTAGTACCATCTGGATTTTTGATATTAGTACATTTAATTTAATACAATTAAACTGATGAATAATATAAGGTTTTCAATTCAAAAATTAGTTATTTATTAGATGAATCATATTTTAATGAATTCCAATGATGATTTAATGATCCATCATCATTATAAAATAAACATCTATGATTTTATGCTGACAACAATTATAAATTAGTAGATGCCATAAATCCTAATTATAATTACATACATTAATGATATTACAAATTAACTCTATTATTAATCTAAAATTTCATCTATAATCCTGATTTACTATTTTAATATAGATTTTCTAATTAGAAATCAATTAACAATAGATTTTTAGCTAATATTTAATCTGAAAAACTTAAAGCACCATCAGTTGCACATTATTCTATAATATTTGTATCTGTATTAATAGTCAATTTAGCTTAAAATGATTACTAATCTGTATCTAATCCAGAATGAGATACATAAAATACAATTTAAATAGAACCTTATATTAAATAATAATCACTATTTTCATCTGTATCAATAATCTAAGATTTAAATTTTATAATATTTCCACTACTAATAACACTACAAGAAATAAATAGATTTCTATTTTATAAACTACAAAATGAATCTATACTTAAACCATTTGGTAATGCACTTAATTCCAAAATAACAAAAAATATCTAATTTAAACTAAATTAATAATTTAATGTTGTTGTAAATGTAATACTTTATTCTTAAACTTTACTATTTGGATATATAGGTACCCAATCAGTAATTGTACAACTTGTAATGAAAGCATCAGTCTAAGTGGATTATATTTCATTTTAAAATGCAACCATATTACCAGCAGTGCTAGAAAAAGCATATTTAAAATCTGATAATATTGTTCCACCACCCCATTTTGTAGGTACAATAAATGATCCTTTAAGTGTTCCAGTTGCTTCAATATAATCAATTTAATCATAAGGACAAAATATTATATCTTAAGCCTTTATACATTTACCTCCCTTCCATATAGTTGGTGTAAAATTCTATGCATTTGACATTAAAAACCCACTTCCCCATAATTATCCACCATTTAAATTGACTAAATTACTAGGATCAGTATGTACAGTTGAAATTTCTAGATCTATGGTACTACCTGGTTTAATTTTAGTGATATCATTAATTTTATATGTAGCAACTACATTTCCAGCAGCTAATAAAGAATTCCAATTATTATTATTATCCCAATTACTAGATGGAAATTATATTCCAAAACTTTTATAATATGTATTACCACCAGCCATATTATTAATAAACCATGCTCCTCCAAATATTCTTTCAGCATAAACTACATCAAATCCATTTGTATCAACATTTAATTATAATGATCCTACTACAATAGATTCTGGTTTAATTCCATAATTACGTAATCCAACAATCAAATCAAATGCTGTTGAACCTTAAAAATCTTTAAGTAAAATCATTCTTTGATTATTATAAGTATCTGAATAAGTATGTGTTGTACCAGATCCTCTATGACCATACCATATACAATTATCAATTGAACATAATTTTTTACTTGTTGTAGATGTTCCAAGATCATCATTCTCTTCTTATAATTACATTGAATCAATCAACACAGTTTCAACTGAACCATCTACAAATATACCAACATGTTAATTTGATTATGTAACTTATCCTAATAATCTTAAAAATGTTGGAACTTTTTCACCTTTATTTTATCCTGTTATTGTACCAATTCCTGATCCAGCTGTTATATAATTTACATATGAAGCAGATAATGTTTTTGAGTCTGTCCCTATAACATAACCATGAATTAATTATTAACTTACTAAAGTAGCCATTGATTCAGTAGAACCAGTTGGAGCTTAATAAAATGCTACAATAAAATCTAATAATGTATCTGAAGGATATAAAGATGGATACTTTTATATTTCAGCTACAAAACCAAAACCCTTCCCTCCATTTAACAATTATGTACATGAATTATAATTTTTAGAACATTTCATTGATAAATAAACATCATTATCATTATATTATTTTAATGATGAAGTACACTATGTACATGCACTTGATTATTCTAATTAAATTGTTGTTTCATCAAATTTAATATTTCCTTTGTTAAATAACACTTTCATAAATAATTCAGGCTATTAACCAGCACTACAATAAGAATATGAAGATTAACACATTTGATTTGGTAATACTTTCAAATAAAATATGATTCTCTATGATCCAAGTTTTAAACCAACTGTTCTTGTATTAGCAATAGAATAAGCAGTTGCAAATGTTGCTGTACTATCTCCAAATGCTACAAAATTGTATCCCCAATTTGTTAGACCTTAGGCAGCAGGATCAACAAATTCCTAACTTGTTTAAACTTTAAGGTTTTTACCTGTTGGTCCAGCTAATACATAAGTTTTATAAGGTTTTGTATCTCTAGTAACTGATTTTATTGTTACTCTTGCAAAATTAGTTTATGTTGATGCTGCAGTTGAAGTAAATGCACATTTGAATGAAACAAAATAATTAAAATTCTCTTATAGAGAAGTAACATGTTTACAATATATTTATTATTCTGTTTTTCTGAAATAGCATTTTACATCTGAACCTAAATTATGTGCAATTGATGATTATAAGACAGCATCTGCATCTCCTGTAGTTATAGTTATTAATTATTCTGAAGCAGGAGATGGAGAATTAAGTAAAAATTAAACCTTAACACTATTGAATGGATAACCTACAGAACCAGTTACAGGTTTATAAAGAGTTATTAATTAGTCATCCATAGGAACACCCCAAAGTAAAAAAATATCAACTGTTAACAATAATTTAGTCAATTTAATTTAATCTTTTTTAATACCATATTCCAAATAAGCATTACCAACAACTGAATAAACTGTAATAGGAGTAGATTATGTAGCACTTAATAAGATTTTACTATTTTCAATTTTTGTTGTAATAGTTGAAGAGAGTTTTTCTTTTGCCATATCAATACTGCATTGAATATTCATTAAATTTGTAGATATAATGGTACAAGAACAACCACTACTAATTTCACATTCAATTAGTTCATCCATCATTAAAAATTAATAGTTAGAATCTATTTCAACAATGAATTAAGACTTTTAACCAATAGAAATAGTTGGTGTAATTATTATAGTAACAAGTTAAGACAATCCTATTTTAGCTGATTCATAGGAGAGTTCCAATTTTAATGATTAAGGTGGTAATGCTTAAAGTGCCATTTATGCAAAAGCAGGATTTTCATCATATACTATAGATTAAGAATGCATAGAAGAGACACTCCAGAATTTGACTGGATTTTTATAACCTGGTGTCTGAACACTAGGATTATTTGAGTAGAGTATAATAATATACCAAGTTTTAGGTCTAATAATTTGATTAAATGTGAAATAATAAGTGTTATCAGTATTTCCTTAACTTGAAGCTTCAGCTAGATCTTCAAAATTAATAGTATTATCTTCTCCTAATTAACCTAAATCCCAATCTCCAAATTATCCATCAGATGAAGTTGTTATAGTTTATAGTTTAGCTTAAATAGAACCTATGTTAAGTGGAAAGGGGAATTGAATTTTCAGATATTCATCAGCATCTATACCATTTTCTAGTGCAAATTGCAAACGAAATTATGAAGCCTTAGTAGCAATAGGATTAATAATGGTGAGACCACCAGAGTAAATGTGTCCTGCATGGACATAAAAAAGTAGCAAAATAATTATCATTTATAATAATATGCTTCAATTATTATGAGAGTCATGCAATTTATTTAACAACTAGATCTATCTCGTTATATTCCTGGTGGAGAAGCACTTAAAACACCTTGTAACTAGAATAAGGCAGATAAAGTTAAACTATGGGAATTAGCTAAATTAAGATGTGTATCATATTGTTTTCAATTTACAGGAAGGATGACACGTGAATAAAGATTCAACATTTTTTGTACATTTTTCAGATCTAAATTATATGTACTTCATTCTAAATTGGCATCTAATATGCATTATCGTAATTTCATTAAAGAAATGTTTGATACTACTATTTCAATAGTTCTATTGATGGTCAGATATGAATGTGGTGATGAACTCTATTAAGAAATGAGAAGATACTTCCAAATTCTTAAGGATGCTATTGATTATCTTGTTACACATTACAATGTTGATTAAGTCACATCAATTATCACTTCAGAAGACTTTCATAAAATTATATTCTATCTCAAACTACTTAATCTAATGCGAAACATAAAACAACGTAAGAAATTCTTAGAACATTATCCTCTTTCTGCTATTAAAGCTATATAATAATGTTATCTTTACAATGTTATTATTAATGGTCCAGTCAAATATATAAAATATCGTTTTGCTGTTGCCAATTAAGATTATATAAAATATGGATTACAATTTAATATTGAAAGTAGTAATAAATTTGTTAACAAATAACGAGTAGCAGATATCTGTTGGTAAACCTTATATGATCTCAATATTGCTACTACTATCAAAGAAGGAATATGGGATGATTTAAAATTGTATTTATGATATTTATATCAACAATAACCTACACGATCTCTAGGAATGATCTTCAATTCTGAACCATGTTTCAAAAACACATTGCCTGATGTCTATTAAAGTGATACTCCAGTTCCTGCATTTGTTATTATAGCACTTGTAGCTGGATTCACTTTAAACTATTCTTAATTATGTCATTCTATTACCTCTTCAGCTACATATTTGACAACTGCACTAAATGGAGCTTCTTATGGCACTCTATTAATATTAATGAATTATATTTACGATACTGTTCTAAATGCTAAATTTGGGTCTGATGTATTTACTATCTTGAAAGTCACCTTATTTTACATATAATATTTATTAATACAACACGACTCTGAAAGTGAATAATAATATTATTTCAATGATGTTGATGAATACTTTCTCAATCTACCACAAAAATATTGGGAATTCAAAAGAATCAGAGTACCAAATATACTATCAGGAGCTAAAGATATCTACATAAAAAAATGGGTCAAAGTCAATCATATTTATCAAACTAAACAATAAAAATCAAGAATTAATTATTAAGCTTCAATCAATAGAACACATTAAGAATTACATAGAATTTTAGCTAATAGTACTACTAATACTAAAGAATTGAGTTAATTATTACAAAAAATGACTCAAATGAAAATAGTAACATATTTTATTTATATTTTAGTAAGCTATAGCTTAAGAACCTAAAATTAAAAAAGTTCCTGTTCCTAAATTTTATGTTTGTCCTGTAACCACTTGTAAAAAAACATTCTATAAAAATTCTAAATTAAGAAGACATCAATTAGTACACAATGGAGAAAAACCTTTTAAATATGAATTTATGTTAAAAAGGATTCTCTTTAGATTTCAATCTTAAAATTCATATAAGTACACATACTGGAGAAAAACCATATACTTTTAAATATCTTGATTGCCAAAAGAAATTTAGTTAGCTTAGCAATCTTTTTGCTCATTTAAAAAATCACTAAAATTCTGATTATGCTGATAATGTTTATAATAGATTATACATAGTATCAGATAGTGAAGAAGTTATAGATGAGTTTGAAGAAGAAATTGGTAATGAAGATGTTGATTAATGAAATTTTATAATAATTAGTTGGTAAAATTATTTTATCATTAATAATGGATACTAAGGCATACTCAGAAATCTCTGAGAAGGCATTAATTACTGAGTTGTATAGAAGATATCGTTGTTAAGAAGAAGGATTAAAGAAACGTATTGTATTACTGGGAATGCCTGGAGCTGGTAAGTTTAGAGTTTTATATATATATATAGGAAAGGGTACACATTCAGCAAAAATGTTGGCCCGTTTTTGTATGTGTCATTTATCAACAGGAGACCTTCTTAGGGAAGAAGTTAGATCTGGAAGTGATTTTGGAAAGCGTCTTAAAGGTATTATGGATAGAGGTGAGTTAATTGAGGATGAAGTTATGTGTAATTTAATCAAATACCAATTAGCCAAGTAATTATAACCTTAAATTTAGGCCTGCATGTGCAAATGGAGCTATTTTGGATGGCTTTCCAAGAACTATTCCTTAAGCTCAAAAATTAGATGAAATTTTAAAATCTAGTGGATAATAGATTGATCAAGCTATCTTCATGAACGTCAGAGAAGATACTGTTATTGATCGTTTAGGAGGTAGATGGACCCATCTAACTTCTGGAAGAACATATAACTATAAGTTTAATCCTCCAAAATAATATGGAAAAGATGATATTACAGGAGAGGATTTAATATAGAGAGAAGATGATAAAGAGAGTACTATTAGAAATAGATTAAGAATATATTAGAGTAAAACATCTCCAATTGTTGATTATTATAGATAGTATACATTAATATTTATTATTTTAGGAGAGGCATTTTGCATGAAATCAATGCAGAAAGATAAGTAGATGAAATTTGGAGAGAAATCAAGAACATTGTTAAATAGAAATGATTAATGTATTTTAAATCTTAAATATAATTGAATTTAAGCAAATCTTATATATTATTTTTTAATAATACGTACTTTCATTTATATTTACTTTATATTTAATAAAAATAATATAATAATGCTGATATTATTAATTATTACTGTAACAACTGGAAGACTCATAACAAATCTTAATAAAGGATGGAAATTTAGAAGATCTGATAATAATACTTGGTATCCTGCAAATGTGCCATCAACTATTCATATGGATTTATTTGATAATAAATTAATAGATGATCCTTATTTTGGTAATGTGTTTTTATGATAAATGAAGAAGATAATTTGATGAGTATGTATGAGTTAGAATTGGAAGATTGGGAATATAAACTAGAATTTACAAATAAGGAATTTGATTATGATATAAATGAATTAGTATTTGAAGGAATAGATACTCATGCTGATGTGTATTTAAATGATATACAAGTATATATATTCAGATTAATAGGTAGATCTTAAAAGCAAATAATCAACATAGAACTTGGAGAGTTATGATCTAAAATTTATAGGTTTAAAATACTCTTAGAATATACTTTTATTCTGCAGCCAGACATGATTTAATGAAATAATTATAAGATAGTCCACTCAATTTACCTTACAATTATACATATTCAAGGAAAGCAGCATATCATTATGGATGGGATTGGGGACCAAGAATTGTAACATGTGGTATATGGAAAGATGTTTATTTGGATCAATATGATTATGGAAGAATTATAAGTATGCATGCAAGAGCACTTAAAATTTATGAGAAAAGTGTTGTTATTGAGATTAATATTGAAACTTATTTAATAAATGTAGGTACTTACACAATTGAAGTTTAATTCAAAGGTTTAGATGAAATTACAATTAATAATCAATACCCTTTAAATATTGTAAACACTAAATTCTTATATAATGTGAGTGATATTGAATTATGGTGGCCAATAGGATAAGGTCAATAAAAATTGTATTAATTATAGGCATATTTAATTAAAAATGAATCATATGTGGATTATTTAAAAATCACTACAGGTTTTAGAGTTGCACAATGGATTTAAGAAAAAGATGGAGATAAAACTTAGACATTTAAATTTAGAATTAATGGAAGAGTAAATTTTCTTATTATAAAAAAAAGGATGTATATTTGAAAGGTGCCAATTATATACCACCAGAAATGTCTTTACCTAGAGCCTTGAAGAATCCATCTATATATGAGAGGATATTTTAAGATTCAATAGCTGCTGGTTATAATGGATTAAGGTTCTGGGGTGGAGGTTAATTTGAATATGATATCTTTTATGAACTTGCTGATAAATATGGAATTATTATTTGGCATGATCTAATGTTTGCTTGTGCCATGTATCCAGGAACTGATGATTTTATTGCCAATGTTTAAGCAGAATTAAAAGACAATGTCAAAAGACTAAGAATTCATCCATCTATTGTTTTATGGAATGGAAATAATGAAGTTGAAATAGGATGGAAAGAATGGGGTTGGAAAAAGAATAGAGTTGAATAAGAAGTTTCAATGCTTTAATAATGGTATAATATATTGTTTCTCTAAGCTATTCCAAATGTTCTAAATGAAATACATCCAGAAATGTAATACAATATTATATAATCTAGTTATTATTGGCCCACATCTCCATCTACTTCTGTTAATAATGTAGAGGAATTAGGATTTGGAGATATTCATTATTGGGGAGTTTGGGCATCTAAACACTAAATAGAAAATTATACTAAATTTATTGGTAGATTCAATAGTGAATATGGAATGCAAGCCATGATTGATGTCAATAATTTTAAGAAAGTTGTACCAAAACAATATGATTTGAATTTTGATTCCCCTGTATTTTAAATTCATGAAAGACATATAAGAGGGATACCATTAATCAAAGAATACTTAAAAAACTATACTAATTATAATAGTAATGTACACTCCTTTTTACAATTAACCTATTTCTCTTAAATTATTTAACATTTATCTTTACAAACTGCCATAACATCATTAAGATCTGCAAAACCATACAATATGGGTACTTTTTATTGGTAAATTAATGATGTATGGCCAGTAATCTCTTGGGCCTCTGTTGATTATTATGGTTGCTGGAAAGGAGGACATTATGCTGCAAAAAAGTATCATTCTGATCCTGCTTTAACTGCTATTTAAAATGAAGATTAAATATAAGTCTATTTAGTAAATGATAATATTGTAAATTATACTGGAAATGTTACTATAGAATTGAAATAATATAATGGTTTTATTGTTAAGTCATGGGAATATAAATTCTAAGAGATCTCTTAAAATGCTTCAAAGAGATTATTAAATTATTATATACAAAATTACAATTAAACATACAGATCCTTATATTTATAAATGAAGTAAATTTAAATTAAATAATAGTTTTTATTGTAATTAAAAAAATTGTGATTATCGTGGTGTGTATAATTTTGGCAGACCCAAAGAATGGCAACTTTAAAAACCAGATATTTCTTATACATTATAAGGTAATACAATTACATTTATATCTAAATCCTTGGCTAAATATGTCTATGTATTTAGTAATTCGGATTGCATTAATCTCTCCGATAATTTCTTTGATTTATCCCCTGATGTTCCTTATATGATAACTATGAAAGAACCAAAAAAATTTAGTTTCTTCAGTTATTATGATTTATTGATAACTGCAGTAAATAGTGACCTTCTCTTATTGAATGAAGGATTAACAGCACTTATTTTGTATATGATTTTATGATTATCCTTAGATCTGAAAATGATTGAGACATTCTTCTATATTAAATATAAAAATGATAGATATCTTAATTAATTTGTTTGTAACTTTCATTTGAGTGTTTTATAAGTTAAATATTCTAATTTCTTAGAATGAATGTTCAAAAGAATCTTTTATTAAATTATTTTATCTAAAACTTATTTTATTCTTAATAATGGATTCTCTCAATAGTAAAGATGATAAATTTACAACTATGACTGACAGTGCTTAATTGAAATCATTTATCTTAAATAAAAATATCAATATCAAAGAAAAATCTAAATTTGTGAAAATTATCCCTCAAAATTTACTTAGAATCTCAACAATGCATCAACTTAAAAAATAATTAACACTAACTTTACCAACTGATAGATCAAGTAATTTATCTAGAGAAAATGAATAATTTAATGATAAGTTTTTAGTAGAAAATATAGAAAAAAAATAATAATAACTTAAGCATAAGACCTCTCGATTTAAAAATCTTTTAAATGGAAGAAGAATTAAAACATCAGGAGATCATTTTTAAGATTATAAAGAAGAATATAAAAAGGTTGTAGAAGCTGGTTATAATGAAATAGAAGAGAATTTTTAATTGTAAATTATTATAAATACATATATTAGTTGTTAAGCTTCTTTGCATGATTAAAGATAAAATTTAATGAATGCTGAAATAGAGTTGCAAGAAAACCAAAAAGAATTAGAATTACTTCAAGATCAAATTAGTACTTTAAAAGAAGCTATTTATTTAACTAAAGGTTAAAGTAAAAAGTCTTTGAATGACATTTTATTTAGAAATCGATTAAGATAAAATAAAGAAAGAAAATTGACATAAGAACTATTAGAATTTGTCAATCATCTTTCTATTTAATATGATTATCATATTACTTCTTTGAAAGAATATTTATAAAGTTTCAAAACAGAATTGAGTGAAATATTAATTGAAAATGAATATACTGAGAAATCTTGATTTATTTGAAATTGTTATTTTTTTTCAATGATTAAAATAAGATTCAGATAGTAATAATTATTCCTTTAATTTTCTATTACACATTTTTTATTTTCAACATTTTTAAAATGATTTGTTTCTTCATTATAATCTTTTTCAATTTATATAGATTCCTTCAGATTCTGTTTAAAGATACTATTAATTTATTATTAATGGTCATTTGTAATTGATTAATTCTCTATTATTTTAAGTAAAGTAATATTCATAAAAATTATTCCAATAAAAGTGAGCAATCCAAAGAGATTCAAAATCTGGTTTATCATTAAAATCCTTCAATTCTAATCGTTTAATATCAAAATTTTGAATTCTCAAAGGTAATGTGTTTAGTATATATTAATGATAAGCAAGTCTCATTTAAACTTTGAGATCAATTCCTTACCTTTATTATAGAAATCTTAAATTGAGATGTTACCTTAAAAGGAACTTGAATTCATTTTAATAATTAATTTTTTAAACAACTAATTTCTTGAAATAATTATGATATAAAGAAATTCATTTTAATATCTATTAAACAAAGGTAATATAACATAGAATAGAATAAAATTATAATTTCTATATGATCAAGCAACGAATTATTAAACTTCGTCATCATTAGTATACTAGGCTACAACTACAGAACTTTTAGATTTCTTTAATCTTTGAAAACTCCTTCTGGCATTTTGTTAAATTAAAACAGCTGCCATAAATTAACCACTATCAAACTCAGTTTCTAAATTAGAAACTTGAGAAAATGCTTTTTCAATTAATGGTTGAAGTTTCAATTTAATAATATCTTTTGAGATTTCAAAACTAAAATATAAATTCTATTACTTGGAAACATATCCACTTGATTCTAAGAAATCTTATGCTACACAAATAAGAGCTTGATAATAAAAATACATATTTTTGCCATTCAAATTATATACAGGTAAATTTAATTAAGCCATACGTATTCTTTATTAGGCTGCTGAATATTTCAATTTAGACCACTAATAATATAAAATAAATATAATTACTCCTAAAGGTTATGGTAATCCAATCATAAATTAAGTGAAATATTTACATTACATAAAACCAGTAGCATTCTTATCATAATCCTTCCATAATTATTAAAAGTTCTCTACATCTTACTTTTTTATTGGAGCATTTTCTTCTTTACTTGTATTTTAGAATCCCTATTAATTAATAATTATAAAATATTTACTTCAATAATGATTGCAACAAATAAATTCAACATAATCAAAGAAACAATAATCATAAATATAATCATTAATAATATTCCACCAACATTTCCACATCCCATAAATCCATATTCAGCATAATTAGCATAATCATTAAAATCAAAACAAATATCATTTGGTTATGCAGTTCTTGCAGTATCCATCATTACTAAATTCCAATCTTCTCCAGTAGAACATTTAAATAATGTAAATAAACTAACTCCAAATGAACTAAAATTTGAATTTTCTGTTACTCCTTCACCTCTTTTTACATATGGAAATAAATTCATAAAAACAACAGCAAAAATAAATAACATTATTCCTAATAATCCACCTACACTTACTAATCCAGGTAATGTTACTAAAAATGTTCCAAAAATAATTCTTAAATTTTTTGCACTCTTAATTAGTCTTAATACTCTAAAAATTCTAAATGTTCTTAAAATAGATGTAGCTGTACCAACATTACTTAATACATTACTTTACTCTAATATTACACCTAATATTGTTAATAAAACAACTGTAAAATCAAAAACATTCCAACCTGATGTGAAATAAAATGTCCTATATACTATTAATTTCAATATTGCCTCTACTGAAAAAACAGCCAAAAATATCCAATTTAAAATTTATATGGCATCTGTTAATTCTTATGGAGATCTTAAAAATTAGATCATCATTACACAAGTATTCGAAATTATAACACTTAATATGAATATCTCAAATTTATTTGATGATATAATTTCATTAAGTTATCTAATAAATTTGTGTTTAGAAATTTTGAATTTCTCAATTGGAGCACTTTAATATATTTTTTGTTAAATTTCATACCATTCTAATTCTTACTTACTTAAATCACTCATTTAACTTAATCTCTCTTTCTCACTTTAAAATGCTTCAACTATAACTCCTGCAAATAAATTGATTATAAAAAATGAACCAACTATTATAAAAAATACAAAATAAAATGCCCATCCATATGCATAATTTTCTTTTGGATTCAAATTAATACCTCTACTATCAATTCCATCAGACATTAAATTAATCCATCCTTCAGTTGTTGATATTACAAATAAAGTAATCATTGCATTCAATACATTATCAAAATTAAAATTTTTATTTGACCAAGATCCCCCTTTATCAAAACATTCTAATTTATCATCTACATCCTATATATCACAATAATAATATGCTCCTTTAAATTAAGTTACTCCAAATATTCCAAATAATAAAAAGAAAATTAGACAAACCAAAGCAATATTCATCATCTAAGATAAACTATTGAATAAAGCATTTATAGACATTTTTAAATCTTCATTTCTTACTATCAATCTAAGAGGTCTTAGTACTCTAATAACTCTTAAAATCTTTATTTTTGAAAATGTTTATGCTTAATTTTAATCAAATGCTAAAGATGAAAAAATGATAACAACAAGATCTAAAATATTACCTGGAGATCTAATATAACTATCTGGACCATTTATTATAAATCCCTTACTAATTATCTTTAATAAAGCTTCACAAATAAATAAGGCTGTAATAATTTCATCAATTACATTAAGAGTTATACTATTTGATGAGGATAGTGGATCATCTAATGCTAATAATATGCTTGAAATTATGATTATAATTAAGATAAAAAACTCAAAATATTTATGGTTAATAAATTTGCTAATTTTAATTCTAATTTTATTTTAAGGTGAGAATATATACAAAGATACTCCTTCTAGCTAAGACTAATTTAATGTACTATTAAAAACTATTGCTGATGCCATAAATTATTATGATAAATTCTTAAATCTTGTAGCTGAATTGTTATTTGTTTATTAATTAGATGCAGATTTAATAACTTAAAAAGATTATTAAGCCTACTCTGGTGAAATTTGATTTATTTTTATACTTTATTAATTTTCTGCCATAGATTAATCATGTCTACTTGAATGAAGATTATGATTTTCTTCAATAGATTAATTTGAATCTACATTTGCTTCATGAAAATTATTTATTAAAATAGCTATGAATAATTTCAACAATATGAAGTTTCCAAATATAATTACTATAACAAAATAAATTACTGGATATATAGATTCCAAGTCATACATAAATGTATAAGCAATTGTATTCCAAGACTCATTAGTCAAAAGCATAAATACAACCAACATTGAAGTCAAATAATTATTAAAGTTATATCTATAAGGTGTTTTGTAAGCAAATAATTCCATTCCCAAAAGAGCTGCAACAGACATAAATAACAATAATAGAATAATAAAATAAGCAATACCCCCTACAGTAGCTGCAATAGCACTTAATAATTTCCTAAAACTACTCCATGTACGTGCTAATTTAAATAATCTAAATAATCTTAATGTTCTAAATGCCTATATTGCTGAAAAGCTACCTCCACTTGAATCATTGCCTGCACTACTAAGAATCCATTCAATTAATGATAATATAACTATTATAGCATCAAAAATATTCATTGAATCCTTTAAATAATTAGTATCAAATGCTATTAATTTTAAAGTCATTTCAAATGTAAAAATGACAGTGAATACTTAATTAGCTATATCTAAGATATCACTTTCAGTTTTTGAAATTGGATATCTGTCTAAAGACAAAGTAATTGTATTTAAAATAATAACAGAAGTTATAAAAGCCAAAAAATACCTATTTTCAATAATTATAATTAAAACTAATTGAAATTACCTAAATTTAGATTAATTTAATTTCAAACTTTTTTATTTAGATGATTATCTACGTGGTTATTGAACTTGTTCAACAGTATTACTCTTAGAAATTTATTATTATTCACCATTATTTTAATTATCCTTATTTTTAATTGTATTTATTTCATTTTTATTTTATGGTATTTACTCGATTATTTATTATTCTTGTTCTATTTAATGATTTTATGTCTAATCTCCATTATTAATATTGCTGGTCAATGCTATTGGATCAACTTATTGTTCTTCTTCCTCATTTTATTCTAACTCTTCTTCATGTTCATCTAATTGTTAAGATGAAGCTGATGCCTATGAATTCTTAATACTTGATCTCGATTATGCAGCCACAAAACTATCATTAATGACAGCTAAAATTAAGTTTACAACAAAGAAGGATCCCAAAAATATTAACAATAAGAAGTAAATGTAAACTATAGCTGTTGACAATGCTTCCTAATACATAAAAATTAACTTAGTCCAACCTTCTGTTGTTAAAGCTTAAAATATAGTAAATGTAGCAAAAATGATATTATTGAAATTCGTATAACCATAATTAAAGTTTTCATCATCTGATTCTTATTAAGGTAGATTATAATTATTTGGATTCCCACAATATGTTCCTTCAGGACAGTTTGAAGAATCTTAACATAATTTTGAGTAATTAGAGGCTTTCCAAACATTTCCTATAGGATATTCTGTCTCTCTACATCTGTTTTCTAATGCACCCATAAATATTTGCAATCCTAATATTCCAAAGAGTATTATGATAAATAGTAAAAAAATAACCACATTACCCAAAGCAGGCAAAGAATCTAATAATGTTATGATTAGAACTTTCATCTCCTTCAATGAATTTATTGATCTTAGAGGTCTCATTATTCTGATGATTCGAATTGCTGAAACTCTAGCAGAAATGAAAAGTGATATGATTCCTGTTATTACTACAATAAAATCAATAAAGTTCCAACCATCTCTTAAATATGTTTATTTATCAAGCAAAAACCCCATAGCTATCATTTTTAAAAGGAACTCTATAATAAATATTGCAGTAAACAAATATTCTAAACTATCTGTCCAATTACTTGGTGCTTCTGAATTATTCTCTCTCCAACTGTAGTCTTATGTTGCCAATAAAATTGAATTTAAAAAAATGACAGTTATTATGAATCTTTCAAACCAGCTATTATATAAATTATCCTATATATACATCCACTCAATCATCCAAATTGCCCATAATCTAATTTTGTTCTCAGCATCGAATAAATTCAATGACTTTCTTGTATACTAAAGATAATAACCATCTACATACTGCCAATAGTTTTCCATGCACACTAAATTCCACTAAATCCCCAGGATCATCCTTGCCTTGTTCAATCATCTATTTTTTATATCATGAACTTTATACATGATTCACTAAACTAGATAGATGTACGAGTCTCTTTTAGTTCTCTTAAGGCTAAATCTACGTTTGGGCTTCATTTTGAACTTCTAGTTATGCTGAAATGTATTATACCTTAATCACTCATAATTTTATAATAAATGCTTGCAAGTATTTATCATAGAACTCAACTAAAATTTTATAAACTAAATCAAAATCAGTTCTTTTGTAAACTTGAGAATAAATTACATCCAGTTTAAGTATTTGAACTGAAATTAAAAAGGCCACCTGTTTAAGTCTACTGGATTTATTCTTTTGGTTATTGTGTAGAAAACATATTGCCAAATAAGGAAGTTCCCATATTAGATTATGATTGAATTACATTATTCTAAATTTATTAAGATGGTTATAACAATAAATTTTATTTATTGCCTGTTTCATCTTGAGTTATATTTAATGTTGTTGTTGTTGGATTTCCAAATTATACAGGACTTTTATTAAACAGACTATCAAATAATCCACCTTATGAAACTGATTAATTACTAGAATTAATTCCAAATGTGAAGTTTGCAGGTAATAAATTTTAGGTGGCACTTGAACCATTAATTATACTATCTTTATTTTAATTATCAAGATTGAAATCAGGAATTTAAGTGTTATTTGTTGGAGTTATATTTTAAAAAAGAGAGATTTGCTTTTATTCTTGTTTTTCTAATTAAGGTAATTATGCTTATAATAATTCAGGTTATTATTATTATTATTATTATTATTATTATTATTATTATTACTATTATTATTATTATAAATTATTTATCATTTAAACTTAAGGCATTTGATTTTATTATAATGATACTAAATCATTTGTATTATTTGTTTTTAATAAATTTGAAAATAATCCATTTTAATTTTATTATGGTGATTATAATTTTTAATTTTAAGGGGATGTTTATTTTTATTATTATTCTTATTATACTTATGGTTTTAACTAAAAGATTAATTTTCCAAAAATATTTTCAGGTGCTCCTAATTATTAATTACTCTATTCTTTTATCTATTCATTTTAATTCTACACCTAAACAGGAAATTAAAGTGAGATATTTTTATTCTCTGGTAAAATTGAAATATTTTATATTTAGTTAGCTTATGTAACTTAACTTGTAATGCAATTATCAGATTCTTATTTAGAATCTTATATTTCATGTAGATCTTTTAAGTTTGAAAATTCAAATTATGTTATTTTTTTTTCAGAAACCTTATTACTTGAATTTTGTTTAAATTATTTTGGGCTTTCTATAGGTAATGAATCATCAATTTTAGAGTTTTTTCTAAATCTTTTTACTTCTTAAACTTCTAAATTCTAACTTGTAAATGAGAAATCCTTATTACTTTTATTTAATTTTCGATCTTTTCTACTAGGAACAGGTAACATATCAAAGGATTTTATATTCTCAATATAAGTTTGCTCTTAAAATTTTTCTTATTTTACTTCCTCTAAAATTGTTTTTCTTCTTTTATATGAAATAAGTTCAAAATCATCTGAACTTGATTCTGCTTCTTCCATTTAAATTGGTTTGATTATTGTTTATTTATCCTCATTTACTTTTATTTTTTTGTATGGAGCCACATTCATAATAAGATAATCAGATTCTTAATCAATTAAATTTTATAAGTAATTTTATCTCTACCTTTCTCTATATTTTTTTATAAATAAGTAAACATTCCATCCAAAAAAACTAAAAATTGTGGCTGTTAAGGTGAATTCCATTTATATAAATATTATAATAATAATTTTAAAATAATTGATTCAATACTAAATATCAAATGTTAATCTATTCTTCCTTTTATATCTATTCCAACTTATATTAATATTCTTAATCTAAACTTTTCTTTTATGAAAAATATGCCTCAATCTGTACACCTTTCAAATTTTATGTCTTTAAAAATCATTTCCTTCTAACATTACCCTTCTTTTTATATATGTAAAATCTATTTCTTTAAAAGTACACTTCCATCCTCATTTGGATTCTAATTTTATTTTCATATATGCTTTGTTTTATCATTTCTTTTTAAAAATATTAAGTTCTTTCTTTTAACAAAATTCTTTATCTTCAATCTATAATAATTAAACAAATGCTAATCAAAATTTGAATTTCTATAATTACTAATTTATTTCAAGTAAAATAACTATTTGTTAATAATAAAATCAAACCAAATAGTATTTTAGTTAATTTTATTGTTCATTTTTTTTAAATTCTTTTTATTCTCTCAAGTTCTTAAATTATTCTAATTTATGTCTTTATTCCTTAAAAATAACTGATTTTCTAAATATTAAAATTAAAAAATACCCAATTTAAACTTCAATTAAGATAGTTATTATTTCTATGAAAATATACAACTAGTCTGTTTGAATCAAGTAAATATTTTAAGAAGATTTCTACAAAACATAAAAAACCTTCTCTAGGTATTTAAATTAATCTTTTCGAAATTCATTAATATAATAAAAACAATTTAAATTAATAGACACTTAAGAAATAACTATTATTGAATTAGTCAAAATTTATAATGAAATCAATATTAGCTTATTTAACTAATATCAAGTTAAACATTCAATTATCTACTTTAGGAGGCTGAATTTAATTTATCTCTATTTGAAATTGAGCTTAAGTCATCATTAGCGTCATTTTTAGAAAGATTTTCAAACAAATTTACTAAATCATCATCTAAAAATTCAAGTAATTAATAATCTGTATATGTTTTATCCACTTTATTCTTGATTTTTTTATAACTAGAAAAAGCTTACTCTAATCTAAGTTTCATAGGCATTTCATCTTAAAGCATAAATAAATATTATTTTTGTTATTCCAAAGCTTTAATTTTATCAGAAACTTTTCTATTAAATAAATCAGCTGGAATTATAGGTTTAGGTAAACAATTAAATATATTTAATTATTCATTTGAGAATAGCACATATTTTAATTTATCAAATTCATAGATTTTACTTATTATTAATGCTACATCTAATTTTTATGAACATTTAGTTTTTGCATATCTAATTTATTATTTAACCTTTCTTTTACAACAAAATGAGACTAAAAATAAATCAATTATTCCTAAATTTAATTATTATTTTGATTGTGTTAAATATTTCTAAATTTCAGATTAAATATTTCTATTTGATTTTAATTTATTTGGTTTTTTTTTTTTCAGATTTGAATTAACTACATCATATTATTATTACGAAGATTCTTTATATATAGTTTAACTTTTATTTAAGTCATTTAAAGATTCTTCTTTTATTTCATCTTTAAATAATTAAGACTTCTCATTTATTTCAAATCTAAATAATTTATTTACCAAATGTACATTCATTAAAGTGATAACTATAGGTGTAACAAATATTTTAAATAATAAAACTGCTACATTCCAAAATCCTCCAATCTTTCCCAAAATTGCTTATATTTTGATATAATTTCTTTAATAAGTAGATTATTTTCCATCTAAATAAATAAAATGATTTATTAAAAATATATTATTGTAAGTAGATGATTCTTCTCTCCATTAATTTTAAATTAGGCCAGAAAATGAATTTCTATTTTCCAAAATAAATCCATCATCTGTAATTATATTTATTTATTTTAGTGTTTAATAGATAGATCTTGATGTTTTTAGAGAGAATGAAGCTTATTACATACTTTGGATTTATGAAAAAGGTTATGAGAACTCATTCAATTATAATAAATTATCGCTTAAATGTATACCATAAAATCCAGCTTTTGCTAAATCCTAAATTTCTTCAATTGGAGCACATTCATTATATGTTGTTGTATTATGACATATTTGAATCTATATTTAAAGATATTAAAATTCAATAGATTGTAATACACCCTATAATTTCTTATAATTTATTTTAAATATTTACTGGTGGATTTCTTTACCAAGTTTCATTTTATAAGCATTGGACTGTTCCTAATTGGAGTTTCCCAAAATATTCTTTTTAACTCTCAGTTACTGCATGATCAAGTGAGCAAGCCTCAATTGGATATTCTTAACATCTAAATAATTACACTAACTCTTACGATGAAATAACTTGTGTCGTATTGTCTGTTTTATTAAAAATCCTCTCCCTTTTACAAGTATTTACATTAATTTAAAAATACCTTTTTACATTTTTAAATGGTTATGTACTTAATCCAGTTAAAGTTACAGCTATTGTGAAATTCTAATTCATCAATGGAATATCCTAAGAATATTATGTAATACTTACACTACTTTCTATTAATTAAGAATCATATTAAATAACATTTGGGCCACTGCGATTATACAACTAAGCAAGTTCAATCCATAAATATAAAAGACAAAATCCAAAAATTATTAGAGTTGAAAATGCTCCAAAGCTTGTAGAAAATCTTTCTTTTTTTAATATAGTAAATCCAGGTAGTTATCCAAATATGTCAACTTACATTTATAGAGCATTGAAAATTGCTTTATATGAAGAAATATTTGATTTCTAATATTTTAGCATAATTAGAAATTAATTGTTATTTATCACAAAGCAAAGCTCTGAAATAAATAACAATGAATAATTGATTTTTTCAACGAAATCATAATAATTTCAAATTATAGTTGATAAAAATATAAGGATGTTCGTATAAAATATTTTTTATTTTTCCCTAAAATTTATAAAATGTAGAGAAAGAATCAAGAATCATATTATTAATTATTATTATGTCTCTATGGGTTACTTATTATGAGATTAAATTATTTATAGCTTTATGTATGAAGCTCTATTTATATTTAAATCATTTTATTATGATATTATTATAAAAATTATATAAATATTCTTAAAATTGAGAAAACTTATCTATAAAGTTGATTAATGTTTAAGAAAACCTATAATATTTGAAATTATTAATGAAAGATGGGGTATATAATTAAATTTAAACCAACAATTTTGATACAGTTATGAACTCTTTATTACATTAGTAATTAAGCTTCTATAATTAAAAGTTAAGAGTAATATATTAGCCAAATATATCATTTCAGACAAATTTCTTATATTATAACAAAATATTCGAGATTTTTTATTGAGATCAATATGATAAACTAAACATAAATTTAATAATTTTTCAAGATTCTAGATATAATTTATAATTAATAAAATGATAATATTGATTGTTTGGTTTTTCATAAAAATAATATTAATTATTTGAAGCTCAAACGAATATCATTTAATTATATAATTTATAAAAGATGAATATTTTATTTATTTATTATATTATAATAGAATTCCATAATTTATTGATAAATATTTCAATTCATATATTTTTAGATTAAACAATTAAGTTAGATAATAAAGGAGTTAATATAATAATATATTTCTATATGGATTATTTATAAAATTCATAATATATTTTAATGCAAAAATAGAAGTATTTTTAAGATTATAATTAAAAACTGATTTTTATTATTGAAATCAATAAAGGTAGTAAACTGAATAGAAATGAAATGGAATTGAAGTTGAGAAAGTGATATACTAATAATATGTTATAATTAATAAATATTTTGGGGGTATGTGACAAGATTTAATTAATTTAATTTGCTCTAGAAAAAGGTATAAGAATTGTCATTCGTAATCAATAATATCTTTTATTTATCTGTAAACACATGTCTGAAGAACACCCAGCAGTCGTTATTGATAATGGATCAGGATAATGCAAAGCCGGTATTGCAGGAGATGATGCTCCAAGATGCTGCTTCCCTGCAGTTGTTGGCAGACCCAAGCATTAAGGAATTATGGTTGGTATGGACAGCAAAGAAGCTTATGTTGGTGATGAAGCTTAAGCCAAGAGAGGTGTTTTAGCACTCAAGTACCCAATTGATAATGGTATTGTCAATAATTGGGATGGTATAGAATGTGTTTATAAATTATTTAGATATGGAAAGAATCTGGCATCATGCCTTTTTCAATGAATTAAGAGTCACACCAGAAGACCATCCAGCTCTTTTGACTGAAGCTCCAATGAATCCAAAGGCCAATAGAGAAAAGATGACATAAATCTTATTTGAAACATTCAACGTGCCCTCATTCTACGTTGCTATTCAAGCTGTGCTCTCCCTTTATGCTTCAGGAAGAACAACTGGTATTGTTGTTGATTCTGGAGATGGTGTATCACACACAGTCCCAATCTATGAAGGTTATGCCCTTCCACATGCTGTCCTCAGAATTGACTTGGCAGGAAGAGCCTGTACTTAATACTTGGTTAATATCTTGAATGAATTGGGTGTTTCATTCACATCATCAGCTGAAATGGAAATTGTAAGAGATATGAAAGAGAAATTATGTTATGTTGCTCTTGATTATGAAGAGGAAATGAAGAAATACAAAGAAAGTGCTGCCAACAATAGACCCTATGAATTACCAGATGGAAATGTTGTTGTCATCTAAAATCAAAGATTCAGATGTCCTGAATTACTCTTCAAACCAAACTTCATTGGTCTTGAAGTCTCAGGTATCCATGAATTAACATTCAAATCAATTATGAAGTGCGATATTGATGTCAGAAAGGATCTGTAAATATTTTAAATTTATGTTTAAGTTATGGAAATGTTGTCATGTCNTAAATATTTCAATTCATATATTTTTAGATTAAACAATTAAGTTAGATAATAAAGGAGTTAATATAATAATATATTTCTATATGGATTATTTATAAAATTCATAATATATTTTAATGCAAAAATAGAAGTATTTTTAAGATTATAATTAAAAACTGATTTTTATTATTGAAATCAATAAAGGTAGTAAACTGAATAGAAATGAAATGGAATTGAAGTTGAGAAAGTGATATACTAATAATATGTTATAATTAATAAATATTTTGGGGGTATGTGACAAGATTTAATTAATTTAATTTGCTCTAGAAAAAGGTATAAGAATTGTCATTCGTAATCAATAATATCTTTTATTTATCTGTAAACACATGTCTGAAGAACACCCAGCAGTCGTTATTGATAATGGATCAGGATAATGCAAAGCCGGTATTGCAGGAGATGATGCTCCAAGATGCTGCTTCCCTGCAGTTGTTGGCAGACCCAAGCATTAAGGAATTATGGTTGGTATGGACAGCAAAGAAGCTTATGTTGGTGATGAAGCTTAAGCCAAGAGAGGTGTTTTAGCACTCAAGTACCCAATTGATAATGGTATTGTCAATAATTGGGATGGTATAGAATGTGTTTATAAATTATTTAGATATGGAAAGAATCTGGCATCATGCCTTTTTCAATGAATTAAGAGTCACACCAGAAGACCATCCAGCTCTTTTGACTGAAGCTCCAATGAATCCAAAGGCCAATAGAGAAAAGATGACATAAATCTTATTTGAAACATTCAACGTGCCCTCATTCTACGTTGCTATTCAAGCTGTGCTCTCCCTTTATGCTTCAGGAAGAACAACTGGTATTGTTGTTGATTCTGGAGATGGTGTATCACACACAGTCCCAATCTATGAAGGTTATGCCCTTCCACATGCTGTCCTCAGAATTGACTTGGCAGGAAGAGCCTGTACTTAATACTTGGTTAATATCTTGAATGAATTGGGTGTTTCATTCACATCATCAGCTGAAATGGAAATTGTAAGAGATATGAAAGAGAAATTATGTTATGTTGCTCTTGATTATGAAGAGGAAATGAAGAAATACAAAGAAAGTGCTGCCAACAATAGACCCTATGAATTACCAGATGGAAATGTTGTTGTCATCTAAAATCAAAGATTCAGATGTCCTGAATTACTCTTCAAACCAAACTTCATTGGTCTTGAAGTCTCAGGTATCCATGAATTAACATTCAAATCAATTATGAAGTGCGATATTGATGTCAGAAAGGATCTGTAAATATTTTAAATTTATGTTTAAGTTATGGAAATGTTGTCATGTCAGGAGGTACAACAATGTTCCCAGGAATCCCAGAAAGATTGAGCAAAGAATTAACATCACTTGCACCATCATCAATGAAAATTAAAGTTGTTGCCCCACCTGAAAGAAAATTCTCAGTCTGGATTGGTGGATCAATCTTATCATCATTGTCTACATTCTAAGCCATGTGGATCACAAGAAGCGAATATGACGAAAGCGGTCCAACCATTGTTCACAGAAAGTGTTTCTGAGAGATAAATCATATCAATAATCAATACAAATATCATTTTATCAATTCTCAATTTCGTTTGTTCATTTGATTTTCTAAATCTATTAAACTTTATTATTCTATGTTTATATTCATTCCAATTAATTATAAACATTAAGCACTTTTCTATTAAATAAATACCAAGTATCTTACTAATTGTTAATATTAAACTTTTATTCTTGATAAATTATATTATGTCTTAGTTCTTATATGAATCATGAATGCAAGATTCTGATATATTTGAGGAGTTCTTACCTAATTATCAAAATTCTATTAGTAAATAATGCATACCGAATTGAAATATATATAATTTCAAAACTTGAAAATATCATCAGATTCAAACCTCTTTGTATCAGAATCTCCAGTTAAAGGTGAGACAACTGATAATGAACTAGTCATATCACAAATATTCATGTAAAAAAAGATTATTAGATTTAATTAAGTATCTTAGGCAAATATGGATAGTCAATATTGGTCTAATTACTATACGTTTAGGATTATTATTCATAAAAAAACAATTATGGTTATTATAATATTGATTATTATAATAACCATATTTATTTTCGTATGTTATGTCATGGCATATATGTTATAAATTGAATTAATTAAATCAAAATTGCCATTAAGTAGAATATATTTGGAATCATTAATAAATAAATAATATCATTTCAATATTTTAATTTAATTAAAATTGTTATATTTAGATAATTTTTCCATGTAAATAAATTATATAATAATGACTTATTCTCATATATTATATAAGAGGGTAATAAGATTTGATATTAAATTTAAGAAGATAATATTTAGTATTAATAAATTTAACATATCTTGCCTAACTTACATTATTGTTATTTTTTCTATTAATCTGCGTTATCTAATTAACTTTGAGTTTTAATTGTCAAATTTTAAAATTTAAATGTAATAAAATAGCATTAAAATAATATATATTTTATTTTTAACATTAATATCTCTTACACACAAAAATATTTAAGAAATCTTCATCTTAATAATAAAATCAAATGATGAATTTCTTAATTAATAAATAACACATTAAATTAATTAAATGTATATTGATAAATCATGATCTTATTACTAAATGAGATAGTTAATTTAGTAAAAGAAATTGATATTGCAGTTTACAAAGTAGTTTTGGCATTAGGGAAAATTTTCAATTTATTTTTGCTCTCCAATAATTTTGGATATAAATTTTGAGTATCAGTTTAATAAAACTTATAACATGAATTATTATTTCTTATAAATGATTTAAAAAATAGTTAAATTTATTTACAAATATAATCAAAAATCATAAAATAGAATGTAGATTACTTAGGATTTTAGAAAATTTTGTATAAATTTCTAAAAGCCATTCTTAATTTTTTTCAATTATGTTTTGAAAATTTTATCTATCATGAAGCCCATAAATAAGGGATTATTGTTGATCAATATTATCATCAGTTATTATAGAGATATCCTATGATTTACTTATTTTTATTCTTCTTTAAAATAATTAAGTTGAAGGTTCATCATATTATTTTAATTCAGAAAAATAATCTTAAAATATTATTTATAATATCCCCAAAATAGCTAGAATTATAAACTTACAAAGCATTTTGTGATTTATATTTTGATAAACTATATGATTTGAACTGTCTATCAAATGTTATGCTAGCAACCTGAAAATGAAATATTCACTTATAATCAATTTTTCTTAATAGTTTCCAATTTTAATAGTATTTTTTGTATAGAATTTAGTTCTTTTTGATACAAATATAGGAGCTTTATTATTTTAACTTTTAAATAATGATAAAAATAAAGAAGTTTAAATTATTTCTGGAATTTAATCTTTTTCTGTAATTTTTTCCATATTTTTCATAACTTAATTTGTTAATTAAATAAATTAATGTTGTCTATTCTAAATAGAACTAGGACTATTAGGATTATTTGAATTTTCATTTGATTGTTGTATAAATTAATTAGTCGAAAATGATTTGAATAATGGGTCTATAATTTTAGATATCCATTGTTTAATTATTAATTTACAAACCAGTACATTTTAATTGGCTATTGTTTCAAGACATTTTGTATACTTCTATCGCATTTACTTCAATAATTATATTTTTTGATTTCTTTATTACCTTTCTATAGATATAATTATACCTATAATTTTTTGTCCATCTGATATAAGCTAAGATAAATAAAAAATAGACTTTTAATCGAGATATTTTGAGATGAGATCTTTTCTTTCTATATTTAAGTTTATTTTCTCTGAAAGTAGGATTTTTTTTGGTATAAGGTAATTTTAAGGATGAAAATTCTTCTTATTAATTTTAAAATTCTCTAGAATTTTTCTATCTTATTCTATTTTGCTTTTAATTTCTATTGGTATTCTTATAAGATGTAGAGTCAGATTAATTATCATATTTAAAAGGATACTAATATTCAAAAAAAGATTAAGCTCTTTTTGTTTCAAATCCGTTTTAATATTAAGGATCTTAAAATTCTTAATCAGCTAATGCAAATTATTTTGGTTTAGTAACTGGGGGTAGCAAATGATTTTAGCACAATTTCCAGAGTTTAGATAATTCTTTTTATTATTATTGAATTTCTCTACTCAAAAATTCTTAATGTTACTTTAAACATTAATTCTCTAATTCCTGCATTTTCGATTACATTATTTAATTTTAGGATCGTCTAAATATTACTATATTATTTACTCACTAGTTTATAAGAGGTAACTATTATTTGAAGCTTCTTTTCCTTAGATATTGTCTAAAAAAACTGATTAATTTCTTGATTTCAATATATAAGGTTAATGATAAAAATCATTTGAGGGTGGAATAATCATTGCATTTTTGTCTGTAATATGCAAATTAAACTGTCCTGAATACATTTATTATAGTATAAAATTGATGATGTAATTAAAATAAATATTAAAAAAATTGAATTGCTATATCTAATCATATTTAATAGTGTAGATTCAAAATAATTTTATGGAAAATTTTACTTATATTTTATATCCAATCTATTTGCTGTTAAAATAAAATTTCAAATTACGATCGATCTTACAAACCTAAAATCAGTAATTCATTATCATCAATTTTGTCTTCTAAAATCATTAATGCTTTTAAATTTTCATCTAAAACAATTTTTCTTTAATACAATTCAACATTTATTTATTTAATCTATTTAACATCTTCAAAATAGTCAATATATAAGATTTAAATAAAACTTGCAATTACAGTAGCAAAAAATTTGATTAGTTTTTCATGTATTCGATTATGATATTTGAAATTATTAAATATATTTAACATATTCTGAATAATTAGACGAAAGAATATGTATTCTCCTATAATCAATTTTTCTTATTGGCTTGATATTTTTATACTGTTTTTTTAATAAAAATTAGTTCTTTTTGCAACAAACAATGATGCTTTAGAATTTTAGGATAAAAATAATGACAAATACATTAGATTAACTATTAATTTTGGTAAAACATTTATTTAAGTCATTTTTTCAAGTCGAATAAAGAAATCTAAAGTTAATTTTAATATTAGTCCTTAACGATAAATTATATTATCATATGAACTTGGATCATAATCTTTAATTTGACAATGTTTTAGGAATTCAGGTTTAGTGAGTTCAATAATGAATTCATCAAATACATTTTCTACCCATTAATAAAGTGATAATTTTATTTGATCTTCATTAATTGATAAGATATAAGATTTAGCATTCTAGAATTTCTCTCTGATTTATTTTAATTTTTTTGCTTATTCTTATCTTTTTAATCTAAAATTTTTGGTCCATCTTACATAAGCAAGTACAGCCAAGAAGATAATTTTCATTTTCTATTGATATTTCTTAGGTTTTTAAGATATTTTATTTTTTTACATTTTAAACTCAAAATCAGTTTAATTATCTTTCATTTGAATTTAATGTATATCTTTAATCTTATTTTCTGACTTTTTCTCTATTTATTCTTCATTGAATGTAGTTATGTCGCTTTTTTGATCATTAAATTAATGATGTTATTATAATTAAGAGATCATAGATTTAGCATTTTATATTTACTAAATATTTGTATTTTGATGTTAGAAATTTATTGATGGTAATTTTTATTTAGATATAATTTTGAAAGTGTTTTCTACATCTTATTAGATTTTAAGTACTTATTATTGAAGCATTTCATTTTGTAATTTTAATTATCTATTTTAAATTTCTATTAATTGGTGTTTAAGTAATTCATTTTGAGTATTCATTACTTATTATAGCTTTCCTTAATATTCAATATGTGATTAAGCTAAAAGGCTTTTTCTTAGATCATTTTCAAATGAGGATTAATATTGCCCTCTATTACTTTAAAGTGAAAGGCTATTGCTTCTAGATGAAATCTAATATCGTTAATGTAAAGAGGATCGATTATTTTACCATAAATATTATGGCTTATTTGGATTCATGTTTGCATCTAATACTTTTTATTATAAAAACAGCATGTATATATATATATAAATAAATAATTATAAAAATCAAATGTTATTCAAAGTAGCCAAATTTTTGACACAATTTCTAAACAATGTCGAAATATCTTCATACCATTTCTAATTTTATTTTATTAAGATTTCATAAAATTAAAAATTATTCAAACCTACAATAATATTCTCATTTTATTCAATAACTTCATCTTCAATAATTTTAATATCTTAATTTTTATTTTTACTAATGCTTAATCTTTTCTATATAATTTTAGATATATTTGGTTAATATTATTTCATATCCTTAAAGTAATTCATAAAGAGAATTTATATCAAACTGCAAATAGAAACAAGTTAAAATTTACATTCGGCTAAATGATGATCATTAATGTATAGTATTTAATTAGATTCTGATATTATTTACTCGATTATAAATGAAAAGAATATATAATCACAAATTATTAGTATTTATTCTTTTTTTATTAATTTTGTCTTAATTCTTTTGGCTACAAATAAACTGCCTTTCTTATTTATTTATAATATATGATATTAGGCTAATGCAAAAATATCGTTATTGAAATTTTGTGCTTTTGTCATATCATAAAGATCTTGAAAAAATAATAAAGTTAAATTCATCATCCATTATTTGCGTTTCTGAATAAATTTTTTATCATTTGGATTTTAATTTTATTTAAAATTTTAAGTAAATCTACTCTATTAAATTGTGAGTAATAATTTTTACAATAATTTTTCAAGCCAATTAATTTTTATTTCTGTAATTTATTATTAATTAAAAGCATCTACTTTAGTTCTTATATCTTTTAATTTTTATATTGATTTCATTTTTTTTTATTTCAAAAGCTTAATTAATCGAAATATAAAAATAATTATTAAGCTCCACTATTTAAATATATTTTAATTTTACTACTTTTAAATTTTTTCAAACTCTTCTTTAACCAATTGATATGGTTAATTAAATCTACTCTAAAAAAAATTAATATAATTAGGAATTTATTTATTTTATTTACTCTCAATTTAATATTTAGTATTTTATGAATCAACAGATATTCTAAAATCCAAAACTTAATTGCAATCAATCATTTTATTTTATTATGTAATAGGGATTTCTTCTTCTAATAATTAAAAATGTGAGTATTTTTTATTTTTAATGTTGACGGTTATTGATCTTTGTCGATTACTGGCTTCATCTTTAAATGTATTATTATTTTATTTCTAATCAATAGTAGAGTATTAATTAAAATGATATAATGGTTAATTATAGTTTTTCTGAGGTTTGATTTCTGCAGGATTTAAAAATAATGAATTTCTTTATTCAGCAAAAAGATCTCTTTCTTTTTTGTCAATTCGTTATTAAAGAAATAATTTATTTTTAATTTCTTATTCAATTTGATTAGATTATTATTATAATGATTTTCTTCTCTCTTGTTCTTTTTAAAAACTTCTTTTCATTATTTCACTTTCGATATATTTAGAAAGTTAAGGTAATTGATTTTTTTACATATTTTGGTTAGGTTTAAACTCTTACATTGGATTTCTAGTAGGAGGAAATAAAAAGGAATTAAACATTTTTGCAGTTTAATTATATTTAATTTTTTGTGGAACACGATTGTATTTTAACTCATTTTTAATAAAAATATAATCAGTATGATATCATAAAAAATATAACAATTAAGAAAAAAGTTTTAATGAACTTCTACAATATTGTTTACAAAATGTCCTTTTTTTCATAAAATCTGAACTTATTATATTGAGTATTTCAAATAAAAAATTGTTTTTTTACTTAAATCAATATAACTATAATTTATATGGAAACATTCTTAAAATATTTAAGAATAAGTAATAAAATATAAAAATATCAATCTAAATGATACTAACTAGTTCTATTACTTTTATGTTTATTAAAGATTATGTTTAAGAGTACTATACTATATTATAATTAATTTACCTGATCATAGAAATATTTTGTTTTTTTATAATATTATTTTAGAATTATGAAAGGATACTTAAAGAGTATGTAATACTAAATAAAAGATTTAAATATATGTTTATTTTTGAATCAAAAAAATGAATAAAAAGTATTGAAATAATAATCATATATCTTTTATTTTATGCTAGTATATATTGTGCACAACTTTTTTAAATTTTTTGATTAAATTAGAATACCAACTTCGTCTTTCAAATATCAATCTTAATTAATCACTTTTAAATGTTCCTTTAAAAAATTCTTCAATATCAGTTTGAATTGGTACCAAAATCATTCCTTATTTATTTTTTCCTATTTGCATTTATTAATATTAAAATTAATTATCATGTTTTTAAACCTCTGGAATATCTGAAAATGTTATAATGAATAATTATTGAAGAATGCTTATAAATCCACGAATCAAAAATTAGATATTTTGATCATCTGAGTTAAATATTTTTTTATTTTCAGTAAGTAAGACTAAATTTGGGATAAAATTATTCATTATTACACACTCTGTAGCAATCATTGCCTTTTCTTTAGGTGTTATTTTAGAGTATTTATGTTATAGATACTTAGTTCTTTTAGTTACAAATATGTTATATGTTTATCTATATTCAACAAATTATTCTAAATATGATTAATATCCAAGTTCTGATAAAAAAGAATTAGATTGTGTAGTTATTTCAAGGTTGGAGATAAGATGAGAGCATAAATTTAAAAAATTAGTTATAGCTAAGTCTTTTTAGAAATCTTAGAGATTACCTTCCTATATTGTTAATAAAAATATTACAATAAAATTCCATTATTTAAGAGTTTAAAATCTTAATACGGAAAGAACTTTTGTTAAAGATATTTGAGTCCATTGTTTTATTTTATTCTGAACTAATTTATCCTTAAACTTAAACATTTTGCTTAGTGAACTAAATAATTTCTAACTCTATAACCATAATTATTTTTTAGGTCTACAATTTTATATTTCAATTAATAATACCTAACTAATATCACCATTCTAAATACTGCCCTAATAAGTAAAATATATGTTTTAAATTTATTTCTTTTTATTTATAACTATTCTTAGTTTTAAGGATTCAATATGGTTTAGTTAATAACTTATTTTATATCTAAAGAAGTTTCATCCACATCTTTTTTGAGTTCTTTAGATACAGAGTTATTTGTATTTTTAAGTATGTATGAAATACTTTATTCTACATTATATGGATCTTCATTTTCTATTGTAAAATCTAAGCTTTTTAAATTTTAATTTATTTGAAAAGAAAATTGCCGCTTTCTAGGTGAATGGTTTAAGTAAAATTAGTTCTATGAAAAGTAACTTTAGTTTGTGTTAAATCTTTTATCAAGATTTTATTCAGTGGGCTATTCATGAAGGAAATTATGATGAAATCCCAAATTTTCATCACTTAGCTCTTAAAATTGAATAGATTAATGAGTTTTGAATTGTATATCTTAAGCTGGCTATGTTTTAGTATCTTTTTAGGGTTGGATAAATTTCGTCATCTAAGACTCATTTAATACTTTAGTTTATTGTTCAGGTGAATAACTTTCAGAATTATTTTTTCTGGTTAATTACACTGATATATTTAATGCATTAGACTGATTAGGGAGAATAAAGGATGGGAAAACTATATCAGGTTCATTCTAATTTACTAATTTTGGAACATACTGATCTTCTTTAGCCAATCCTCTCTCTGCAGCAGTTTAGAAATTAAATCTTGATCCTTTATAAGTTTAAAGTTGTTTTACTTTTCATCTATAAATGCATTAGAGATTTTGATAAATAAAATATTATATATATAGTTACTCATTATGTAATTGTTACTATTTTCAACAGAGAGAATTAAAAAACAATAAATAATATATATTTACTTCGTTTATATAATAGATGATTTTATTGTAAATATAAGCTCAATATAATAATATTATTTTCATAATAACTCTATATTACAAATATGAACAAACAGAATAATGAATCTAATCCCATAGAATTTGTGATTGATGCTTAGAGTTCAAAGGCACCTAGTTCCTAAGAATTTGAATTTGAGACACAATCCTTTACTAGCAAAGAAGATGTCTTAAATAATTAGAACTTTAAACCATTCTTATAGGAAAGAGATTCCACAGGAAAATTAGTTGGAAAAGATAAAAAGTTACACTTTCTTAAAGGTTAATAAATAGTATTGTGTACATCAGGCTCTAAAAGACTTAAAGTAAGACTAAATTTATTGTTATTAGTTTTCAACAACATCAATTTTAGGTCTCAATCCTAGAGCTGTAACAGCAGATGATAGAAGATTGGCTAAACGAGAACCACTTAAGAATTTTAAATTAAATTTACAAGCTGATTAAGGCTTTATCAAATAGTTTAGAGAAATAACGAAACATATTAAACCAACATCCTAAATGAATAGTGGATTTTTAGGACCTCATAGAGATTATTATTATAAAACAGTATTTAGAAAATTCAATTAAACAAGACAAAAACTCCAGGTCCAGGCGTATATTAATCTCTTTATATTACAGCTTCGAATCCAATTGAATTTCCAAAAAGTCCATAAATTAGTTAACCTGCATAACCAGTTTGTAACAAAGACTTTTATGATTTCAATATGGTATAGAAAAATATCTCTGGACCATCCTTTGTAAAAACATAGAGTAGAGATAGTGCCTATTAAAGAGGGATTTTTGCTTAAATTGAAATAGAAAAAAGATAAACTTTGAAATAAAAACCAGAAGAATATGATGAATAAAGGATTGATAGAGAAATAGACTATTTATTACAATAGTAATAAAAATATGGGAAATAAAGTATAAATATAATTAATCAATAAGCCTAACCTAATTTAGCTTGGCCAGTTCCTTTATAAAAAATTGAATTACCAGAGAAAGTACATGGATAATGGACTAAAATGCTGTATTAATTAATATATCTATAAAATTAGTGAACGCTATGGATTTAAGAAGTAAACTGGGGGTAGATTAATAAAGAATACAACTGCTTTATGATTATAATATGTCGAAACAGTATTTATTAATATTTAAATATGACTGATAGAAAAGCTTGGAATTAAAAAGTATTATGATATCAATAAATAAATGAATAGGAAGATATAGCCATTCTTCACTTAGTTAAGCAATATGGGATAAAGAAATGGACAACTGTAGCTGAAAAAATGAAAGAAATATATGGCTTATTTGGTCGATCTGGTAAATAATGCAGAGAAAGGTATCATAATCATTTGGATCCTACCATTAACAAAGATCCTTGGAGTGAAAATGAAGAGAAGATAATATTTTTAGCACATAGAGAACATGGAAACAAATGGGTAATAATTAGAAATTTAAAGATTTTAAGGCAGAGATTGCAAAATTACTTCCAGGTCGAACAGATAATGCCATAAAAAATCATTTTTATTCAACATTAAGAAGAAGTTTAAGACGTATAAATAAAATGATTGGCGATAAAAACAGTACTCTACGTAAATAAATATTTAGCAAAGAAAAGTGTACCCAATAGATCAAGGACATTAAGCCAGGTGTTTTGTCCAAGATCTTCATACTAGCTGAAAAAAATCCATCTGAACTTAAAGATGATCATATGAAAAAATTATGCATTGCTTGCAAAGGTTTATAAGATTCTATTCTTGAATTTGCATAATCTAAACAAAAATCTTAAATCATCCAATTTAATGAAGAGAAATTCAAATAATTGATAGAGAAAATTATGGATTTTAAGTAATAATCTTAAACTCTATATTAAGTGGACTTTATACTAAATAAAGAGAAAATAAATTAAAATCAAGAAAATTAAATTTAAAGAAAAGAAAAAATATTATTGAAGAAGATGATGATGAAGAGGATGATTCATATTCTAGTTTTTATAAAATTGATGATAATAGTATTTAAATACCAATAAAGAGATCAATAAGATAAAGTTCAAGAAAAAAAATTGTAATCATATATGAAATAATGAATATAGAAATTTAATGATGAAGATGATCTAGATATTATTATTAGAACTAAATAGGGTTCAATCTTTAAAATAATTTATGATAGATTTTAATTTTAAACAGATGAAAATGTATTCAATCTACTTATTTAAAGGAATCTTCAGAAGAATCTCAAAATGATTAAAATTCTAATTTGAATTAACAAAATAAAATTACTTAATAAATAATACCTTCAAATTAGTAAATTTTTGAAAAATCAATTTCTAAAGAAGAAACAATTCATCATGAGAATATTAATAATAATAAGTCTAATTTCATGCCTATAATTTTGATTAAACCATTACTTAATATTGATCATTCAAATTTTGATCAATACTTAGAAAAATTGAAATAAGATATTGGTTTTAATTATCTTTTATAATTAGATGCAAATTCTTAAAAATATCTATAGGGAGAAGACCTAAATTTAGATATAAATATTGATTTTGCAGAAGCCACTAAAGATTTTACTAAATCATCAAGTTCTAAATTTGGGTACACTTCAAGTGCATTTAAAAAATACAAGAAAGATCTAGATTTAGATAATTTCGTAGTAACACCCAATAATTATAAATGATAAATTTAATCATGAAATTTCAAAATTATTTCCATGTATTCTAAAAGAAATCTACAAATATAAACAATTATACATTAAAGTTCATTTTATTATGATTGATTTCTTACTGATAAAGGATTCTAAATTAAAGGAGAACATAAAAAATGATTAGCAATTTAATCCAAATTTATTTTCTTTGAGGATTAATAACTATTTTAACTAATTTTCTAAGATTATGTTTATTTTATTTATTATTCCATTTTTATACTGAGTTAATTACTTTTATTTTTCAAATTTAACGATTAGAAATTGAAATCTGAATCTTAAATAGATATAGCCTTTTTGCAATTATTACTAGGTTAATCCTTTTTCTTCTAAATAGGTGAATATTATGATTAGATCAATGGGCTTTTTGAAATTCTTAATTATTTATCTTCAGAAAAGTTGAAATTCCCCATTCTAGGAGTTATTGACTATTAAATATTGATTACTTTTTCTTTTAAAGTAGCCATCTCATTTTTTAACTTTTATTATTTACAAGAGCCTATTTATAAAATTTGAATATACTTGCAATAAGTTTTATCGTTTCAATAGATATATCCTAAGTTTTACTTTTCATAGCTGATATTCCTATTATTACTAAGTATTTGACTAGTTTTTATGTAAACATAAGATCGTATTCTTTTATAAACGAAGTTAATTCTTTAATATTCATTGTTAATTAATATTCTTCTAACAATTAATGAAACCAAAATTTTATAAATATTTCGATCTTTAAGTTAGAATTTAATTAAATTTTCTAATATTATAATTAGAAAGATAAGAGTAGGTTTCTAAGTATGAATTATTTTAAGAAATTAAGAAAAATGATTAACCTTAATCAATCTGAATAAGGAAAGTTTGGATTAATAAATAAATGTTCTAAAAAATAATCAATGGTCGTACAAATTGCATAAGAATTTGATAATTTTTTATATAAAATTTAACATAAATTAACAATGGTTAGTATTAAGTTTATTAGATCATTAAAAGGTAAACATCATTAAATATTTATTACTAAATGATAGAAATAATTAAGATGAGATAATTAAATTTATTTGTCTAATGAAATTGTTTAGTTTTTTAAAAAGAAAAACAAATAATCTTCATCATATCACATACTCAAATAATGATGAATATCATGGTATTATTAAAATGTTAAAATAAAGGGGAAATGAAGGATAACCTAAAACATGGAAAAGGAGTCTATAAATTCGATAATGGCAACCGTTATGAAGGTGAATGGTAAAATAATTAAAAACATGGAACAGGGAAGTATTATTACAACAGTGGAGAATTATATATTGGACAATGGAAATAAAACAAAAAAAGTGGTCATGGCTAACATTTTGGTCAATATGGCGATAGATATGTTGGATAATGGTTAAATAATTATAAAAATGGTAAAGGAACAATTTTTTATGGAGATAATTCAATTTATTCCGGTAATTAAAATGTATAATTATAAGGTTAATTTTACTAAAATAAAAAAAATGGTCCTGGTTATTACTACAGTTCCATTACAAAAGAGTTAAGATTTTAAATATTTGAGAATGACAATTTGCTTGAATAAAACCCCGTTGAGAAAATTCCAAGTGAATTTGAAAATGTGTTTTCTGCTTATTTAGTGCATGATAATCATATTAAACATCTTCAATCCTTATAGAATAAATCTGATGAAAATAACTTGAATTAGCAAGAGGTACATGGATTTGAAACTCTTCAGGCTTTAAATGAAACTGTAATTGTTAAAGGAAATAAGAAAAGTATTAATTTTTTATTCATATTAATCAGTGTAAGAATGGAATAAAGATTAGGTCTGTAGTTGGTTGGAATGTTTAGGTCTATCTTAATATAAGGAGAACTTCATGAAAAATCATATTTTAGGAGAAACTTTACATAATTTGACAGATAGGGAATTGAAAGAAGAATTGGGAATGTAAATACTTGGACATAGAAAATAAATCTTGTAATAGATTAATATGCACAAGAAATACTATATTAAGACTATGTCTAATTAAGTATAAAAGACAGAATGTGATAATTCTGCTGATTAATCTTCAAAATACGATCAATTATTTTCTATAATCTAAAAGATTGAACCTACAATTGAAAAATCAGAAACAAAAATTTCAAAGTAAAAGAAATTAAAGTAAAAAATTACTTAAGAGACTGAAGAAAAATAATTTTCTCCTTAATCTTAAAAAAAACAATCTCCTAAATAAGGCAATTAAGGTTAAAGTCTTAAAACAGAGAATAATTGTTAAGTATCTAATTTTAATATTGACAACATGAATAAATCAGTATCCTTAGAAGAGAATTCTTTTATTTCTATTGAAAATTAATAAACTCAATTAATAAAAGAGAATGATTATCAGAAATGTTTAGAAAAGGGTTATTATAATGTCTAAGAAATTAATTTGTAATAGAAGCATTAAGAAAAAATAATGTGTTTATTGAAAGATTTAGGAATCAATGAAAAATTATTAATTAATTTCTAAGAAATCAAATAAGGTTCAAAAATTGGAGAAGGAAATAATGGAATAGTTTTTAAAGGTAATTGGCTTGGGCAAGATGTAGCCATCAAATCATATTGCTAAAAATAAGACTAATCCTAAAATAAATAAACCATGGCTGATTTTTTAAAGGAGGTCCAAGTTATCTCTGATTTAAGACATCCAAATATTGTGCTTTATATGGGAGTTTGTATCAAAAGGCATAATTTTTATCTAATTACAGAGTATTATATATATATATAATTGTTAGATATATGGAGAATGGCAGTTTGTATGATTATATTCATAAGAGAAAAACTAAAAATTTAAATTTTGTTCATATAATAGAAGATATTGCTTTAGGAATGAATAATTTACATGGAAGAGGTATTATGCATTGTGACTTAAAATCTTCAAATGTATTAATTGATTCAGATTGGAATGTTAAACTTTGTGATTTTGGTTTATCAAGAATTAAGACTAAAAAAACAAAAAGTATTATTGAAACTTCTTATTAAATGGCTCCAGAAATAATGAGAGGTGAGCCATATACTGAAAAATCTGATATCTTTTCTTTCGGAATGATTTTATGGGAAATTATGACTAGTAAAATTCCTTATGAGAATTTATCTATAACTTAAATGATAGAAACTGTTGGTTGGGGAAATAATCTTGTTGAAATTCCCTAAAAAAGTAATCCTCCAATTTTGGCTATTCTTGCTAAAGATTGTCTTTAAAAGGAACCATCTAAAAGACCTAATTTTGCAAGAATTGTTGAAAGAATTTAATAAAGTAAAAATAAAAAATGCCATAATAAGGATAAAGCTAAAAAATTATTGATTGACTTTTTATAAAATTGAGGTTTACATATATTTTGATTAATTGATATTAAAAAATCTGCTTGTCTTCATGCTATTATTCAATTTATTTTTTTTTCAGATTATTGATTACCAAAGATTATTCTCTCTTTTAAGGAGTCTGTCTATATGGATTAAATGAATGTATAAATTGATTTATTAAAAATATAAAAACTAAGAAAAGGAGGATTATTCTATTGGAATAACTTGAATATATTCCATAATTATCTTATTAAAACTACTTTAAAAAGTTCAACATCTAAATTTAAATTTAGGCTGTGAATTAAATCCCATAATTTTGTTGACTGTAAAATAAATAATTAATTTTATTTGTTAGATTTAATAGAAATAAATAAGGAAATTTATTCGATTTGATTTCTAGAAATAAATTATTGCTTAAATTTAGATCAAGTTTATTAAAAAATAATAATTAATAGAGATGTAAATTTTTATCTTAAATTTGTTTAGAATTCACTATTATAATTAGTAGTGTAAAATAAATATATTGAATATAGGTTTTTATGAGGTATGGAAGATAAGATGCGGTCTTTGGAAGAAAAATTTAATTTAATTCTATTGAGAAAAATGAATGAAAAGAAAAAAATAATTAAAAAAGGGGATGAATTATGGTATTATGTAGAATTGTTTTGATGTTAAAATGTTAATGAATAAATCATAAAGAACTTAATTTGGAGGGAAATGATATTTATTTTTGAAAATAAAAACTTTATTTAGAGAAAGGAACAATAAGTAAAATGGTTTTGAAGATTTGAGTGAGAATGATTGCATTATAAATTGAGTAATATTTCCATCTAATTTTTAGTTAGAAAATCTTAGAGAAATTAAAATTATCAAATTATATTGAATATTTTTATTTACAATATTATAATAAATGAATAATGATAATACAAATAACGATGAAAATTTAAACGATATTGATGTTCAGCTTAGAAGATTTGGAATATAGTTCTATGCATTAGGATTTAATTAATATTTTTATTTAGATAATCCGGAAATATTTAGAGGAGATTCCTTCGGTGAAGAGGATGATTTCCTAAGAGGATAGAGATAATCTCAAAGAAGAGATAGACATTCGCCTAGGTAATATGTTGATTGAAGTGTAGGGAAAAATATTAAAATCTTTAAAAATATCTTTAAAAGCGCACAGAGCCCATATAAAACGATCATTTAGATTAACATTAACCATACATCAAAGTTACTTCTTTTAGAAATATGAATGTTAATAATGAATATTTTATTAACGAATTTGGGTAATTAAAATAAGGATTTTTATAGACTGATTGGCTCGCTAAAAAATACAAACTCAAAAGATATTTTGATAGGAAGATCTCATCGAAATTAAAATCAAGATCTCATTCCTAATGATATAAGTAGAATTGAAATAAAATTTTGATTAGTTTTACCAGAAGATCGTATAATTTCAAGGATTCATTGTAAAATAGTATGTAAAGATTACTTTCGAAAAAATTAAATTCTTGATTAAAAATATCAATTTGCTTTGATGCACATTAATTTACCAATATTGATCAAACATAAAATAAGTTAATTTTTAGAGTAATATTTATAAATTATAAAAGAGAACCAAAAAATGTATACATTTAAGATCTAGGAAGTATATGTGGAACTTATATGAGAGTATTCAGATAGGAGCCATTTATTTTATCTTATGATACTAAATTTAGCATAGGCAGTGATACTAATTTTAACATAGTTTTGAATGAGACTTATAAATAAAATTCAAAAGAAGTAGATTAAGAATTTTACAAAATTTTGAAAAGATTGTTTTGCTTGAAATCTTAATAAAAACATGAAATCCATTTTTAAGATAAATAGAAATCATAAGAATTTTACTAATTAGAAGAGGAAACAACATCCTTGAGTGCTAAAGAGCTCTATTAAAAGTTAAAAGAATATAATGTTCCAATTTTAGGAATCAAATTTTCTGGTCAAGGTGTTGAATAAAACAAATAATAAAATATCTTAATTGGGAAATCTAATTTAGATACTGATGAATTCTACATAGGTAGAGGAGCCGATAATTCAATTAAGATCAATTCAAATACTATTTCTAGAAAATAATGCAGAATAAAATATTCAGCTTAGTAAAAAGGTTTCTATATAATTTTGTTAGATATTAAGCATGGGTAATTTCAGATGGATCTTAAGATAGAGATTCAGCTAATGGAACTTGGGTGAACCTATCAACAGTTGAATAATCAGAAAAGAAAAAAGAATCAAATTAAATTGTATTAAAATAAAATTCAGAAATTAAAATAGGAGATTTCATTTTGAAGGTGGAATTAGTTAAGGGATAAAAGGGTAGATTTGGACAATAAATTAAAGAATTGCTGTCTGTTTGATTGAAATATTTTATTAATTAAATAAAAAGTGACGCTATTTTTGTTATTCATAAAATTATATCTTTTTTTAATCTCTAAATAAATTTATTTATCATAATAATGAGCAACGTTCCCAATTCACATCATCCACCTTAAGCTCCATAATAAGGTGCCCCATACTAACCAACATAATTCTAACCTGGATTTGCTCCTTAATATGCTCCAGCTCCAGTGACTTATGGTCCACCTCTCACTTCATCACCATTGAGATATTCTCAACCTCTTTATTAACCATCTGTCGTAGCATAACCAGTATATGCCCCATAAGTTGTCTAACAACCTGTATATGCTCCCCCTGTTGTTCAATAACCAGTCTATGCTCCACAAGTTGTTTAACAACCAGTTGTAACACAATCTGTTGTTGCTCAACCAGTTGTTGCATAGCCTGTTGTTGCAGCATAACCAATCAAAGGAGAAAGCAGAATTGAATATGTCCCATATGAAAAGACTGTATTAGAATATGAAGAAGTCAGACAAAAAATTTAAGTTCCAAGAGAAAGATATGTGACTGATTATTATGCAGTGGAGTACTAAACAGAATATGTTCCATAAGTATTCTAAGAAAAATACACAGGTATTAGAATAAATATCTAAATTTAGAATACGTTCCTGTTGATAGATATTAAGAAAGAGTAGAATATTATCCAGTTGAAAGATAAGTTGTTCATTAATAAGTCTAACAAGTCTAATAAGTTGTAGCTTAACCAGTTGTTTAACAACCAGTCTAAGTTGTTTAACAACCAGTTTAAGTTGTTTAACAACCAGTTTAAGTTGTTTAATAACCTGTCTAAGTTGTTTAATAACCATTGGTTCAATCAATTCCAGTTTAGACTGTTCGTCCACCTGTTTATGGTCAAGGATCATTACCTTTAGCTTAAACTGTTTCACCAAGATTACCTCCTCAAGCTTAAGTATTATTTTATCATTAAAAATTCAGCCCAAACCTTAAGGCCAATAACCTTAACCAAAATAACAATAATAATAATAACAATAGAAACCAAAGAGCTTTTTAGATAGATTATTCGACAGAGATTGATATGAATTATTTTATTAAAATACATATATCAAATCAAATTTTGAATTTTCCAAATTTCCCTTATACATCTATTAATTTAAGTATCTCCTTTTGATATATTATTTCGGTAATGAATTCATAATTTCCACCTTTAAATAATTAAGAAGACCAATAATAACAACAATAATAACCAAAGTAGCAACCTCCTCCTTAATAAAATACTATCTAATAATACCCTATTTTCTATATAAAACCTAATACGTAAAATACAAAAAATAAAATAGTTTTCCTATACCAAATATTCAATAGTAACATACAATAGATCATTACAATTCTTGGTTTGTTTGTCATCCAGTTATGCCTGATGACCCATATTTATCATACCTTTCTTAACTTTCTAGTATTATACAAAAACCTTAAACATTCTAAAATGAGGTTCCGATCAAACTTGAGGTTAATGAAGTTATCGTAAAACCTTTAAATTAAAATTAAGCAAATTAGCTTAATCAAGATAAACCATTGAAATAGCAAAGACTTCAATAACTCTAAAATTAGACTAAAATTAAAAAAACTGATCATGCAATAGGATCAAATATTTAGCCTTGTAAATGTTCTTAAAGTAGTTGTCTTAAAAGATATTGTTAATGTTTTCAAAGTGGAAGAAAGTGCTTGGATGAATGTTAATGCACTGATTGCAAGAATTGTTCATAATTTTCATATGAAAGAGAGTCAGCAATTAATAAGAAATTTTAAAGAAATATTCTAAGTGATAAATAGCTATCTTAATAAAATAATAATGGCTGTAAATGTAGATCCACAGGGTGCTTAAAAAAATATTGTGAATGCTTCAAAAAAGGATAAAAATGTATAGAGTTATGTTCTTGTTAAGATTGCTAAAATATTTCATTTAGTATAAGTAGTAAAGATGAAGTGAAAAAAAAAATAAATTTATAAAATAATTGATATTTATAAATTTCGAAATATATTTACTTAAAATAAAATTTCAATAATTATATTTTATATATAAATTTAAAATCATATTTTTAGACAATGATATACTATTTATTTATATCTAATTATAATGATTCAATTTAATATAAATAATTCAATAATTTAGAATTATTGAAAAAATCATATCATTATTATTGAAAATAAATTATTCAATAAAAATTTCAAAAGACTAATTGAACAACAGATTTAGAATAAGTTTTTTCAATAAAATAAACTAAAAATGAAAAAGGATTTGAAAAATGAATGAAATTCTCACTTTGAAAAATATAAATTTGATCAAATATAAATATTGAGTTGTTCCTCAATTTATATTTTTCCTTTAAATAATGATTATGTTGAAATTACTAATGAGAATAGTATTCTAAAGAATATTTTACTATGAAGTTACTTTATATAAATTAAAAATCTAAATGATGAAGGTCATTAATCATCTATATTTTTTTTAACTTATTCTTCATCTTATCGAAGTAAAGAATTATCTTACTTTAATTTTTCTATTTTTTTTTGTAGTTATTAGTTTTACTCTAAAATATTACCTAATTCAAAAAACTATTTTAATTAATCTTCTTGTTTTTTTATAATCGCTTTTAAACTTTGATTTTCTTAAATCAACTTTTTTATTTCTTGTTGTTGCTCATATCCTGTTTTAAATAAAATTTTTGAAGGACTTTCAGAAGGTCTTATTTTCTATATACTATTAGGGCGATAATAATTATTTGCAGTTTATAATAATCTTTATTTATCCGGAACTTATGATGGAATTGAAAATTAGAATTCTCTTTTTTTAAGTATAAAATCAGTTTAAGGTGTATTAAATTTATATTATCCAGTTGATAATTGTGACACATGTCTTTTCTAGGTTGGAGTTAGTAAATTAGTATATAGCTTTTAGTTTTAAGGTGAGAGTAATGGACTTTTTGATCTCATAATAATTAATTCTAAATAAAATTTATTTAACTTTAAAGCATCAAAAATATTTCAAAAATTAGATATAAAAATTACATTAATGAAGTTTACATTACTTTAATGTTAGGTTATCTTAGGACAAAATATTCAATAAAAATATATTAGAACATATTATAATAAATAAGTTCTTTTAAGCTTATCTATTTTAAAGAAAATAAAAAGAGATAATTTTTTATATAAATAATTCTTACAAAATAGGAAGGATTTTCATTCCGTGATTATTTCTACTTTAGCTCCTTAAGTTTTAACAATACAACAAAAGTACAATTCTCTTTTATCATTTTGCAAGGTTATTTAATATCCTTCATCAGGTTTCTATAATTATATTTAGTTATTTACTTAAACTTTTTTCCATGTGACTCTTTTAAGAGTAGGTTCATAAATAACTTCAATAACATCTTTTTCACCAAATTTAAAACCTTTAGTTTTCCAATTAAATTCTTCTTATTCTGTATTTATAGTGTCTATTGTTACAAATAATATTACATGAATCTTAAAAGCAAACAAAAGCTCCATTATTTATTTAATTTAACTAAGGTCTAAAATTTTTGGTTTTTAAAATCTATAAATCACAAATTCCAACTCCAATATCTCCTTCAAATTTTGGGAATTTGAATTATATTGAACTAGATTCGATCTAATTCAATCTTTAATCAACTAGAGCAAAACAATAATGAGTTTAACTTTGAGTTTATTCAATTATTATTTCATCATTAACTTATATGCTTTGAAACTTTGAATTAGCATCAAATTTATATTAAGATTTTGAATATCTTGGAATAATACCAAGATCCATTTATAATGTCTCTTAAATTTATTGTTCCCATAATTTCAACGTCTTTTAAATTCTTGTCACTAATTGATCACTAAATTTTGGAAAATAATCATCATTTTTCTGATAGCATATTTTATTCCAAATTTGTACTATCTCTTGGACTTCATCATCATTTATTGTAGAATTATCATTTTCAATAGTATTTTCGAAAATTTAATCAAGCTCATTTCTTTGAGAAAGCTCATAGATTATTGTTTCAATTTGATTTTCTAATTTTTCAAGTTATATGATGACACTTTATTTAAATTTGGAGTAAATTTGTCGAACTTCTTGAATTTTTTGATAAATTTCAAAGTTATCTTTAGATGTAAACATTTAAATAAAATAAATTAAAAAATAATACAATAAAAAATATGTTTCTTTATATTTAAATACAATAAAATAAATAATGTGATAAATTCTGTTTGTTCATAAAACTAATAAATAATGCAAAAAAAGCATGAATTTCTAAAAAAGAATTTAACTATCCTTTCATAAAAATGATAAAATGTATATACTAAAAATATGCTTAAATATATTTGTGAATATTCATTAAATGAAGAGAAAATGATTAATATTTATTAATGAATTTCATTATTAATTAAAAAAATGTTTTATTTTTTTTCAAAGATAAGTAGATTTATAAAATAATTGTAAACATAAAATCTTATTGTTTTAGATTACAAATTTCAATGATTTTAAAAGTTTAAAACTTTTCATACAATCTATTTTTATATTGCCTAACCTAATCTGATTAAATATCTAATATCTAATGTTTCTTGAGTGGATAATTACAGATATTTATTAAGAAATAATTTTATGGATTAGAAAAAAATTGAGACTCTTATTTTGGAAGCTTAGACAAATCCCGACCCTGATATACAATATATGAGAGCTGAAGAACTCACAAATGAGTTGACAATTTACTATGGAAAATCGGAATAAGGGATGGAAGATGAAAAGAATCAAAAACTTATTAATAATTGCTTTAAAGTATTTTATTAGCATTTATCATCTCAATATAGAGAAATTTAAGGTATTATAATTTAATATAGTAAAATAGGAAATGCAATTAGATAATTTTAAAGATTAGCTCCTTTGATGAGATCAAAGGAAGTATCATATATTGCTTTAGAATTATTGAAGTCATCAGTTGAAGGAATGAATGATGCAAGAGAAAATTATCACATTTGCCTTTAAGAAATAGTAGAAAAGATTCCAAGTCAAGTCTCAGGTTTAGAAGAAATTTAAGAAACAATTATTTAAAGTAAATCTAATCATAGTATAATAGAATTGGGTGAATTAAAAATAAAAGTTAAGAAATTATAGGTTTCAAATTAAATAGTACATTAAGAAATATAATAAAATGTTGAAATATAAGCTGAGCTCCTTAAAATATTAAGTTTGATAATGTCAAGATGGCCAAAATTATATTATAAAGACTTTGGTGATTTATTATTAGATAATATAACAAACTCAAATGAATTATCAATAAGAAAAAATTCATGTGTATGTTTAGGTCATTTGGGAGCATGTTTGAATCAATAAAGTCTAAATAATTTAATTTAATCAAGTAATAAATTGAAATTTATGTTATAATAGAAATATTACCATTTACTAAAGATTTAAGTTTTGATTAATAAAATTTCACAAAAATACTCTACTTAAATTAAAGTTTGAATTATTTGGCTAAGAGTTCTGGAAAACATTTTGATAAAGTTTTAGTTGAATAGATTTTTGAAAGATACTTTTAAACACAGAATGAATAACATAAAATAGATTTAGATAATATTAATCAATATGCTGAGATTTTAGAAATTTAATTACTTACAATAAATTATTTAATTTCTAATTCTTATGCTCGTTCATTTGATTTCTAATTAATTGAATAAATTACACCTTTAATTGATTTTGATCCATTAGGAGTAGCATCAATTGAAGAAGAAAATCCATATGAAGATGAATATTATCCTGATGAAAGTAAATTTATTTAATAAACTTATAAGCCACTGATTCAACATGGAGAGTAAGAAGATGTACATTATATACATTCTAAGAATTATTGAAGTATCAACCATAATTATATAAATTAATTCTATCAGCATTATTTGGTCCAAATTAAATCATTATGAAAAGAATCAATGAAAAAAATGCTGAAATAAAATTATCTATAGTTCAATTTTTAATTTGCTTAGTGTAAGCATCTGCAATTATTAAAGAGGATATAAATTTAATGGAAGTTGAATAATTATCTTTAATAAAGTAAAGATCTATTCCAGCCTCTATATCATTGATTGAATTGGTAGAATAGTTATTAGAATAAATATAAAAGATCTTTTAAGATTCTTAAGAATAATAATCCTTAAAATCTGAATCTACTAAATTATTATTAGCAATTGGTTAATATTTCCACTCTCAAATATAGACTTCACATTCATGTTTTTCAAAAATTGTTGAAATTATTCATTAATCAATTACTGGTTCTCCTATGCATTATTCAAATGAATAAAAAGTATTTATATATAATTAATCATAGCTTGCTTCTATTTTAACAATGAAAACTATTCTTAAAATTACAGAACCTGCTGAATTTTAAGTCTAAATTTTATAGTAAATGGTTTTAATACTTCTTGATGCAGTAAATTAAAAATATATCAGAATTTAAGTTGAAGGTTATAATACATTAGAAATAATTATTGGAGTATTCAAATAGAGTTTTGATGAGAAGACATTTTAATAGTCTTTAACATAAATTAAATAAAATCTAATCATAAAAATATAGATTGATAACTTAGATTAAGAGATTAAATAAAGTTTATTTTCACTTGCAGCTACATTTTTCAGATATTTTGAATCAATATTTTCAAAAGCAGAAGTTGAATAATTAGCTTAAATATCTTTAGTTAGATTATAGATTGAAGCATTATAACATAATATCATAACTCTTGTCTAATATTTTAAAAATCTTAATGATCCTAAACCTTTAATTTCAAATATTGCTAATTAACTTTAGAAAAATGATAAACCTTAAACATATATAACTTTAATTCATTTAATGTAAAACAATAAAATTGATCAATAGCTAGCAGGTGATATTTTAAGCAAATTTAAATAAATTACAATAGAAAACTATGATTTACAAATTTAAACTTTATAAGTATTAATTAAAGTTACTGGTATAAAATTATCTGAATAACTTATAAGAGAATCTGTAAAAATTGGATTGTATCAAACTAAAATAAAACATGATATTGAAGATTTCTTCCATCTGATAAATTCATCCTAAATAATTGAATAAGAAGTTACTAAATAATTAGGAAAGGAAGAATTATATCCAGCTGGATAAATATATTGTTAAATATTAAAAAATGTTCCTGGTTCACTTAGTTCATTATATTCATCAATATCAATAAACAGATAACTAAAATTATCAACATTAAGATTCTTACATAAATATTAAAAAGACCCAAAAGCAATTGATATTTTATGCCAATTAATTAAAGATAATTAAGATTCTGATTTAGCTGCTATAGTAATTGGTTCAGCTATTTCTGATATTCAGTAAATTTAAAATCTGATTGAATAATACCCTAATCAATATTAATTTTATTAAGCATTAAAGGAATTTACAGAAATTAATTCTATTAATAATCCAATGAATATTGCTAATTATATTTTGAAATAAGTGAATGGAAAAGATAAAACAATATCCACTATATGTGGTGATATTTTGGGTGGATTTCTAAAATAAAATTATTAATCTCTAGAACCAATTTTATTTGAGGGTCTAAAGAGTACTTCTTAAGCTGTTCGATTTTCTTGTATTTAAAGTCTTAAATATACAAATCAATGGGCCAACAAAGCCTAAGTATTGTTAGAGATGCTTTAAAATGAAAAGGATCTTCAAATCCTAACTGGAATCATAAAGGCCCTTACATAAAATATTCAACATATTAAATTATTTAATTTAATACAATATTTGACATATTGTTTAAGAAGATATGAAGAAAAAGAATTAAATTTTGGTAATTTTACTGAAAAAAGAGATGATGCTAAAGATTTAAGATCCCTTTCCTTTGATTTATTAGAATTATTCTTTGAAATGTAAAGTTATGATGTGAAACCAATTCTAACAGAAGTTTTTGATAAATTTAGTAAGTGTTATTTTATATTTCATAGATGAGGATAAATATGATGAAACTAGAATACCTAGATTAAGAATTATCTAAAAGGTCATTAAAAAAGACCCTTCAGCATTGGCTGCATTTTCTGAAATTTTAATTAAAACATTTGAGCCTATTCTTAAAACACTGTAATAAAATTTACAAAAATAAGATCAAGTAAAATAATATTAAATAATATTAGAATTTGGATAAGGAAAAAGAAAAAATCAAATTGATAGTTTCAATACTATAAGGATTAAGATAAAATTCAAAAGAAGTGGATGATATTTACAGAAAATATGTAAATAAATAAATTTAAGATTTTGCATGCTAATGAGAATGAAAATATTATTAAAAAATAAAACCAGTCGAATAAGTAATTTTAATTAGTAATATAAATTCAATAATTTCATTGATATCATTATTGATCCCATGAAATCCTTTTACCTTTATGCCAAATCCCATACTTTCCTTTTTTATTAATGAAAAAACATCCCCTGCCATGTTATTTACCACTTTCCCATTCTCCTTCATATCTCCTTCCATCTCCCCAATCATAAATACCATAACCCTTATTTTAAGTTATTGAATAAGATATACATGTTTTCTATCATTAAAATATTATCCTTCATATCTTCTTCCATCTGGCCAAGTATATATACCTCTTCCATGCATGTTACCAAAATAAAAATCACCTTCGTACTTTCTTCCATCAGCCCAAATTAAAATTCCCTTTCCTGATATTTTATTTTGAACCCAATCTCCTTCATATTTTTAACCATTGCTCCACATATATTTACCTTAACCATGCTTATAAGAATTCTAAAAATATCCCTCATATAAAGAACCATCAGGCCATAACTCAATACCATATCCATGTTACTTATCATTTAGCCATTCACCTTCATAATTTGGACCATCGATATGTTTATAGACTCCATATCCATTTGACATATCATTTTCCCATTCTCCTTCATAAACATCACCATTAATGTGAGTAAATTTACCTCTTCCATTAGCTTTATTATGTTTCCATTCACCTTCATATTTAGCACCATCAGGCCAAATTTAGATTCCATAACCATCTCTTGAGTTTCCTCTCCATTCTCCTGTATAGGTGGCACCTCCAGGGAATCTAATTTATGAAATTTAATACGTAAATGTGGGTTTTTCAATTCTGGGTTTGTCATCTTAATTTATTGTGATTCCACTTTCTACAGTCTCAGTTTCAAATGCACACAATATTTTTTGATTATCTACTTTACGACGCGCTATGTAACCTCTCCAGTATTTTTAGATTACAATAGCCATTTTATTTTTTATTAACCATGTCTTTTCAGTTTTAGAAGTACCTGTAGGAATTGATATACATTCCTAATTGATTCATTTAATTACTTATATTTCATTCCCTCTCTTATCACAATTACATTGAGAACATTAAGAACCCATTTAAAATTATAATTATATTTGACATTACTTTCTTTTTGAACAATTTATTTTAATAAAATATAACGATTATGTTAGCTGACAAAACCAGTGCCTATGTAAATTAAAGTTCTGTATAACCTATATAAACAAGTAAAAGAGTGGTAATAAGTATTTTATCATTCTAGTAACTTGATATTCAATATGTGGCATAAACCTTCGAAAAAACTCAATCTATTAATAACTTTTAAGATATATTACTAGATAATAAATCTACAGATTTAAGAAATTTAAATACAAAAGTGAAATTGAGAAATTATCTCAGGCTTATCTAGACAAATATTATTATGAATTGAAATTTGAACAATATTAAAATTTACTTACATAACAATAAGGCACAATCACTAAATTACTAAATGAAAAATAGGATTTGCTTAGCAGACTAGAATGTGCAAAAAGTAATGAAAAAAAAATTAGTCTGTTATAATAATTAGAAGTTAAATTTCTTGAAAATCAATAAGAAAAACAATAATTAAAAATGAAATGTCACTTGGTGCTAATAATGAGTTACAATAATCATTTTAATCCTTAAAATTAATTTGTTGAATACAAAGATAAATAAAATAAATATTCAATAAAATAACAAGTATTAATATCCAAATTACCTGATGATATTAGAAGTCAAAAATACTTACAAGAAGTATGTTCCCAAATGTAAATTATTAGATTATAAAATAATCAACTTTCTGAATAATTATCTTCTTATGAACATAATTTCTAAATCAAATTGTAGGAAATATAAGAACAATATTTAATTCAAAATAATGAATTATAATAAGACTGCGAATCTCATATTGAGTAAAAAGAAGAATAATTGCATTTATTAAGAATGGAACTTGAAAAACAAAAATCAGAAACTCAAAAACTATAGAATGAAAGCATTTCATTATAAAATTATATTTAATAATTAACATAGAAGTAGTTACAAAGATGATATTCATGCTTTCGCCTCACTACTTTCAGAATAGATGGAAGAATATAAGATAGTTATATAAAATTTAGAAAATCAATTATTTAAAATGAACTTAGAAATAAAACAAGGAGATCGGATTATTATCTAATTATATTAGCAAATATAAATAATGAAAATCAAAGTGTATTCTATTGTTATCTTATGTTTTTAGATATAAATCCTAAAGAATTATTTAATTTATTGTTAATTCTATAATTAACTTTAATTTATTATAAAATATATAAATTATTCCAATTATTAATATAAAAATGGCACTATGACCTAAAATTTAATAGAATTATGTTTTCATTATTAAATTTATTGAATGGATATCTTATTGAATGGTTAGAGAGTTTCGGTCCATGAATCCATAACTTTTTAGTAATTATAACAACAAATGGGTATTTTAAATAACAGAGATGTAAGATTATGTAAAAATGGATAACCATTGTTTGTGGATCCAAATACTTTGATCAAAAACATTCTATAGCCTAATGATTAAATTACAACAGTAAACATAAAGGATCTAAATGGATAACCAAATATGGTTAATCAACCTTATCGATAACCAGCTAACACTACTCCAACATTACCATAAAATTTTTAAAATCAATTCAATCCTTAAATCAATTCATAAATCAGGGCCACAAATATAGTTACAAATTAAGAATAAACACAATTTAAGAATGGAATCTAATTTGGAACGAACCCTTATTTTGGTTAATAATAAATTTAGCCTTAAATTATATCACCATCATAATTTACAAATCCAAAACCATAGTAGTAAGTATTCTAATAAAATATTCCTTAATCATAAACAATTTAACCAAATATTAATTTATAAAACTAAAAAGCTCCTCAAATTTATCAATAAGATGATGATATTTTCGCAACATAAGCTTAATAATAAAATCATTAGGAAGAAGTAGATGTTTTTGCAACATCATTTTAATTTTAAAATTATGATGAATAAAGATTAAATTATTTGAAAGACAAAAATATTAGTCCAGGAGATAAATAGTAATTAAAGTATTTATTTTAGGCTTAAATTTGAGAGAGATAATTATATTTTTACTATAGACAATTTTGGAGATGAACTAATTATTCAAAAAAGTGATTAATCATTTTATTTGAAATTAAATAGTTCATTTTAAATGAAATAAAAAAGATAAATAGATATTCAAAGTAAGGATTTGTTTGAAAAAAATTTAATTTTCTATCTTAATTATACTAGAGTAGCATGGATTCAACATTAGGATATATTGGCTGTGTAATTTAACAACGGCAACAAAATATATTTGAAATTATTTATGGAATGATTTCAAAATATAAAATTATGATAAATTAATTATACCTAAAAAATTTTTAAATCCATAATTTATAATAAAAATGAGTATTTGTAAAAAAAGTGCTTCTTTAATATTGATAAGGGATGATTATAAAGTTTTAATGTTAGAAAGAGCAAAGAAATCTCATTTGGAGGATCATATGTATTTCCAGGAGGGATTCTAGAAGAAGTAGATGATGAAATGGTTTAATTAGATTTATAATTAATAGAGCAAAATCATTAAAAATATTATTGTCATTAAACTCAAGGATGGTATTATTCATCTTTGAAGAAACTAATATATAATTAGATTATAAATAATTATATTAAAAAATCAAACCATTCTTAAGAATAATCACACCTTAAATGATGTAAAAAAGATATGACACTTAGTTTTTTGTTTAAATTTAAATAATTATGATAACTTAGACATCAATAAAATTGAAAGTACAAGTTATGAATGGAATACTCCTAATGGATTTTTAGAAAAATTTATTAATAATTAAATATTCTTATAACCACCAATATTCTTATAACCACCAATATTCTTATAATTATTAATGCTTTAATAATTAGGAAGCTATTAAAATATAATTAATTATATTGATTCAGGAGATTAATATAAAGATACATATACTCATGTTTTCTAATTTCGTAAGAATATATTAGTTTTTTATTAGGTAATAAATACGTTTTAATTATCCTGATCCAAATTATAATTTATAAGAGTTGATGGAAACAGAATAAACAGATTATTTAAAAAGTGAATTAAAAGTTAAATATAATCTTATAGAAGGATCAGATTTTAGATTTGAATTAGAAGCTAATTAAAAAAAATTAACTGGACATATACGAAAATTTAAGAATTCACCTTTAGCATTATTAAATGGTTAAATTATTAATGATAGCTAATTTATAAAATATAAAGCTAAGTTATGAGATTAAATATAAAAGAAATTAATTAATGATATTATATTGTATAATCACTAAAATTGGAAAGTCTATTGAGCTTTTGGTTTAGATTATCTTTAAACACTACCAGAATTTATATTAATTCTATTGTTATCTCTTAATACATCATGTTATACAGCAGGACTTTATGCTTTAGTTTATATTTAAGGATTATCTTTTTAAACAGCATAGAATTTTTATTTCATAACTAATAAATCTTTTTCCATAGTTTAATATTTAAGATTTTTTCCTTCTTAATCTTTATTCCTCTGTTAAATTTCTTATTTACAATCCTAAAAATTATGAATTAGTTTTACAATTAACTCCTAAATAAGTAATTATACAGATTATATAATCTTATCTCCATCACTACCTTTAATAGTTGAAAATCTGTTTTTTACTCCACTTAAATTTAAAATTTAATTTAGTTTAGTCATTTCATTATTAAGTCTTTAATTTTCTACTATTAATTTTTACTATAATAATCTAAAAATATAATTACCATATCTAATTTAGATGTATTATATTAATTATCTGAATCAGTATTTTTTCTAGTTTATTATTATTATTATAATAATTTATTTTTTTCTTCAATTTCCTTTTATAATTATTCTGATAGATATAATTTTTCTTATTTTAAACAAGAATTTTCTTATTTTATTGTATTTAAGTATCTTATTTTTTATGATGGATTATTATGACCTCCAAGTTATGCAATATCTTTTTGCATTTCTTCTATTTATTTATAGAGCATAGATCTTTCATTATTAGATTTGGTTAGTTTTTCATGTTAATCTTGTAATTCTTTTTTCAATTTACTATTTTCATCTTCTAAAGCATGCATTTACATTAATGCTTGTTCTTTTTGATCTTTCATTTATTCATTTTCATCTTCTCTTTCTTAATTTTATGACTATATAAATAAATATAAAAATTACTAATATTGCATTATGTTCAGCTTCTAATTTTAAATATTAATCCTTAATATCATTAATTTCCTTTTCTTATTATTTACAAAACTCTTTTGCTCTATCATGAACATTTTTTAATGTATCTTCATTTTATAAGAGAGCTTATTCTAATTGTATAATAATCTTTAATAAATTTTAAAATTTTACTTATTATTTTTTATCAATTTTCTATTTTAATTCATTGTTTTCTTTTGTAACTTTTTCTGCAATATGACTATATTATTCTCTTATTTAAGATTCTTATTTCATTTAAGATTCAAGTCTAGTAAAATGATCTTTTAAGAGATTATATTTATCTTATTATTCACTAAATTAGATGTTTTATATATCATTTTATTTTTGGGTTGATTGATATTTATTAATATTTTCTTAAATTTAATGATTACTTTCTTCTAATTAATTTTTCAATTGAATATTAGCATTTTCAAGTCCTTAAATTATTTTCTAATTATATAAATTATAAATTATACAGTAAATTTGTTTTAATCAGACTTTAATTTATCCTTTAACTATTAAATATCTTTTTGAGTTTATTAATTTAAATCTTCTTTTGTTTCAAATGCACATTATAATCCATTAACTTATTTATTTAACTATTCAATTTATTAATCTTTTTATTATAATTACTTTTAATGAATATCCAATTAATCTACTAATTCTTAAACTTCTTTTTTATGTTAATCTTCATACTTTTTTAGATGAAGTGAATATTACTTAATTTCTAATTCTAATTATTTAGTTAATTTCTTAACAGTTTATTTATTTTCATCAACTTGAGATTATTTTTAATCTAATTCTACTCTCATTTAATCTATTTCTTCATGTTATGAATCAATATGTTAATTTAATTATTATATCTCTTTTTTCAATAATAAATTATCTTTAGATGTTAATTCTAATTATTATTATAAATTAGTATTAAGATGATTTAATTATAATTTTAATTAATCTATTTATTATTCTTTTTATTGTAAATCATTTAAACTTACATTTAATCTTTATTCAAGTTTAAGAATATCTTTTTATTTATCACTAATTTAAATTTTTAATATATTATTATCTATTTCCATTTAATTTGTTTCTTTTTTCCAAATCTCAGAACTTTTATCAAGAATCTGATTTTATTTATTAAATTCTTATTATAAAAATTCTAATTCTGATTCCTTTTCATTTATAGTATCAGTCAAACATTAAATTTGACATTCAAATTAATTAATTTTATTTTACTATTCATTACATTATTCTTCTAATTGAATTATAGTTTATTTAAACTTATTTGATTCACATTCAATTTCCTTAATTTTATCATTTAAGGCAGTTTTTTCATTAATTAATTATTCTATTGTTCTTATCTTAATTTATAATTTTTATGTCATATCTTACAATTTACCTTATTATTAAATTTCCATTGTATTTCTGCTTTATTAATTATCATTTTCTATTGAAACTAATTTTTATTATAACTATTGTATTTCTTTTGATTAGCTCTCTAATTTGGACTTATGCTACAACATATCTCTTTTCAATTCGGAATTAACTTAGTCTTTTTGTTCCATCCTAGCTTACAAAGAGATGTAGAGTTCATGAACTTGGTTATAATGATCCGATGTTTCTTGAATTACAGCCTGCTTACTTTCTAATTGCTTTTACAATAAGTCTAAACTGGACATCTACTCTTTTTGAATATCTTCAAACTCTAATTTCTATGTTTCAATTATGCTCTCTAAATGGGAAGCCCTTTATGTTTCATTTTGTAATTTTTAATTTAAAATCTATATATTTTATACAATAAATTACATTAACTTAAAATTCTTATTAAGATAATATTTCAGAAATATTATTTTCTTTTTCTTTGATAATACAATTCAATGAATGAATCTAAAAAGTTTTATATTATATAGTACTTCTTGATTTAATATACTTAAATCACAATCTTTTTTTGCACTTAATTGAGATAACAATAATTCAAAATCTTTTTTTTATTATTTCATTTAATCTTAATAATTCTTCTCCAAGTCTGAATTTTAAATTTAATAACTTTATTATAATACCATAATATCTTCTTAATAATTCTACTATGTTTATTAAAATTATGATTAAGTATTTAAAAGCTCTTAAGTTTTTTAATTTAATTCTTAAACCAAAGAATCTCTTTCTTATTATATTTCATTTTTAGTCTTGGATAATATTGTATTTTCATATTGTAACAATTAGTTATCTTTTTATACTTATTATAATTAAGTAAACAATTCCTATTCTGAACTTTCCAATTTAGATACAGATAATTTTAATTAGTCTTAAACTATCACTAATTCATTTTAATATTTTGAACATGTTTATTTTAGATTTTCATTTTCAAACTCTAATTCTTAAACCAATATTTGATTTTATTCAAATTTAGTTTTTTAATCACTCAAATCATTTTTCAATTAAGTAATATTATTTTCATAATAAGATAGTTATTATTTTAATTCTTAAATTGTAATATTATTTTCAACAATGGTTTTATTAATTTAATTTAGTTTTTCTTCATTTTATGCTAATTCTTAAGCAAGTTAATTATTTGTATTTTTTTCATTTAAAATTTATTATGTAAATTCTTGATTTTATTAATTAAGTTATTCATAGTTATTAGCTTATAATTAATTTTAATCTTTCAATTAAATTATTTATTATTCAAATTAAGCAATTTATTATGAAAAATTATCTTAGAACTATGAAATATTTGTTTATTATTATTAAAAATTGATTTATATTTCCTATTTTTAAGCCTCAATTTATTGATTTTCAATCTTTAATTATTAAATAACCTACTCAGAGTTATTTAATAATTCTTCTAATTCTTAATTTGAATTTTTAAGTTCTTAATTAAGATCACTAATTCTACTTTTTAAATCTAAAATTTGTTTATCTCTAATATCAATTATTTAATCATTTTCATTAAATGTTATACCATTATCTGCTAATTTTTAAAATATTGATTTTTCAATCTCTTTTATTTAATCTTCCATTTAAACTAATTTTTATGTTTATTCTGATAACAATTTCTCTTTATATTCTGATTATATTTCTAATTCTTTAAATTTATCTAAAGTTACATATTATGAATTAAATTAAATATCTATTTATTATTGAAATTATCTTCTTTCATTTAAAGAATTCTATAAAATTAAATATAATATATACTTAAACAGTTTCAACTATTTCTTTTAATAAATTTAGATTTGTATCAACTTGTACTTATACTTTTGATACTGTTTATGTAGCTCCTTGTTATTCTTTTAAAGTTAAATTTTCATAAAATGTTTTCATTACTAAACCTTAGCATTATAAGGCATATGCTAATTATTATTAAATTTATTATTGTATTTCATCTGCTGATTGATTTAATTTTAATTTTTATATTTATTCATTTTATAATTTTATTACAAATTTTAATTGTTACTCTAATTATTATCCTAATTAAAAGCCTTCTTTTAATTATTTAATTCCATTCAAATATTTTTCAATTTCTAAAAATAATGCAGTTTCACTTTCTGTTGATTATTCTAAATAACATTTTAAAATTTCTTCTAATTTAATGTATTTTTAATCATTAATCATTAAGCTTTCCAATTCTAATGATTATAAAACTAAATAATTAAATAAAATTGAATACATTATTCATTAATTTAAGATTATTATTAATTTTATTCAAATTTCTTAGGTGATTCCCATTTTTATTATTAAGTAACACTTTTAGCAAGTTCTTATTTAAGTCTTTTGATTTCATTTTTCAAACTCTCTAAATTACCACTTTCATCCTCATTAATTCTTGCTTTATTTTTTACTTATTTAACTCTTTTAGAAAACATAAGAGTTGATAAAGTTTCTTAATAAAATTATTATGATTATTAAATATTGGCTATTAAATGTGTTCTTGAATTACCTCCCAAAGAATCTTTAAGTAAAAATGTTAATTTAGAATCTCTATAATGTACATAAGATTAATTGTCTTCAACAAGAGAATTTATTACATTACCCAATATATGCAAACTTTTATTTATATTACAACCTTCTCTCAATCTTTCTCCTTAAACTTAAGATTATTTCTATCTTTCACTACCAGCTAAATCTACAAAATGAAATCTTGAAAATCTATGATTGATAACTTAAGTTTAAGATGATTATCTTCTAGATTCAAGTTATATGGTAAATACACTATGTGATCTTGATGATTCTATATTCATTTATGTCGATGATATATGTCTATTAAGACTTCCTCTTTAAAGAACTTCCAATGATTCATTTACATTTGTACATACTTCTTCACTTAATTGTTCTACATATACTCCTTTTTTGAGATCTTCTCTTAATTATAAGTTTCCTAATTAAGGATTCAAAAGATCTATTATATGTTCATTATAGATTTCTAAATAACTGCATTTGACTAAATATTCTACATTTTCTGATGAATCCTCCAAAATGCAATTAAAAAGAAAATCGATTACTCTTGGTAATAAGCCTGGTTACTTCTATGTACCCATCATTGTATATGTTTTACCACTTCCAGTTTAACCATATACAAACACACACCCATTATAACCATCTAAACAATTAATCGCTTATTATTTTCCTACTATATTAAATATGTCTTCTTAGGTTGAGTCTTGTTAAGCTACATAATCAAAATAAAAATATTTCTAGTCTTGTTGTTATTATTGATTGCCCTCAATAATAATAGTATTTTTTAAATTGGAATCTAACTTAATACATGATCTTCCATCTTCTATTAAAGGTCTTGGTTAATTAATAAAAGGATTCTTACTTTATTCTAATAGAAACTTGAATATTGTCTCGTTCTGCCTTAAATTTATCTGTCATTTTTCAATTTTTAAATTTGAAATTATTATAATAAATAACAATCAGGAAATTATTGCTGTTGTAAGGCTTGTATTATCATGGTAAACGTAATTGTAATCCTTAGAATGTTTGTTCCGAAATAGCAAAAGGGAACAGTTCTTTAAACAATTTGAATTGTTAAGATCACTTTCAATGTAACTACTTTCTAATAAACTTGATTGTTAATTACTAAAAGCTAATAAGAGTTATATTACTTGAATCCCCTATATTTTTTACTTAGTCTCTCAAATGTAGTTCTATTATAATACATATTCTTCAGTTATGTGCATATTAAATGGCTCAATAAAACAAAAAACATTAATGTTACTAATAATTCCAAAACAATATATTCTATCTAAACTCCTTTTGAAATGCTCAAATACTTTCTTAAATCAGTTAGAGAATCAAATAAAATATCAAATACATCCCAATAACACAAATTTGATGATAATATTCCAACATAAGATTATTTCCAAATAATATTGATAAACAATATAATTGAAACAAATAATTGAAATCCAATTGTTAAGAAAGTAATCCAGATAAATATCATGAATAAAAAATGATTTTTTGCACCTATACAATTATTTATCCATGGACAATGATGATCATATACTATGATACATCTATTACAAAAATCACAATGACGACTTCTTTTAGCTTTAAGAGTTTCACATTCTGAACAAATTTCCAATTTTTTTGGATTATTTTGTAAAATTTAATAAAATATTTAACCTTCTTATTTATATTAAATTTGATATCCAGGATCAGAATTAATTATGTAAACAAATAAACAGATTTCTAATATGTCTAAAATAATTTATATGTAACCAAACAAATTATTTCCTAATGTAAACAAAATTTAATATATTAGATTTAGAATTAACATTAAAATGAATGCATACATTTATAATCTACTCTTATGATTCTATATACGGATATTAATATAATAATACAATCCTAGGCTTATTTTTTTATCCAAATAAATTATTGCATTTAATATTCCCTTCCTAATATTCCATTATCATTTAACTGATAGTTAAGAAATCATTTTCAACAGACAATTCATATGCAGTTTTACCTTATTTATTTCTTAATCTTGTTTTGGCATTATATAACAATAACTTTCTAGTAATTTTATATTCTCCACTCATAGCTGTGACATGCAAAGGAGTACAACCATAAATATTTTTAGAGTTAATTTTACAACCCCAAGCTAATAACATAGCAGCACATTATTCACTACCTTAATAGCTGGCTAAATGTAAAGCAGTACTATAATCATTATCTGTTATATCAATATTAACTTTTGCAATATTAATTAAATAGTATAACATAATAGGTTAATCTGATTGTGACGCTATATGTAGAGTTGTTTATCCTTGTCTAGTTTTTTAGTCTAATTTGATTCCTAGTTTAAAAATTGCATCAAGAATTGCAATATTACCTTTTTGAGTTGCTAGATGCATACATTAATTTCCAGAATCATTTTATTGAGTTACCCATAATTAAGTATCAGACTCTCTAGAATTGCTTAATCAATTGTTACCCAAATAATTATAGTGAATATTTAATTAAGTCTGTAAAAAGCTTAGTATGATCTTTCCAAACAGCATGCATAAGCAAAGTATTTTTTTTTTCATCAACAATCTTTTGAATATTTATTGGTTGCATTTGACTAAAGGAATCATTATCATTAATTCCAAGAAGATATCTGACTCCTTTTAGATCACCATTTTTGACTTTGGTGTATAAATCTTCATAAATTCTCTAAACATCAGAGGCTTAATCCTATATGTATAATATAGATTAAATACATTCACAAATGTAGCCTAAGACAATCCAAAACCATGAGGATCCCTATTAATATTATTAACAGGATCTAAGGATTACAAAAGAGGCTGCATTATAAATTAATTAATTAATCAGTGCTTTATATTAGATTATTTAGCAATTAAAGAGCGCTTATATAATTTCAAAATATTTAAGTAAAATATTTATGATAGATAATTCATTAATAAAATTAATTAATATAATGATGATCACTTCGTCCGTGTTTTTGATTGTTTATGATATACACTTGTCACTACTCTGAAAATAATCTATATATATATATATAATTAAATGTTAAGAAGATTAACTACGTCAGTCCCATCAATCAAAAAATTGTATTTTGCATTCTCTGTAAATGAAGGTATAGAATGTTGTTAATCAGAATATAAGATCTAAATCCTCAATCGACTCAAAGAAATTAAACATTCCAATTCTTAGAAAGACATTGTGTCCAATGGTTATATAGAAAATCTAACCATAGACTAAGGTATTCCAATGACCAAGTACTTTAGATGGAAGAGTCATTATTGATCTCAAATTAGACTAAGATTATAGAAAGATAAAAGCTCTTTGTTCAGATGCTCTTAAACAATATGAATGGATTAAGAATTTGGATATACGCATGGCTCCAAAAAAAGAGAATGTCTTTACTTAAACAAATTCTTAGAAGAGAGGCAATCTCTAGAATGTCAATAAAATCATAGCTGTGTCTAGTTGTAAAGGAGGAGTGGGTAAAAGTACAATTGCATTAAATCTTACTTTTTCCTTGCAAAAATTAGGTTTCAAAGTAGGAATATTTGATGCAGATGTTTATGGTCCATCTTTGCCTACCTTAATTGGCAAAGAGAAATAGTAATTATATGCTCCAGAAGATAAACCTAAAGAAATTCTTCCTATAGAATTCAATGGTGTTAAAACCATGAGTTATGGTTTTGTTAGTGGCAATTAAAAAGCTATAATTAGAGGTCCTATGGTTAGTAGTATTGTTGTTTAATTAGTACAACAAACTTAATGGCAAAATTTAGATTATTTAGTTGTCGATATGCCTCCAGGAACAGGGGATATATAAATCAGTTTATGTTAAGAATTAAATTTTGATGGAGCAGTAATTGTTACTACTCCACAAAGATTAAGTTTTATAGATGTTGTTAAAGGAATTGAAATGTTTGATGTTCTTAAAGTGCCAACCTTAAGTGTGGTTGAGAATATGGCTGAATATGTCTGTCCAAATTGTAATCATCTTCATAGACCTTTTGGACCAGGTTATATAAATATGTTATAAAAATAATTTGGGATTGCTACAGCACTCTCTATACCCTTATATGGGGATATTTCTAAATATTCAGATTTGGGAAGTCCTGTTGTATTAACTTTACCTGATGATCACACTATCAATAATATATATAAACAATTAGCTAATAATGTTGTTAATGAATTAAATAGAACTGATCTGAAAAAGACTCCGACTGTCAGATATGATACTGGCAAAAGAGTGGTTATTATTAGAGATTTTGATGGAAAAGAAAAACCTATAAAATCAATTGAACTTAGATCTAAATGTAATTGTGCCTTATGTGTAGATGAATTTACTGGGAAAAGATTAAATTAAGTAAATTTTTAACTTTATTTAGAATTAAAAACTTGATTAAGAAGTTTATCCATATAAGATTGAACCAAAAGGTAACTATGCTGTAGCAATAGTTTGGTCTGATGGTCATCGTTCTTCTATATATCCTTATAAAAGATTATGGAGTGATGAAATTATTGAACATAAATCATGATAATTATTATATATTAAATTAATATAATAAAATTTATCAATTAATGTATTATTCTAAAGTTTCTTTTAATACATTTTGTTATTCTTAACTTAATTGATGTGCCTTTGCAAATCCTTTAATTACTTATTCAATATCATCTCCTTCTCTAATACAAATTCTTGCTTTTCTATTTTTTGAAATTCTTATATCAACATTCAATAACATATTCTTAGGATTTTAGACTCGTTTACTTAAATCAAAAGGTTCAGGTACAGTTTGATGAGGTCTATTTTGAATATTAGTTTATTCTATAGAATAGAAATTTTCTTTTTCATTTTTCATTTATCTTGCTTTATTCATTCTTTCTATAATTGCAGATTCTCCCTTAACAGGTTTAAATGAATATCTCTATTTATTTGTTAATTTTGGTTTAAAAGTGCATTCCATCAATTCTTCTTCTTCCCTTTATCTATTCAAATTATCCTTTAATTTTTATTTATGCATTTTTATTGCTTCTGCATTTTAATACAATCTATTAAATGTACTTACATTATCTTATCTTTTAGTTTAATTGGATGTTAATTAAGGTTTAAATAAACATTCTGGATCATCTTATATGTATGATTCTAATTATCTTTTCTTCTCTTATAATACTTTAGAATGCTCATAAAGAACTTCAAATCTATTTATTGTATCTGATAAATGAGTATTATCATGAGATTATCTTTATTTTCCATTAAGTTAAGTATTATTATTATTATTATTCCATGACTCTTTTTTTGATGATGATTATCCTCTAGATCCATTTGAAAATCTAACATTTAATAATTTAAATTTATTAGTCAATCTAAACATCAATTCTTATAATTCTTCAAAATTTATAACTTATTTTGGTATATTTTAATCTTCTAATTCAACATTTATAACATCTGTTAATAATACTATAGATTAACTTTGTGTTAATTATTTTTCCAATAATATCACAAGAATATTAAATACAAATCCAATAAATGCACTTTCTAAATCTAATCCTAATGTTAATAATTTCCATAAATCAATTGAAACATGATCATTTTTTGTAGATATCCCTAAATCAACTAATACATTGCAAAATCTTTCATAATCCAATTACTCTTCAATTTAGTGACGATTCAATACTGTATTAATTTGTGTTTCTAATTTCTTCAATAAGATCTTTTATGAGTTATAATCAATTTTAACTTTATTTGCTTATTATTTAATTTCATCATTCTTCTCTTCTTATTTTTAATTTATTCTTTGTTATTTTTCTATTGCTTGATTATATAATGAAGAAAAATGATCTTATTACATTTATCCATTAATTTCATAAGCATTCAAACTATCACAATTTCTCAAATATTAAGATTAATCACCAGATTAAATATTTTAATCATCAATCATGTTCGTTAATTTAATAAATATAAAAAATTATTATTTTCATTTTAAATAATACATATATTATTTGTTAAACTAATAATGTTATTTTATTATTAAACAATTAATGATATTATTTTGCTGATTATTTACTCAGATATCATTTTAAAATTTAATTCCATTTACAAAGTAATTTTTGTATACCATAATAATTGAATAAAATATTCTAGAAATATTTGTCTTTCTATTTAAATATAGTTATCTAACAAATACTTTAAAAATGATTACTATTCCTTTTTAAACTCTATATTTTATTATTCTTATATTAATTATTATTTATTTTCATAAAATTCAATTATAATATTTTATATAATAATAAAATTATATAAATATTTGTTAAAATTATGGTAATATAAATGATACTAAATTGAATTAAATGTTTTATTTGACTTGATTCTATCTAAAAAATAATATATATTTGGTTGTAATAAATGAGATTTAAGAACTTAATTCATATTGTGTGTATTTAGAGTAATTTATAATGATGTAAAAATGAAGTATTTTATAAATAAATCTATTTGAATTAAAGAATTTAATATAATCTAGAAATACATTCATACTAATTTAAAATAAAGCTTGTTAAAAATATTAGAGAATATTTCAATTGCATAATTTACTCTAACAGTGAATAATGAAGTTCAATTAATTATTATACTTGCACTATCATTAGATATTGATAAATTTATTTAAATTAACATGACAGATGGTTTTATGAGAGCTTCGAAATCATTTTTGCTACAAAACGGTAGTAAATAAGATCTTTGCTCTGTTGATGTGTCTTTAGATCCATTTCGATTGTTAAGACCTATCACAGCTGTTTAAACTTCTTTTGAAAAAATTATGCATTATTAGTCTACTGATTAGCCTTATTCACCAAATCCTTATTGTATTATATTATTTTGGTATTTTTATAGATATCCAATATTCTAATGATGGACCAGAAATGTGTAATATACTGAATAGTCAAAATAAATGTTTTTTCAATAATTCATTAGAAGGTAAATTGTGGTTACAAAAGTCCATAGATGTCTAGCAATCACAGATAAAGCAATCTACTTCTGTTCAGCCATTAAATGTATTACCTTTAGTATCTTAACTTCCTTTTGTTGAACATGCGCAGTAGAAACAAGTTTAATCTATAAAAAAAGAAAAGCACTTTTAAAAAGAACAACTTAAATTCTTTAAAGAAGATTCTATGTAGAGTGAAGAAGTTTTGAATGCAGAAGAGAGTAGTATTTGCTAAAAAGCTAATAAAAAGAACAATATGAGAGGCAAGCGACATAAGCATACAAGTGATAGTTCTGAATCCTTTAGAATCAGTAGAAAGAAAAAAACATCTAAAGTGAACGATACAAAAAATATTACGAAAAATTACTCTAAAGCAATTATTTCATACATTTTCAACAATCCAGAGTTAGTTTAAAAAATAATGTCCAAACATAGATATGATGATTTCATTAATTTCTTAAAAAACAAAAAAAATCAAATGACCAATATAAAATAACTAAGAGATTTATGGGTAGATGGAGGGAAAAATTCAGAGTTTAATAGAGTGTTTAGAATTATAAGGTAATATGAATTTACTATAAAGTTAATAATTTTTAAAATCTCAAGCTGTCTCTTATGTTTATAATTCTAGAATTTCAAATACATAATGGCATTTGAAATATAGATTCAATCTACTCAGAGCACTTAGAGAGCCAGAAAACTTCAAATTCATTAAAGATATATGACATATATTTGATAATATTTATTAAAATTGTAAACCAGTCCAAATTTATTAATAAGAAAAGAAATTTTCCAAATATTTCTTTTAAAATAAACATTGTCCAATTTTTAATCAATAAGTATATTCAATGTAATTATTAAAAGTAACTAATAATCTCTGAATAGAAAATTTCATATTTACCTATTGAATAATTATTTCTATAATAATATTATAAAAATTATACTTCTAATAAAGTATTAGTTATATTTTAATAATTATCATATAAAACTATATCAAATAATTGAACAAACATCAATTAGTTTTATTGTTATTTTTATGTATTTTTCTTTTCATTTAAAAAATTAAAACTAAAAATGAATTATTATATTTATCCTATAAAATTTTAAGGTTATGTGTATAATACTAATAATCCACTTTCAAAGATTAGATAATAGTACTCTAAATAAAGACCTGGGTAATTTATTTTTTGTTGAAACTCATTTTTTTAAATAGCTATAACTAATAATTGATTCATAAATAGTATAAAACTGATAAATATCTATATTTCTATTTATATTAGTATAATCATTCTTTATTATCTAATACCTTGAGTATTCTTAAAAATAATATACTAATTTATTGACCAATATCTCTATTGGATTTATCAAACAGATGTGTACTAATTGTTGTTCTTCTATAACCTCAAAATGCGTTTATATTTAAAAATTAATTCATAACTTACAATCAAATAAATTAAGACATCTAAAATAAAACGTTCCCATTAAACAATTCATTTCCACTTATTTAATATGTTTTATCCATTATTTAATTTATGATATATTTTACATAAATAGATTAATCAACTATTCACTCCAATTTTCAATCTAAAATCTTTAAAACAATAGTAATTATTTTTCGAAAATCTCTAATGTTTTATTAGAATCCAAACTCCATTTTTTGAATTTTATTGTTAAAAACCGTCATTCAAAAATATTCTTCCATTTTATACTTTAATATGAGCATGCTTTTTGGATGAGAAATTACTTGGATTAGCCATTTATACTTATTAAATTTTTTCTCCTATATTTGAAATTTTTTTAACAAAAACAATCTCCATGCTCTCTTTTATTTTAAAAGACTAAGAATTTATTATTATTTCTTCATTCTCAATTTAAATTAACTATTTATTTTATCCTGATGGTAATCCAACATAATACTTATTTCCTTTAAATAATTCTTTTTATTTATCAATTTTTTCATAGATTCCATCATTTTATAAATTTACAACCATTTATATACAGTTATTGTCTAGTTTCCTTTTATAAATTTAAATAATACATAGGGTATATTAAACTCAATATATCATCTTATTAATAAGTGTAATTAATTTCTTGGAGAATATCTTAATTTAATTGAGTAATAGTAGATTATTTTAATACAAGGCCATTATCAATATCAAACAATTATGAACATTGATTTATAATATTTGTGAATATCACTCTAAATATTAATAAAAAGTATAATACTTTTTGATTAGCTCTTTAGAAATATCACATAAAATATTGATTGAGACCCTTTCAATATGTTCTTAATTCATTAATTATAATATTAAAATCATCATCAAGAAATTTATATTAAAATATTATAACTCCTTTATTTTAATATTTATTTTGAATGAAGAAAGTATATTACTTTATAAATATGAATTTTTTCATTCTGATCATTAATTTTTAATTTAAAATTAAATAAGTTAAGTTGATACTTACAAATCAAACTACTTGATAAAATTCATATTAAATCAAGTAAAATTATAAAGTAACTATTTAGTTTTGGAATTCTTTAAAGTGAAATAATTTATTCATATATATATATAGGAATGTTTTCATATATATATTTTGTCCTTATTTATTTCTAAGATATCTAGAATATCTATTGAAATCCAGTTTTTCTAATCTAATCTCGTAAGAAAACTCAAATTTAAAGCGAGTAAATTAAAGAGATTTTATAATTATTTATCTATTTAATATCAATTTCTTCTCCATTAAATATAAATGCTTTCTAAAAGACATGAATTAGTATTTTAGATATAAGTGAATGTATATGTTTAATTTTGATTAATTTTTATAATGGGTAATACATTATTTAATAATCGTATATAAGATGAAGAAGAGGGTATAAAACTTTATTTAGAATTAAAATAAACAAAGCTTTAGTTGAACCAAAATTTAAAAGGCAAAGTGATCTTTAGAATGCCAAGTTAATTCTCATTAGGAACTTTTGATTTAAATTTAAAGGTTTATTGAGTTATCCTAATTAGATTTATGGTCATGAAAATGCTACCTATAACTTCAAAGAAAAAAATAAAAGTGTTTACAAATATTCTGTTAAGGATCATTAATTCTATAAAAAGACTATAAGTCTAGTTTAAAATGAAAAGTAATAAAGATTATTAAAAATTATTAAGAGTTTATGCTGAAGAATATCATTATGTAACATTTGATTGGAATACAGAGGTATCAATTCCTTCACTTGAATACAAATATAATCCTGATTTAACAGTTTCTAGAGAATATTAAGTAGTAGCTATATTAATTTGGAAAAATCAAAAGAATCAAAAAATACCATATAGATGCCATTAGCCGGTATTATTTTATATTGACTCTGATGAAATAAAATAATAAACGAAATAAATGAGAGATTCTGATGTTAAGAGAAATTAGAAAGTTGATGCAATAACAACATATAAATGGTTAAGATAACATAAAGGGGTAATAAATTGAATTGAAATTTAGTTAGTTTTTGTATCGTTTGAGGCTGATAAATGCATATATTTTAATGGAGATTATTTAAATGTGACTGCTGATGTAGATAATACTTTTGGATATCTAAAAATTTAATCAGCAAAATTATTATTCTATTTAGAATTTATTATAAAAGAAAAATGGTTATAAGGAATGCCAAAGATATTACTATGTGAAGAGAAATTAGAATAAACAGATCAAAATAAATATTTTGGAAAGATGAATTTTTAATTAAATGACAGATTAAATTTACCTTATTAATCAGTTTCAGAAAGAATAGGATGTAGATATATTGTTGTTTTATAATTAATTTTTGAATGTAAATATATTCATATTAAAAAGAACTTTGTTTGGGATCAGGAGTGGATAATGTGGAATTCATACTACCATATATGGAATACTATAAAGATAATAGAAGCAATGAAGAACCATAATAGTAATTCTTGACAGAAATAAAAAACATAGAAAATTAAACTAAGTTTATGGATGCAATATAAAATTTAACATTCTCAAGGCCAACAAATTACATTAGGGATTAAGATTTTTTAATGAATAGATAAACTAGAGTTGCATAATAAACATAAATTCTAATAATGAAAGAATGAGAAGATTTACACATTTTCTATTGAATTTTATGATTTTTTGCCTGGATTATTAATAAATTAAATATTTTCAAAGCAATAATTTATTAAATTATTAATTATGGAAAAGTTGAGTGTGGAAATTTTGAAACAAATTAAATCAAACACTTAAATTAGATATTAATAAGATGACAATTGTGTTGTAATATCTGTACATGGGCCTTACTAAATTGGATCATAAAAAGCAAATTAATGTATTAAAATTTATCTATTTAGAGGCTATCCTTGATATATAGATAAAATTTGAATAGGATAAATCTTTAGAATTATAATTAAAATCAATATTTGAACAAGCTCTTAATTTACAAGAATATCCATAGCAACAAATAAGAGTTTCTTGTATTATTTAAATTAATACAATCAATGTATATATCAATCTCAAATAGATTTTTTCAACCTTATGCAATGGAATAATGATAGCCTTATTGCATTAAGGTATATCAATGAGCAAATCGATCTATAGTATCACAATAGCCAATACACGTTTAGTATTTTAATAAATCACTAATGATTTACTCTTTATTGACAATAAAAAGACATAATCAATTGATTAAACAATGGACTAAATTAAGGAAGGAATAAGTAAAACTCAATTGTTTGAATAATGGCTTCGCAGTTATTTATATGAATATTATGTAAATAATAATTTGTTATGATACAAATAAATATAAAAAGAATTTTGTCCTTTTCTTCAATAAAATATTCCTTAAGCGAAATATTGAAATTTATCATACCTAATAATTAATTAAATAAATAATACCATCTAGCTCTCCAATTATCTAATGATTTATTAATTAATTCTTAAACATAAACAAATAATTCAGCATCAGATGCTACTCTTGGATTAAACCTATTTTCTAATTCTTTTAAAGCAACTTCACCTTTTTAAAAACAAGGTAGTGTGGTTCCATGACCTGTATACATCATTTCTACCAATAATAATATTTCATTCTAATGTTTTTGACAAGCCTTAAATCCTCTAATAATATATAAATAATTAAACTTATAAAAGAGTTTTCTGAAATGATTTTAAAACAAAGTACCTTTGACTCCTCCTAAAACCTTAATGTAATCAGATAATAATTTAAATGGTACTTTTCCTTCAAATTCCATTCCTTTACCAGGAGATATAGATAAAAAAAATCCAAAATCAATATGAATTAAATTACCTTCATCATCTAATAATATATTTCCATTATGTCTATCTTTAACTTATAAAAAATAACATACTAAACAGTAGGCTGCAAGTGATTATACATAATTTTATAATGCTTATTCAATATTGTTTCTAAAATAAGATCTGAAAAAATCAGAAAAATCACTAAATTGAGTAAATTTTTTTTAAAGATTCTTTTATAAACTATCTATTGTAGTAGCATTTTTAATCATCTCAATAATTCCACAATCAGGTCCTAATGATAAAACTTCATAATATCTTAATTTTAAAGGTAAACCCTCCTTCTTAAAAATTTAATCAAATTAACATATTAATTATAAAGCAAATTATTCTTATTTTAAATTATCTCCTGTTTTTATTATTAAATGAACTAATTACCAAGATTTTAAACTTTAAAATGGACTTTATTTTTTTATTCTTTCTTATTAAGCCATAGCATTTTCTCCAAAAATAACTTATTTCATTTCTTGATATTCTTCCTAAGTTAATACAAGTCCTTTTCCATCTTGCAAATAACTAACTCTACTATTAAAAGAACTAATCTCTAATTTACTTTAATCTACTAATTCTGATTACTACTTCTAATTACTAATTTATTCAATTTCTTTATCATTTGATTAATCATCAGTTGCATTCGAAAATGATGGTTGTTAAAATATATTCTATTAATCTATCATTTCATCTTATTAATCTGAATCTTAATTATTGGTTTATCGATAATTATAAAATTATCCTATTCCATCTGATACTTATTCATTATTTTAATAATTAAATTAATTGAACTTGATATTTTAAAATTCATTATTAAATATTTTTTATGCTTCTGCAAGAGAATAGGTACTATTCATTTAAGCATTTAATTATTCTTAGATAATGTCTTAACTTTAGGTTTTTATCATCTATATAAATATATAAAATAATTAAAAATACACTAGTTTTTATAGCTAAAGACATTTATTTATCAATTAATTACTATTCATTATAATCTTCCTCTATTTCAGGTCTATAGATTTCAAGTGTTAAACTATAAGGACTTCTCATTTTGGTAGAGAATACTCTACTTTCTCTAGATACTATATTTAGGACAGCATAGTTTCTAATTGAATTCTTAACAAAAGGTACATAGACAGCAGCTGGTAAATTAATATTCATTTTATTTAGTAAACTATGTAAATATTCAGTTTTAGAATTGGATTTTGATAATTCATCACAAATTTTTGTAATATCATACCAAAAGTTAATATTAGATTAAAAAGCAGTATCAATAGGTTTAATAATATCTTCATTATTTTCAAATATAGATATGTAATCTTCTAATTCAATATCATCATGGTTTCTTATTAAATATTATGAGGGACTTTTATTTGACATCTCTTATTCCCATTAATTGGTTCCATAGAGTCTTACTACTTCATTTTATTTAATAGATTTGATTCTTAAAGACCCTTGATAAACTTCCTGTTTAATTTTTTTACTTGATAAACTTGTTATTGATTTTCTTAATGTAGAACTTGTTATAGAATCATCAAGATGAATCTTTAAAAATTAAGTTGCTATTAATAAATTGCCTTAATAATTCAATGTCATTTTTTATTCAAATTCTTTTACAAACTTTTGTACTATTTTAAGTTCAATTCTGTTATTATGAGCAACAATTTAAGATAAACTCTTTAATTAGAAGTAGACAAGATGAGCAAAAAAAAAGTCTATTTATGATGCATTATTAATGAATTAGATTAATCTTTCATCTTGAAGTTGTTAGTGAAACACTAAGAAGTTAATTAACTAAGGGATAAAATATTCCAAATCGTTTCTAATTTAATTTGTTTGATAATTTGGATTAATACGGCATCTTTAAAGCATATCAATAGCTTTGTTTTTATTCTCTGATATATATAATCTAATCATCACTTCTAAAATAGCATCATCTGAAATCTAAGAAAATGTTAAACTAATACATCTAAACTATTATCTTTATATTTTTTAAGGATTTTTTCAGATTTTTTGAAAGTTTTAGGGAATTCACCTTTTTGTTTCTTCCCAAAACATAAACAACCTGTATTTTTATTTTAATCATTTTATTGCATTAATACAATAATTATGTCTTATAATCAATTAAATAATTATAAAAATAGTAAATTAATTTTATAAAATTGAATCAAATAATATTGATTTTGAAGGAGTAAAAATTATAATTTACATATTATTATTTATTTTAATTTATTAGTTGATCAAATTAAATAAGATACTCATATAATAACTAATGATAAGTACTTTTAGTTAATTAATTTAAGATATTGTTATTAATGTAGTAAATTGAATAAAATAAAATATGAAAATATGAAACATTTATTATAAATTAATTATTTAACAGCCATATGGGTTAAGCTAATTGTGCATGTGTAAAGACAGTGAATTTTGATCATAATCAAATTGAGAGTGATAAGAAATTAAGGGTGAGCAGAAAAGAAAATTCAATTGAAGATGAAGAGATTAAATTATTAAGATGCATTATCAAAATATAAGCATTATTAAGAGGATGGATAATTAGAAAGAAGTATCATTATGTTTAAGTTCAATTATACAACAGTAAAGTGAATAATATCTTAAAATAATTTTCAATAACACATTTATCGAAATTTAGCAAAGTATTATAATAATTGCAGCATTTATATAGATGGCCCCATTTCCATTCTCAGAATATAGATATTAAGATAATCAAAGTGAAGCATATGAAAATAGATTTTTTAGAAATGCTGTCTTATTAGAAAATGGAGCAATCTATATAGGAGAATGGTTTGGAGATAAGAAATTTGGAAAAGGTATTTAAATATGGAAAGATGGATCAATATATGAAGGTTTTTGGATTAAAGATATGGCTAATGGGAAAGGAAGATTATATCATGCTAATGGAGATATTTATGATGGAGTATTTAATAATTAAATAATTAGGATTGGGAAGATCATAAATCTAAAGGTTATGGAATATATATTCATTCTGATGGAGCAAGATATGAAGGTAATTGGAATAATGATTAATAAAATGGATTTGGTATTGAAATTTGGCCAGATGGAGCTAAACATGAAGGTGAATATTAAAATGGAGTTAAACATGGAAAAGGAAAATTTGGTAAAAAATATATGATTAAAGATTTTAGTTTGGGCTGATAAAGCCTAATATTGTGGTTAATTTTTAAACAATTAAATAAATGGAATTGGTAGATATTCTTGGCCTGATGGTCGAAAGTATTGTGGAGAATGGTTAAATAATAAAATGCATGGTTTAGGTTTATTTTAATGGAGTGATGGTAGAGTATATATAGGTGAATATATAGATGATAAAAAGCATGGATAAGGAATATTTGAATGGTATGTTAATTATTCTAATAAATTTAGGCCTGATGGTAAGAAATATATAGGTTATTGGTCTGAGGGGAAATAACATGGAAGAGGAATATTTATTGCTGGATAATAAAGAAAATAAGGGGAATGGAAAAATGGGAATAGAGAGAGATGGATTATTTTTGATTCAGATAATGAATTAGATTAAATGGAAAAGAAAATGACACAGTTAAAAGTTTAATATTCTTAAATAACTGAAACATAACTTTTAGATAAATCAAAAAAGGCTCTACCATTGCCTAATAATTCTTTAATTAAAGGAGAGAAGTTTAAGCCTCTTCAAAATCATAATTCTTGATTAATATATCTTATATATATATATATTAATCATAATTTTTAATTTAATATTAATAAAATGAAGTTTTAGACTTTTTATTAAAATATATAAGAATATATTATTATCATTTTGTGAAATGACTTAGATGAATAATTGAATTTAACTCTAAATATTTATAATTCATTTTTATGCAAATTAAGAGAACTCTTATTTCATTTATTGTTCTTTTAGTTTTTATTCATAAAAGATCTTTTCCTTTAATTCTCCATTTTATTCTTTAGCAAGTCTTACTTATTCTTCAGCTATTCTTCTTGCCTCTTAGTCTTTTTTTCTAAATATATTAATAATTAAAATTTACAATTTTTCAGGATCAGATTCAAATTAACTTATTTCTTGCATCAATGTTTTGAATGTTTCTTTTAATTTCTTGAACATGTCTTTTTTAATTAAATCTTTGCATTTATCAGAAATTGCTGTTTTAGTATTGCAGCTAATATGTATAATTTCGAAATCATTATCTAAAGAATTTAAGTCTTTTATTTTATATGTTCCTTCTGCTTCATGATCTTAATTAACACCTTAATTTTGAATTATTTTAAATACCATGCCATTCAACTTCTATATCGAAATCATATATCAAAACTTGTTTTCCTTTTCTGATATTAACTTAAGCCTTTCAATAGTTTAACAATCTTACATCTCCAGTGATTGATTTCACTTCTTAATTTAACAAAGTTATATCTCCAGATTCAACTTTGCATTATTTGATCTTAGATTAAATCAATTCTTTAGAAATTGGTGTATAATTTTTCTCTTCCCAATGCCAACTATTTGGATTCCATATTGATCCTGCTCCTTATTGTTTATCCATTAGTTATATTTTTAATTGAACAAATTATTATTGCTGATTTCATATTTTTATTGTCATTAAAATCTAGAACTTTCGGTAATTAGAATTAATTTGTTAACAATTTTCCATTTTTTATCTCAAGAATACTTAAAAGAATTATTTTGTATAAAATATTCTACAGTTTCTAAACATCATCTAATAATAAATTCAGATATTTAATTATATATAATACTAAATGAAGATGATAAATAATAATTATATCTATTAAATTCATAATTTATTTATAGACATACTAAAAAATTAATAATTCTAATGATATTATTCTTTTGTATAAATTATCAAATTAATCTAAATAATTAATAAAAATAACAATAATATGTATATATGATTTAAAACTTGTATTAAAAATTTAGATTCTACTACAATTAAAGATAATTCATTAAAAGCTAAAATTCTATATAGAATAGAATAGAGTAAATTTATTGTAATAGATATAAGGTATCATTAAACAGTATAAGAAATTAATAAAGCGATTATATAAAATTTGTAAATTAGTTAATTTTAATTTATCAAATTTTATAACTAATCGTATATATGGATTAATATTATATATAATATTATTTTTGTCGGATTGAATCGTTTAAAAAAATTATATTTGTCTTAATAAAGAAAGTGATTTCTCAATATTTAAATCACTCTCATCTCATTTTTAATTGAAATTCATTTTATAATATTACTGACTTTTATTAACTTAATTAGTTTATCCATGTAACTATTGAATTTGTGATTTATTTGAATTAAGACTTATATTATTAAAAGGTTAACATTAAATGAACTTAATATAATATATTAAATAGTTATGGATGAGATATTAATGTATTAGCGGATGGGACCATCTGCACTGACTCAATAATTAAACTCTAAGTAAGAGTCGCCGTGTAATCTTATGCTAGAAGATGATTATCAAATTTAAAGCCAAAGTAATATGATTGAGAATAAGAGCATAGATATGAACATGTCTAGGTATGAAAGTAAAGTAATAAAATAATCTTATAACAGACTGAATTTAAGAAACATGCATTATTTTTAACAAATAGAGCATTAAGGACAATTTAAACTTAAAAATAATCTCATTTTTTGTAAAAGTTTAAATTATAGTTACATGTACATCGATTCATAAATAATTTATTCACAAATTCTTATATTCTTAGAAATACTTAGAAGTTAAAGATTAAAGATAAGCTACTTGAAAAATAATTCAATTGTTAATAAAAGAAAAAAGGTAATTAAATATAAATTATTAAGATTATGAGAATAAATCAGTTATTCCAATATTCTTACCATCTACTAATTCAATTATGTTATGGGATATTTTAGGATTTATAAGTAATCTAATGATGCTATGGCTTACTCCATTCTTAGGAGCATTCAATAATTATTATAATGAAACAATATCGGTGCTTCAAATAATTATATTAATATAATTAATTTTTGATTTTATAGCACAATTTAATAGAGGCATATTTGTATCTGCAGTTTTGATAACAAATAGGAAGAAGATCATTAATTAATACTTAAAAACAAATGCTTTATCAGATTTCTTAAGATTATTTATATGGGCTGATCTCAAATATTAATTATTATTCACTTTTTATTTTGAGATCATAATAGTTCTATAAATATTATTAATATATTAAAAACTACTCAGATATTTATAAGAATATTATTATTAATACATTTATTCAAAAGGGGGATAAAATTTAGTTTTAGATTTGGTATAGTTGATAATATAAATTTATTATTTTGCACATATCATAGCTTGTATATGGCATTATGTTGGTGAGAATACTTAACATTTTCAGAATTCTTGGATAATAGAAAACAAATTAAATGAAGAAACAGTATGGCATAGATATAATACTGCTTTTTATTGGGCAACTATGACTATGACAACTGTAGGTTATGGAGATTTTTCAGCTAAAAACTAAGTTGAAATGATTGCTTCTTCAATAATTATGTTTTTTTCTAGTTATGCTTTTGCTTATACAATGAGTTCAATTGGAATAATCCTTAAAAATGTTTATGATACAAAACAAACTTATAAGTATGAATATAAGTATAATTAGAAAGAACCTAATTTAAATGATATAATATATGAGTAAAAATTAGGTTGATGAATCTACATAAGGAAGAATAAGAAACTATTTGAGATTCTAATAAGCATAAGAGAAAAAAGAAAATTAAGATGAAATTATAAATCTTATTAATCAATTGCCAAAAAATTTATAATAAGATTTAAATTCAGATATATAATCTAGAGTAATTAAAAAGATGAGTTTAATTATAAATCATTTTTCCAAGTTTACATAATAAATGGTTGCTAAAAACCTAGAATTAATTTAATTTATTCCTGGAGATATTATTTATAAATAAGGTGATTAACATGAAGATAATTTGTAATATTATTATTTAATTCAGATATTTTTTATCAAGTGGAGAGGCTATTTTGAAAGAAATGCAAACTGACTAAAAATTAAGATCTGTCAAAAGTTCATAATATTTAGGTTATTATTCATTTTTTACTGGATTTCCACCTAAAGAAACTGCTATTTGTTAAACCCCAAGTGAATTATATAAAATTAGTAGAAAGAAATTTCTTGATATTATAAGATAAAATTAAAAAGATTCTGAAATCTTTCATCATATCAAAGATAAATTAATATTTTCAACTAATTATGTACTTTTTGATCATAAATGTAATTTTTGCAATCGGTATATCCATTAAGAAATTGATTGTCCTTTAATTTAATATAAACCTGATTTAGAAGCTCTTTTGAAGAAATAAAATTTTAATCAGACTTTAAATCTTAGAAGATCAATTATTAGAACAAAGAGAAAACATCATGCATTAGGTTAACATTAACCTATTGAATAATAACTTAAATTATTTCAATAAGACAATTAAATTTGTGATGATTCAGATTCTGATTTAGAAGAAAAAATAAGAAATGAGAAAACATATTTTTCAGAATAATAAAGAAGTTCATCCTAATTATTATAAAGTGAAGATGATGGACATATTGAAAATACTCCACCTAGATATACTCAAAAAAGAGTAACATAACATTAGGGTCAATTAAAATTATAAAAAAGTAATTTTTATTTTTTATTTAGTGTCATCTTTTTCAAAATAAAAAATAGGATAAATTGAATAGAAAACTTCTTTAAGAAGAATGTTAATTTAAAATGAAGAGTAGATTGTGATTAAAAGCTAAAGTATGATTGAGGATATGCAATTATTATTATAAAAATAATTGAAATCCTCTTTTAATTTAGATAAAGTAAGTAATACATTTCAAAGTTATATGCCTCAATATACAATTGAATCATAAATTAAAGAATTACAAAAAGGACAAAAAAAAAGATTAAGAAGATATTGGAAATAAAATGAAAAACTTGGTAAATATACATTTTCTAATAATGTCAAAGTATTAGCATTAAAAATAATCAATTAAGGTAGAAAATTAAATAAATCTTGATAAAATATATTTGGTTTAATGATAATTATATTTAATATTTAATTATTAAGAATTTATATTCATCCATCAATAACTTGATCTATAATTAGATTTAAGTTCAAATAATATTATTATAATAATAATTTAATGATATTTAAAATATTTATCAATTACTAAATATTCATATTCAATAAGTAATACAATAATATTTATTTAAAGTATGTCTAATTATAATTTATTGTAAATCTTTAATAAAATATATGTAAAATAGAAAATATTCAAATGAATACTATTCTAATCTATAGAATACACATTTGTAATTAATAAATGTATATTATTAATTTAAAATGTTATTTATATTATTCATTATCCAATCAATAAATGGTTAAGTATGTGAAACAGCTGATCAATTTTATAATCCATTAGCATCAAAATGTGAAGCATGTCCAGCAGGAACAGGATTGATAAGTAATTAGGTAAAATTGAAATTTGAATATTTAATATTAGTGTATTTGTGATTCAACTATAAATGGTGTGCCTGTAAATTCAGTCTGTCCTGCAGAAACAAATTTATGTGTAAGTGATACAGGATCTTGGTAAAACTCAGCTTGTTCATGTTCTGGTCATGCAATTACTCTTCCTACAAATATATGTTAATAATGTCCTAATAATTAAATAAATGTAAGTGGGAAATGTTCATGTTCAGGATCTTCATTCGCAAGTGATAATTATTGTGTTAATTTATATGTGAATGTGTTTTCAGATGATATAGCTTAAACATTAGGACCCAAAGCTTATGATGGATGTAATCTTTATAATGATATGGTATCTTGTTAATAATTGGCAAATTTATTCATTTTAAAACGATCAACAGTAAGTACAGAAAAAGATTTTAACTATTTATATAATGCAGTTCTTACATTTTAAAATAAAAAGAATATGCCAAACATAATACATGAAGCATCCACTACTGTTACTTCTGTAACTTTAATTGAAAATACTCCTATTTAAATGTAAGTGAATTTTAAAGAGGACAGAGCTAGTAGTCTTAATAAAATTCCATTTTATGTTATGGAATATTATATTGATGGAAGTGTAAGTGAATTAAAACCTCTTTAAAATTAATTTTAATTGTGTAGTGCCAGTTATGGAGATACTGATCTAGCATCTAATTTTGGAGTATCTTACAAAAATGAGTAAATATTAATATTAAATATTTTAAGTTGTGATGTTGATTTTACAAAATATTTAGATAGCAATTATAAAACAATATTTTATTCTGTATGGATAAAAGATATAGATGGAAGTTTCATATAAGTACCAATTAAAATAGCTGATTATGATGGTAATGGAAATGGAGAAACTGAAAATGAATATGGTTATACAAATACAAAATTTTTATGGAGATTTTTTATGGTTGATAATTTAAAAAGTCCATCAGAAATAATATATGCAAAATAAGTTAGATTAATTAGTTATTTGTCTACAAAAGAAGATGATAAAACATTTCTACCATATTTTTATATTATTTATAGTGAACCTATTACTATCACAAGTATAGAGACTGAAAAATATTATCCTGTTAAATATGGTCATTATTATTATTAAGCAAAAACTAGTTTCTATACTGTTGCTTCAGCTTTATTGATTGTTGCTCATGTATTGATTATTATTGTTTGGTTTATAAGAATATATGTATGGAGTAAGAGGAATCCCTCTTATACAGGTTAAAATGATTGGTGTATGTATTTGACAATCAAATCATTTTATGTTTTATTAGATACTTGGGCAGAAGTAATCTTTTATTATTTGGCCATATTTACAGGATATTTATTTTGTTTCTTTAAATTTTAATAAACTATTTATATATTGATGCCTGATCTTTCAGATTATGCTAATAATTATAGACCATTTGAAATCTTATTTTATATGATGTTTGCTTGTAGATTGATATCAATGTTTAATTTAATTTTAAGATAAGCTGATGTTTAAGTATTCTTTATAGATTGGGAAAAATCTGAAGTTTTGAGACCAAGAGAATTAGCAGAAAAACTAGATAATAATATATTGAGAATGGTTGAATAAGCTTAATCAAAATAAAGTGCATGGAGAATGATATTAATAGCTAATGAATTTAATGAATTATAAATATATAGAATAGTTAGTGTTGAATGGACTTTACTATTTGTAGGATTCTTTTTAGAAGGATTATAATGGATTGATTTAGGTTAAGAATAACCAAATTTATAATTAGATAAAACTATTCCAAAGAATTATGTTCTATAATATTTTTTATGTACATTTTTATATATGGCAATTGGATTAGCTTAAATTAGTATAATATTATATTCATAATTAATTTAGTTATATAAAAATTGTTTGATATTTGGTTTCCCATACTTGTTGAAGATTTTGTTGATTTATGTGCAATATCTAATGTTTCCATACTCATTTTGGATGATGTATTACATGGATATTATATTCATGGAGAAAATCCTATTGGTTATGCTGAAGGTTCAAGTGAACATCTTGCTAATTGTTTACATTATGAAGCATTAGGTAAAGGAAAGAAAAGAGGATTTATCCAAGAATCATCTTTATAACATTAAGATGATGTAGATCTTTAAACTTTTGAATTGTTTTTACCTATGAGATTTAGAGAAGCATATGAAAAAGTTTATAATTAAGAACTCAAATAAAAAACAGATAATGCTCAATATCAGAATTATAATGAAATGTATTTTTTTATGAATATTAATTTTTAGTCGAATTTTAAGATAGGGTGTTCCTGATGGTTTAGATATGGCCTTAGTATAAACAATTAAAGATACATTCTCATTTTATCTTAAGGATGTTTTGACTTAAGTATTTCTAATATTAATATTAGGTACGAACAAATTTTGCAAAATGTGTCAGAGACAAATTGCCTGTTCAAAGATTCTTTGATTATCCTCCTGCTGATTTAGAGGAAGGTTATTTCAAAGAATAAAGTATGCCTGTTTTCTTTAGAGATCCAGATCAATCATTTAAATCCATGTTCTTTTGTGGACATGAATTTTTTTTCTTGATTACAGATACTATGATCTTCAATTTTTGGATGATTCTTACCAATAACACATACCTTTCATTAATGTTAACTTATTTGATTTCAGCTGGAATATTTAATTTCCGTTAGTGGGTAGGAGAACGTAATTTAGCTGATTAATCTAAAATCGATTCTAGATTCTTAATATGATAATTAATTTTAAATAGATAAATAATATATATAAATATAAATGAATTTAGATTTTTCTAAACTAAATGTCTATACCAATTCCCTCTTAGCTATTAGGTTATTTATTGTTGGTTAGAATAATCCTTCCTTGATACCATAAATTATGCCTAAACTTGAGGAGAATGGTCTTTATTTGTAAACATATTCATATATAAATTAGAGCAGCTGCAATTTTGGCAGAAAAATTAAAAATTTCATATTAGAGAGAAGAATTAACTCTTGTACGAAAGTTTATTACAGATAAAAAGAATTAGATCTAACAAACCAAAAATTTATAAAATAGAAATGCTTTAAAAGAACTATTCATCTAATTAGGAGACTTATATCTCAAATATGGAGACTTAGTTGAAGCTTATGCTGCCTATTATAAGGCCCATGAAAATAATTAAACATAAGAAGCTTTAGATTATGCCAATTCATGGGTGACTTGTATGATTTTAAGCAATAATTATGTACACTATAAAATTATTAATGTCAATCCCAAAGATTAAGATGTTAAAGGATATTAGAAGTGGTTATTATTAAGTGCTATTAGAAATTATGTTAGAATGGATTACAAGAACTTTTTAATTGACTTATTACAAATTGATGCCAATTATCTTGAATAAGTAGAATTTATAACTAGCTATTTTGATTTAAGCAAATATTTTGCTATAGCTAGTCTTATCACAAAATTACCTAAAGATATTATTGAAACATTATAACATCCATTTATTATTAGAATACTAGATGCAGATCCTTCAGTATTGGAGACTTTGAATTGTTATATAGACTATGATTTTGTTTAATTAATTTAGAAATCTTAATTACTCATTGTATTAATATTTCATATTATATTTTAGATTGAATTAGATAGAGATGTCATATCAGCTCCACTTATACCATAAATTAAAGAGAAGATCATTAATACATTATTAAAATAAGTAATTATTAATTTATATAAAATTAGTATATTATTAATTTTAAAAGAATGTCTTTAGTTTCATTATCTAATTTATTGAATTTAAAGTAGTTTGAAGCTCAAGATTTAGTAGAAAAATTAATTAGATCTGAAAGTCTTAATTATGTTATTGATCCAATAGATATGATTGTTCATGAAAAGTACACTCATGAATAATAATAAATACGTTAATGTCATTAACTTGGAGTAACAGTATTAAAAGCATTAGATCATAAATATTTCTAAATTCTACAAGATTAAAAATGATAATTTAAGTAAAGATAATTTAATATATTATTATTTTTTAATAATATATCTATTTATTTATCATAATTTATGAATAAATATCTTTAAACTTTTAATATTTCTATTTTCTATCTTATAATATAACTATTAAAAATAATTATAAATTTAAGAATATTTAAGTTTTACTTTAAATTCTCTTTATTAAATAATAAATGAGCTATAATTAAGAAGAAAATGAAGATTTGGGTCTTGAAAATAGATCTCCAAGAAATGAAGAAGAAGAAGATAAAAAGGATCAAGAACAAGATGCTTAAAATTAATTAAATAAAAAGAAGAAAAAGAAAACATAACAATTTCGATTGAAACCTGAATAATTTACAGATCCTTAAAAAGGAGTCATTTATTTATATAATTTATGTAAAGACTATCGATTTGGCAATGAAGAACTTGAAGAATTAAATAAATATATGCATGTTATAGAAGAATGGCATTATTAAGTAATGCCTAAATATGACTTTGACTATTTTACAAATAGATTATAAAAATTTGGAGGGAATAATA